GAGAAACAAACCGCTTGAAGGTTTTTAATTATTTCTGGAGTGTTTGCTATCGGCACGATGACTAATATACTGCTTTGGAAGAACTTGTTCGTTACATCATCCGTAAATGGTCCCTTCAAATTTGATTTCATTACTTTCCAATATATTGTGAGGATCAAGTATAGGCCTATAACCAGAAAATAGTGCACATATACATAATTGCACCCGTTCATGGAATTATGTATAGGGCTGTCCTACCCTGCGGCAACATTTTTGTACCTTCACTATTTGTTTACCCGAATCCATGGAGACCAGGGCCCTTTTCTTTCCCAACAATAGTTCATTTTGTACACACCTTTACAAATGAAATTCTTGCGTTGACATGATCTGAGACAGTTTGTCATTTTTTAACCATGACCGAGTTTACTACAAGGATCAGGCGTTCGAATCCGCACGTAAGCATGCAGCATAATACAGTGAACGGAAATCAGATTTTTTTTCAATGTTGCTAGTACAGAGCCCGACGTTTCGATTTTGAGAAAGCTTGATACAATTCTGACGGATTCGATATAGCCCCTTTGTACTTTTACATTTTTGTCTTAGTATAATTATAGGCCTATGCCTAGTTGCATCAGTGAATTCGAAGGACTTCGTATAAGTGCCGATACGTACAGGGCGTCCCGAAGTACGCGCAACGTTTTTTTTCGCGAGGCTCTATCGTCGGCACGGAAACACGTAACCGCCATCATTTTTATACCATTTTAAAGATTGGAATCTGAACTTTATCTCTGGCGAGTATTGGTTTGATATTTAAAAGAGTTTTTAAATTATTTGTGTTCAAATAAAGGCATGATTTTTCAAACGAAAATTTCCCTACATTGCTTCAAAATTTTACGATGTTCCAAGGGGGGGGGGGGGGGTGCAGGAAAGGATAACCCACTTCAACTCTGAAATTGCGAAGTGATTCGGAAAAAAGCCTGATGACCGGCAACCAGCACTATAATCGCCGAGTTTGTTTACCCAGAAACCATGGCGACGAACGATATGCAGAGATATCGCGGGCATAAAAGAACTCAATACATAGAATTGGCGACCTTCGGCGAGATTTTCTATTGTTAAAGTCTGGGCTTTGTTCAGCTGTAGATGTTCTGGAACTACAAGAATGGTATGATGTTTGCTACGTGGCGGTACAGTAAACTTTGATTCTGTTTGGCCTGCTGCATGCACCGCGGAATCCTTCACAGCATGTTCATCAATTGTTATCAATGGTCTGGGAATTCCCCCTAAAATACCTGTAGCTCCTTGATTACGTAATGCTATTTATATGATTAGACTTACGTCAGTCCAGACGTGGTATTTTCAAGCTCATCAGAACACAGTGGACGAAAAGAATTTATAATTGTCTTAAAATTATTGTTATTTTTTAGAAGCTCATCACATCGTCGTTGATTAAAGATGGTTCCCCGTGCTACTTTCGAGTTTCGCATCTAAAAAAATAGATTTTTTTCAATTGCTATTTTCCCAGCAATATAAAAGTTATTATTTCTGAATGACACATCAAACGAAAAAAATAAAAGAGGTTTAGTTATTGAAGTAATGAAGTTCACAAAATTCGAATTATTGGCTAGCTGCCAGACAGTAAATGTATCATGTAGAAAATGTCGGGGAAAGGGTTTGAGAAAAAACACCGCAAGCATGGCCTGGACGTTCTCACAAAGTACAATGCTGTCAAATTTTGACACAGCAGATCATCTGATCATGATTGTGATGGAATTGTGCCTTTGATGATACAAGCATTCTGACATTTTGGCACACAGTCAGAGTATGCCACGAGAAGATATTTGGCTATAGGGCCATCGCAGATTTGTCCTTTGAAAAAAAAAAAAAAAGCAGCATAATAACAAGCAGTACATGGTGGCCATTTTGACAAAAGTTGAAAATTGCTTGTTATTCAACCTATAGTTTGTCAAGGGACAAGTGCGATGGCCCAAAAGCCAAATATCTTTCTGAAAAACATTGTGCCAAATGTCATGCTTGTATCATCAAAGGGACAATTCCCCAAATGTTTCCCATATTTGGCAAAAGCCTTTCAATACCCTCTGAAGTACATCCAGAGTAAAGTGAAAGAAGGAATATAGAATTGAACAATTCGTGGGGGGCCGGCCGGTACCCCTGCATGCATCTGATTTATTGTGAAATAGAGAGGGCAGGAATCCAGTCTATGAGCTGTCCCGCTCATCGCGCCGTGTGACGTGCGCGCACGTGTTGCATTTTTTTTGTACGTTGCACGTGCATGTGTACTTTTTGTGCAGTCGCTAGCAACGTACATACATGTAGCAGGGTTGAACTAGAAAGTCTGGAAAATGTAGCTTTTTCTGCCACCGTATTAACTAAACAGATGAGCCAGTCAGAGGTAAACGTCGTCGTGAATGGTATTGAAAGAAAACTCAACTGGAGATTACGAAAATTGTCATTTTGCAAGCTCCTTCAATGACAAAAAGCCAAACAGTTTTTGTGTCGCCTATATATGCCTAGTATTTAGTAACGAATTAGTTTTGGAAGGCACTTCAAAGTTCCAGTCCTTAATTCTGTAAACCCATAGGATAACCATGGAGGAAGAACCCCATGGTATGACCATGGAGGTAAGAAATGACCGTACGTTAAAGCATAGGTGTATAACTTCTAGTTCTACATGCTTGTGCTCGTGGATTTGGAGGAACCTTGGATGCAGTGACCAAGGCTTGGGTACCGGTAGGATGATTCCATCGGAATCACTGAGGTCACAGGTCATGTAGGGGTCATTAGAGGTCATTGTTCATGCTTCAAATGTTTCTTTCTCTACAGAATTTCATGGATGGTAATGTAACTTGGATGGAGTGATTGAAAATGCACAAGTGATTTTTTTAAACAGCACAAAACAGATTGACACTAATGACAGTGAAAAAAAGGCCACGTGCGATCTAGCTGCGGATCACCTTGCTTTCACGACTAGGTCTACTAATTTCATTTGTACTGACTGTATAGGCCTACTAATTTTTACGTGTCACGTACGACATCGTCGATCCGGGCCACACAGCACTAGTTTTATAGGGGCCTAGTCTTGTACACTTAGACTAGGTCTGCATAGGAACTCCGCACTGGCAAAATATAATGTTTGAAGTTGTAACTACACTCTTTACTTGTTTGGTTCTTTTAAGTCTGGGAATTTATAAGCTTTATCGATTTTTAAGTTGGTTTTAAGACTGCAGCCATAGTTTATAATTATGTCTGTGAACCAGCAGGAACGAATGCTGTGAATAATTTCATGTTTCAAATTCATTTTTAGGTTCGTAAGCTTAATTGACAAAGTGCTCATTAGAATGGCTGATTTTTGACTGATTTAAAATAATTGGAGCTGTTCCTCAGAAAAGCTCTGAAATCATGCCAAAAGTGGATTTCAACAAAAGTGTATGTGTAGCATTTAAAATAACATAGACGTTTTTCATCATCTCGAGACGGCTTACATATTTTGAATAATTGAATCAAAAACATGATATTTGCATATTTTTTTATGAACTTGGAATTTGGTATGTAAGGCTAGAAGTAGTACAGCCCCATGAATCAGTGCAAGAATGATTCAAATTGTAACCATTAATTTTCTTTTGCAGGTGGCTATGGTGGCAGAGGTGGTAGATCCAACACCCGCTATCTCACCACCAACGAATCAAAGACCTACGGCGATTTCACCGGAAGTGATCCCCTGTCCCAGGGGAGTGGGGGCGGGGGAACGGGTGGGGGTGCTGGAGGCGGCATCATCAAGATAGTAGTCAACGGAAACGCCCAAGTGGATGGTGTGATATCAGCAGACGGAGAGGATGCTAGTGGCAGCGGTGGCGGTGGCAGCGGTGGGATTGTACTCATCGAAGCCGTCGCTGTGCCTGGGAACGGCAGAATCACGGCCAATGGAGGTCTGCAAGATTGTGGTTTCTCCTGTTTGATATCTTGAACTCATATTTGTTCTTGAGTAATTTTTTATTGCATTAGCTGTTTCCGTAATTCTGATAAATAGCTAGTATATTGGTACCTATATAAGTTCCAGGAATAGAGATGGTGGCAGCGGTGGGATCAGATTGAAAGTTTCTTGGCTATGACATTCTTTAATGTATGTTGCACCTGCCGCATTCCAGTTATAATGATTATTGTCTGATTTTTTTTCAGTGATGTATTTTACATAAAGGAAACTTCAAAGTGTAACAGTTTGAATGGAAATGGAACTTGAAAGTAGACTTGGTGTCAGAAGTGGGATCATTCTATTCTCTGCTAGTTTAGACAAATGCATAATCTCAGCTTGTTTTGGCTGATAAAAGCAGTTAAACATACAATTGAAAAGAAGGGAACCTCTATCCCAAATGTAGGCCAGCACATACTTCCATTCTTTTCAGAAAGAGTTCACTTTTTTAATTTTTAATACGAGTTTTTATTATTGTTCAGGTCGTGGTAGTGGTACCCCTGGTGGAGGTGCTGGCGGTGGACGTGTTGTTCTGAACTACGACACTGACTCTTTCACTGGAGACATTTTTGCCTATGGTGGACGAACAGGTAGAAATGAAACAACTTACTCGGCCCAGCCTTTTTTCTTCTATCAGAATTTACAGTGTTAAGTCTTGAAACTTTGCCCACTGTTAAAAATTGTGGTTCCCAAAATACGTACAGGATAAGAATCAAATTGCAAAAGTGTTAGCAGATTTTGTGGAATAGTGTTGAGGTTTAACTTTAAATTTCCAAATTAAAGATAGGAATTGTCTAGTATTTTCTCAGCTGTTCGTTTCAGTGGGGAAACTGGGGCAAAAATAGAAGTAAATCGTAACTATGGTAAATGGCGTGGTGGCCATGTTGCATCCGAACCAGTTTTTCTTTGCGATGTGATGCTGAAAACTTCTGAACGCACTTTAACTCTCAACTAGAATAATCAAAGCAATCATTATCAATAACAAATCCAGTTAAATCCAAGTGACAACTTTTATTACTGCAAATGTGCCAAAATGTCACAAAACTACTTCATAGAAAAACACCCATCTGTAAATTGTCCGGATTTTTTTCACCCAGGTGGCGCGACCGACCCTGCCGTCACAGTCAGCTCTCTAGCTGGGTCCTCCCAATACTCCAGCTACTCCCCCTCCAAGGGTCTCATCTCCAACCCGGGCTTTTGGAAGCCGTCGTCCAACAACAATAACCAGTACTTGGAGGTCAGGTTTAGTGAATCAACTTACGTGTCGGGGATCACTACTAAAGGGTGTAATTCTGGATGTCCGCAGAACGGGAGTCCGCAGTATGTCGAATCTTACAAACTGCAGACGAACAACGATGGCTCCAATAGTTTCCAGTACTACAAGGTAAAAGATCTAGTTCCATGATCTTTTTTTTTGTCAACTGAACTAAACAATTGGTGATTTGTCATCACAAATGGAACTTAGAGTCAAATTTTTATGCAAGCCAGAGCAACAGCTAATCGGAGTCGACTTCAGAAACTGACGTCATTTTACGTAAGATGGAATTTAGCGTCGGGGTGATGTAAATCAAATTAGGTTTTGCCCTTCACCGACGTTTAAACACTGTATGCTCAGTGTGTTACCTCCTGAGTGCAAGTGAGAAAAAAATCACTCGGGTGGGACTGGAACCCACAACCTCCTGCTTTCTAGTGCAGATGTCATACCACTCGACCACCGAGCTAACGGGATCGGTTGGCTGGTTCGAATCTGATGTAGCAGTTGGTACCGCAATGAAACTATTCATTTTTTTTCTCACTTTCACTGAGGGGGGTAACGCACAGTGTTTATACATCAGTGAAGGGCAAAACCTAATAGTGAATTAACGTCATTTTGATTAGAAATGTGGACTAAGTTGTTGATTGGTCAGTTTAGATGCCATGATTTGTAATACAACACTGAGTTACAGGTTTCCTGATAGAAGGCGCCTGCTGAATGGTCAGAATCTCGAGGTCAAGATGCAGTCTCGTTTTGCATAATTAATTGCCAAATCTGCTTGCATATCATTAACCCTTGTTGTGCAAGGGTTTTTCCACAGACTATTACAGATTGAGGTCTTCCAAAAATTAAAAAGAAAAACACTGAAGTTGCTCATTCAGTTTCTTTGTTTTGTCTAAGTATCATTAAAGATGTTTATACCTTCTTTTAAATTATGGCTTCCACTAAAGAATCTCAAAAGTGGCTCTGACGTTGTCTTCGATGGAAACACCAATGGAAACGGCATCGTCCGCAACAATTTTGACGTCCCGATCCTCGTGCGGAAATTGCGAATTCGTCCAATAACCTGGAATCGTGGAATCGCATTGGCTGTTGAACTCTATGGCTACACACCAGGTAGAATATTTTTGGATCTTCCATCGACAAATTGCTTAATACAGTAAGGGAAGCTGTGAGAATTAGTAAAGAAATATTGACAAAACTGGGCGTGTGGTACTCTGAGATGTTTTACACATGTCCAGCAATGTGTGGTATACTTTGCACTAGGTATACCACTGCTCCTTCATTTCATTTAGCCTTTTCATGCCTGAAAATTTAATAAGTGGTTTACATTTGGACTCTGATTACCAAATTTTATTTCCTGTTATGCAGGCAACAAAATAAATAACTGTTACGACTGTAGATTCATACATTTAGCCAATATGAACGGAATGCGTGATTTTTCACGTCAAAATGTTTTTTTGTGTTGAATTGCGTTTGACTTAAAAACTTGCAGTTTGAAGTCTTGACATGATGACAGAAATTTGGGTTTACATTTGCCCCGAGTACGAACCAGCCTTAACAAGACCAACAAGAGTATATCCTGTCAATACTTCAGAGCAGATTTCTGACCCAGGAAGTGTGTGTACCAGTAGAACAGAGCACTCGTGAGGTTTGTTTGTTCATTTTTTATTTGTCGTCTTGTCTGTTTACAGGTTCTGCCAGTGACCTTTGCTCGGGAAGCGGACAAAGTGGTAAGTTGGTTAAGTTCTTCCAGTTTGAGGAAGAAATAGAAAACAGACAGAAAGTCAGAAAATATCACCTTTAATATTTTTCTTTTCAATGATGTGTTATTTTGACACGGTTGCAAGACCAAGGGCCCAATTTCATAGAGCTGCTTAAGCACATGATTTGCTTAAGCACGAAAAAAACATTGCTTAGTGAAATCTGGTTACCGGCCAAAACTCTATGTGATGTACATTGCTTGTGACTGGTATTTAGCTGTTGTTTTACGTAGCATAACAATCGCATAGCGTTTTGGCCGGTAACCTGATTTTATAAAGCAAGACTTTTTTGTGCTTCAGCAAATTTTGTGCTTATAAAGCAGCTCTATGAAATTGGGCCCCGGGTTTAGAACGAAATAAAAACTGCAGGGAATTTCTAATCTGTCAAGTTTTAAGGAAGTAGTAACTTCCATAGTTTTGTTCATCGATCATGTTATTCCTACAACAGTTGCAGAGGCTGGTGGGCCGGGCACCGTCTATATCCAGCAGGGTACCAACGGTGCAATTGGAGGTCACCTTCAAGTCAACAACATGGGAAAAATTCCCAACGTAAGTTCATTCGAAAAAATGTCCTCCTGCTTTTTAAAATTACATCAGCGTTAAAATGATATCTTGATTTCCTTAGGTAACTGAAGGAAATCAAATAAAACTTAAAAAACAAGAAAAAAACTAGCACAAACCAAATATGAACACAAATAACACTGATAATTCTTAATATGGAAATGCCATAGTTGTTGGCTTGCAAGAAGTTGGTCTGCTTAAAAACATCTTTGATATTTATTTAAAATCGCTCTTTACCACTCATTCTCTTTTTCTTTTGACCAGGCCAAAACGAATTCCGACTGTGACCAGTTTTTCTTTGAGGATTCAGGTAACGAAAAATTTTAAAACAATTTCTTTTCTAGAAAGTTACTTTGATTTGCTTCTGTAAAATTTGCTTTGCTTATATAGTTTAACAATTTAAAACTGGAAAAAAAATCATGTTAAAAAAGAACCTTACAGTTCCAAGAGTGTTTTTTTTTTCAGATTACTTTTAAAATTTTTGTTCTCAATTTGTGTATCGATGCAAATTTCTTCTGTTTTTAAACTTTTGCTTGTTACGTTTCAGGAGCTGCGGCTTGGATTTCATCGGCCCATGATCTGAACTCAATCTCCCTTAGCAATGGCGGCCATCTTGTCGTCGCCAGCAACATCGACTTCACCCAGGCAACTGGTGATGTCACTACCATGATGCATCTCATCTCAACCACGACCTGCGAGCTTGGTTCTCGCTTGGAAGTCGAGAGCCACGTTAATGGCGATGCGATTCTGACGCTACCGGGGGTAGGCATCACAATGACGAAATCTGTTACCGTGCGGGGGACTCTAAATACCGATCCCAACACGGAGTTGACGTTTGGCGGATATTCCGGTGCAACGCTAACTTTGATACCGCGCTTGTCGTCCATGCAAACTCTGCAACTGCGCTCATTGACCATTAAGACGAACGCGAAGCTAGACTTGCAAGAGTCCTCCACTGCAGGCAATTGTGGTTACACCTTGGATGTCTCGGTCTCGGACAGAAGCTTAACGATGGAGCATCCCAGTGAACTTACAGTTGCGTGTCCAGTTACCATCGATGTCACGTCATTGCTTCTGGACGCTGCGAGTTTCAATACCAAATCGGTCACTGGTACCTCGTCAATCCGTACACCAGCTCTGACAGTCACTGGGTCCGTAACTACAGGCAAAATGGACCTCCTGGACTGCTCAAACCTGGACGTGCGATCAACCGGGCAAATGACTTTGACTTTAGGTGATCCCAAAGAATTAAGGGTCCCAACAATAGAAGTTGATGGTACCCTGACCTCTACCACTCCCGTAGCTGTGTATTGCCATGCCTTGACGGTTTCTCAGGGCGGTTCCTTCAGTTGGCCAGGAAGCAGTGGGTCAGTTTTAGAAAGCAACATGACTTTTATCGACGGTTACTTTAGACCGGGAAGTTTGGTAGGCCTTACGAGTGGTCTGCCTCAGTTCACCGTCGGAGCTAACGGCAATGTTTCCATAATAACCGAGGACTCTTTCGGCACGGACAGTTTCGAAGTTCGGGGGCAAATGGTTGTATCAAGTCAGCCGGTAGTCTTCCGAGGTGTTATGAACCAGTTAGTGAACAGTTTCACAATTGCGAGTGGGGGCCAGTTGTCTCTTAATACAACTGGTTCCGGCCAGTCTGAAATACATGCAGAGTATGTCACCGTCGATGGTGCCCTACAAACTGGACTCTTGAATATCGGCTCAGGATGGAATGATCTTACAGTTGGTAGCAGCGGAAGTTTCACTTTCGATCCAGACGGAAATTTTGCCATCAACACAATCCACATTTCCGGGGTGGTCGAAAGTCTGAAACATCTGATCATAAATGGCCGCAGCCAATCAGCGACGACCATTTTTGAGACTACAGCAGGCAGCTCGGTGACCTTTGACCTCGGACGATTCCACAACGTATCAGGGGAGTTGAACCACACTCAGCTTCGCGTTCAGGATATTGTAGTGGGAGGGTACTTCCAAGCGCACGAATTGAGCTTTCCGTACGAGTTCAACCAGTTGAGAGTGGACCAAACTGGTGAACTGCACATGAATTCAGTTGGTAAGTAAAATCTCAAACTCAAATTTTTAAGACATTTTTGTGTTTGTCGATGCTGAAATGATTAAGCTTTTCAACAAAAATGTTAATAGAATTCCACTTTTCAATAAAATTAACCAAATAGGGATGTCAAATAGTTTTCATACATTTAAGAGGAGTAGAAAGTTTACAAAATATGTTCCTAAGAAAAAGATCCATCGTATGGGCCCTTTAAGCATTACATTAAATTCACGGAATTCATTTAATGAAGATTATTGTTCCAACCGTTTAGGTCCACTTATGGTCCACACTTTTAAAGTCAACGGCACCATGCGTACCACCAATCCCTTGATAGTGACGGGCACAACATATGACAGAGCACGCTCACTCGTCATCGGCGTGGCAGGCGAGGTCTTTCTCGACGAAGACGGCCGGTCGAGCGGGGAGTGGACGAACGTCTCCTACTTCGGGTTTCACGGCGTCACCATTTCTGGCAGTCTTCATGCAGGCCTTTTCAGCAACATATACCCTACAACTTTCGGGTGGGATACGCTTTACTTGGACGGCGACGCGGAGTTTCGGTTTGAACCCGCGGATGACTTCGCGTGCGATTCTGTCGTCTTTTATGGTGGTCCCACGATGGAAGCATTCACACCGGTGATTATGCGCGGGAGCACCGACCGCCTCATACAGCAATTAACTATTTCTTATCCTGGTTCCCTGCTGTTTGACACCAGTGAAGGTGACAAGAACCAATGGCGCAGCGTGGGCTCGGAAGTTCACGCCGAAATTGTCACCGTCGACGGCACTTTCCACGCAGGGCTCATCGACTTCGGTGTCGGTTGGAAAACTCTCAATGTCGGTGGCCAAGGATTGTTCACGCTTCAATCCACGGATTTTCCCGTCAATAACATAACTGTCCAGAATCCGTCCGGACGCATGGAGGTCCTAACCCCACTGAATATTCATGGGAGGGAGCAAACTCACGTCTACGATTTAACAATCGAGGCGGGTGCCACTCTGTCACTGGACACTGGTTCCTATGCGGGCACTGATTACACCAACAGCTCCTACTCAACCGTACTCATCGACGTTGTGACAATTGACGGTAGTTTTCTTGCGAGCAAACTCTCAATCTCGGCATACCAGATCACAGTCGGAGGTATGTTTACATTTTATGCCAGCACGCCCGAAGAATTTGACTTCCTAACAGTTTCCTCAGCGGGGCAAGTCCAGATTACAAACCCAGTAACAATCTTGGGCCGTTCGTCAAATCTTACCGATAGTATAGATATTGCCGGCCGTGTGAAACTCCACGCCGCCATTTCTGACCATAACAACCACGTCTGGTCGTCACTTAATAGCTCAGTTTTCCACCTGGATCATTTAAGCGTGAACGGAACTCTTGAAGCTGGCATCCTTTCCGTGGGCACCGGCTGGCAAACTTTCTCCGTCGGCGACCAGGGGGTCGTCACCTTCCAACCAGAAGGCACGTATCGCATCGACGACATCACAATTGCTGGTCATGTGACCTCTTTCACTGCCATGCCCGCCACAGCTCCGTTAATATCCGACTCCCTCCGTGTCTACTCCACGGCCGTGTTCGATATCGACTTTCGCGGCCCGGCGGGGTCAACAGAAGAGGGCGCTACAAATTCCACCCTGCTCATCGGCACTGTTCAGATCACGGATGGCACACTACAAGCTGGTTCCCTGTGGATAGAGGCCAATGAAATCACCATTGGCAACGGAGGAGTGTTAACTGTCGAAGGAGGGGGCCATTTGTCCGATCAGGGTCCAGGTATGTCGAGCGAATTACAAATCCTCCAACTGTCCAAAAAGCATCATTTTACTAATTATAATAATTTGCTGCTTTTCTAGTGATCTATATCAGGCCATGAGATCAGTTTTCAGCAGAGGCGCAAGATCAGTGCAATATGGTCTCTACCCTCACAGGTATTTATACTCATGGTGGTCACAAGGCAATTGTAGTGAAGTGACTTGCCCAAAAACACAAACACTAGTGCCCGATACAATAAGCCTGTTGTTGATAAAGTTATCTACAATTTGTCCTGGACATTTTATGAAATGATTTGATATTGTGAAATTTGTGTTTGTTTGTTTTTTCTTCAAATTAAGGGGCTGGAGTAGCCTACGCCTCTGGAGCCTCAGGAGCAAGTCACGGCGGACGCGGTGGACGTGGAGGCCACACTTCCCAACGTACCATCGCCGAGAACCTCCCCTACGGCAATATTTATGAGAAGGGTTACTGGGGTAGCGGGGGCGGGTCCGGCGGGGGACTAGGTGGGCGCGGAGGCGGTCGAGTCGTAGCTCTTGTCACAGGGACATTTGTCGTTGATGGTACTATCCGTTTGGATGCTGATAATGCAGTGGTAGGTTTTACATAAACTACGGCTAATTTTTGTGGAGCTTTATACAAAGAAAGTTTCAAGGAGGCAAACCTAGACTCTTTTAAACTTCAGTGTGCATGTTTTATAATGAATCATCTAAACCTGGGGTTTTTTTTCACAGGGGTCGCATGCTTCAGGAGGAAGTGGTGGTGCATTGTGGGTGGAATCCAATGAATTCCGAGGCACGGGTTACATCTACAGCAACGGCGGTGCTGGTAGCGGGTTTGGAGGCGGCGGGGCCGGCGGAAGAGTGTCAATCAATTATGACCATGGCGACTTCAAAAGTGGACACATTTTTGTCAAGGGTAAGTTTACATGCAGTTTGCATTTATGAATTGTGAGGAATTGCGACAGATTTGTGAGGACTTGTATTGTGATGGACTTGTAAAGACTTGTTATGGGCTTGTAGGACATGTGAGGGGCTTGTGAGGACATGTGAGGATTTGTAAGGACTTTTGGGGACTTTTGAGGACTTGTGAGGACTTTTGAGGACTTGTTAGGACTTTTGAGGACTTGCGTTCATGTGTGATGGACTCGACTACAACAATTGACTTTCATGCTTTAGTGCTAATTCTTCTCGTAGTAGTAGTAGTAGTAAAGTCTGTCACAAGCCATATGGCCCATCAGGTTGGCGTTTATCTGCCGGTACCAATTTATACTCCTGGGTGGAGAGAGGCAAGTGGGGTGAAGTGGCTTGCCCAAGGACACAACATATGGCCAGCATCTGGATTCGAACCCCTGACCCTCTGATCATGAGTTACAAACCCTAACCACTAGGCCTTAATCCCGCTTATTCTTCTTCCTTTGCATTTTGTTGCTGCAGGTGGGGCTGTTGCCAACTCCAATGCAGAGCCAGGAGGACCCGGGGTTACATACATGGAAGGTCAGGCACCAGTCCACAAGCACCTACGCATTGATAACCGATGTCAAAGGGCAAAGGTCACCAGACCTAGCGGCAGCAGAGCAACCGCTCAGGACTATGCAGACTACATATCAACAGGTATTCAGACGCCTCAACTTAATTGGCCACCTTATCCTGATTTGCCTCGAGCGAGTCACATGACATTCACTATTATTTTGTCGCGTCAGTGCAACAAGGTCGTAACTGCATTCTGCAACAAAGTCGTATCTCGCACGAATATGCTCCGTGCAACAAGGTCGTATCGCGACGTCCATTGACTTTGTGTGTACATCCGGGTTATTTTAAGTGGGATACGACCTTTTGACGTTCTGAAACTCGCATTTCATGTGTGGCCCATTTTAGGAAATACGACCTTGTACAGACACGACGATTTACTCTCTTGCTGTGCACAGCCAAACAGAGTGTGACGACATGGCACGTTTTTGAGCTGTGAATTTTCAAAAGTTACGTACATCTCAACTCCTGCGAATTTCGCAGCGAATGTTTCCTAACGTCAAATTCGCTTCAAATTTGCTTTAGCGTGAAATACGAACGATGCTGAAGGCATTTTTTCGATCAGAAGTTTCTTGTGTGTCATCATTTTCAGGAGCCATCGCCTATCTTTTACCCGCTACCGACGACTTCGTGTATGAATTCACGCTCATTGAGATCTACGGTGGAGCCGAGTTGACCTTCGACCGGAACAACACCATTGTTCGTTCGGGTGAAGTCGTAGGAGACGACACGGGGTACCTGCATGTCGCACCGAACCACACTTTGGACATCAACAAGGTATGGTAAAGTTTGTCAAACGTATTATGAAGGTGTTGCAGAGTGTGGCTTAGTTTGATCTTAATGTTTCAAGTGACAAGTGCCGGAGGGTTAGGACCTGAATGTAGCTGCTGGCCATATGTTGTGTCCATGGGCAAGCCTCTTCACTCTAACATGCTTCTATCTCCAGGAATGAGAGATTTTAAACCTGACACCAGGGTACCAATATCTGAAGCCCTTTGAATTCTGATTGGGCTATCAAGAGTTGAAGGAGTGTAGCTTATGATAAGAGTTCAGAATTTGAGCTGCTGGTCATATATTGTGTCCACGGGCAAGCTACTTTACCACACTTTGCCACTCACCCAGGAGTATAATTGGTATTGGCATTCGCTGGGGAGTAAACCTGCCGAGAGTATTTTTAGTTATTTCATGCCAAGGAAACCACTGGGTTTCTAAACTCTTTGAAATTGAGGCAGTGTTCGGACTGGTAAGTTGACTGTCTTATTCCTAAAGTAATTTGAAGTTGAATTTTCAATTCAGGTATCACCCTACAAGCGACTCAATGTGACGTGGGCACCCTACATCTACGAAAATGCCTCGTTCATTCTGCCGCCGGCAACCATAGAGTTCCGCCAGTCCTTTGATTGGACCCAATTCTACCCCCAAGCTGCCTGCCCAAGTAGCATGCTGATCAGCTCTCATGTTTCTATTTGGGGGACGTTGGATGGGTCTAGGGCTCACTTGCTGGTTGGCTCGGGTAAGTCTAATTGATCTAGTTGACTAAAGACTTGACCAGAGTGACTTGAGACTTGACCAGAGTGACTTGAGACTTGACCAGAGTGATTTGAGACTTGACCAGAGTGACTTGCGACTTGACCAGAGTGACTTGAGACTTGACCAGAGTCATTTGAGACTTGACCAGAGTGACTTAACCTGGGTGGCTTGAGACTTGACCAGAGTGACTTTAGTACTTTTATCTTTCTTGTCAACATAAGGCGGCACCCTTACAATGGAACTACCCAGCCCAAGAAATCTGCAGTTTGTTGAGGTGACGGTGCAAGAAGATGGTCTGTTTGAGCTCAAGAGCTACTACGGACAAGAAGATGACCATTGGCAAATTGAGGTACGACAGTGTTTCTTAAGATTGATTGTTACCTTAGCCAAAACAAAAAAAAATGTTGGGAATTGCTTGGGACTCAGATCACACTTGTTGTTGTGGGGGGGGGGGGAAGTGAGCAAAATCAACCAAAACGTTTAACCCTCATCAAACCAACCTGACCCACAAAGAAGGTAAATGAGTAAAAAGTTGCATATTTTTTTTTTTTCCAAAAAAGTCACTTAAAATGGCTATTCTTTATCCAACAATTCGATTGATCAATGCACTGGCCAGCCTTTCAAATATTTGAAAAATGGCTGTTTTATTAACAGCATTTTTATTGGTGGAATCATTTGTAGTACACTAATAAAGGGCCTTTTTCTGCATTGTTGGGCCGTTTCTCATGGCTACGGCTAGAAATAACACGCGCACCTATGGAAGCCCCTGGCTAGCCGCTGCAGCAACTTCTCATGGACTCCTGTGTTATTGCCAGCTCTAGCATGCCATTCAGAAATAGTCTTAGATTCAATGGCTTAATTTGTTTCTGTTCCCTTCCTTCAGGTGACCCCCGGCGAGGGTGAAGGTCAAAGGTCGGGTCGGGTCACAGTGGAAGGGGGCGGCACCCTCAAAGCATCCGTTTTGGATCTGCGGGCTCACTCTGTGGTGGTCGACGATGGGGGAGCGATCACAGCAGACTCGATGGGATTGATAGATGGGCCAGGGGCTAGCCCAGCTGGGATGAGATCTGGCGCTGGATATGGAGGAATCGGTGGAAAAGGTCGATCATCCGGTAGGAAAATCAAGGTTCAATATTTGTGAGAAAGTTTGAACAATAACAGGCTTGCATGTTGTATTTTAAACGGGGGTACATAGGCTCAAGACAAAGAACATAGGCTCAATACATAGGCTCAATACTTTGAACACTCTTATGACTAAGGCACATACTTTGAACACTAGTGACTCGTAATTGTACCACTGCATACTCATACAGTCTTGTTTTACTATACTCTCGAGGACAAGGCATTGTCTTTCCCTTTGTCCTGCTAATATAACACTCTCCCATAGACTATTAAGCTCACAACTCTTAATCGAGGACTGTTTTCAACAAAAGATTAATGCTCAAGAAAATTTTCTCTTTTTTTCAGTTTTTTACTATACAAGCTTAAACATATTGTTCTGTGTCCTCTTTCAAACTTGTAGACACTGTCGGTGTAGTTTACGGTTCTCTGCACAGGCCAACTGCCTTTGGAAGTGGTGGAGGAACTGGTGGAGCAAAAGGTATTTTTTTAATCAGTAGTAATTTATATCAGATTTTCCACTGAGATTGTAAAACCGTAATTCATCATGACTTTGGTATCAGTTGTTATAATATTCAGGGAGTCGGGTACTTTCATGCAGTGGTACTTTCCTTGCCTGTACATCAGAGATCAACACACCTGGCACATGGCATCCGACAGGGAGCAGTGGAGGACACTTACAGAGACACTTATACAGAGACACTTACTTGACAAACTCTTAGTTTCCTCATCCCAAATATTTCCAATAATACAAAGTTGGGTAAATTATTCTAATTTAATTTCAGGTGGAGGCATTCTCCAACTGACTGTTGACACCACCCTGCAGATAGAGGGCGTCGTTCGGGCCAACGGGGCTTCTGGAACCACCAACAGAGGCGGTGGCAGCGGCGGTTCCATCTGGATCACAACGAAGGACATGGAGGGTGCAGGAACGCTTCAGGTCAGTCTGTGCCCAGACATCAAAAGTGCAAACTTTTATTAACCAGTTCACGTCGGATGAGGTTTTGCGGTATTTAGAACGGATGACGGATAATCATGCAAAGAGCGAGGCCGGAAATATCTGTCTGCAAAACGCTCACAGCGAGCGGGGCCGGAAATATCAGGGTGTGCTACCCGCAGTTGACGGCCCAAACCCTTCTGACATCGAGGTTCGTCAAAATATCCCGCGCCTGGGTCCGGTCAATAGCAATATAATCCCGGCGCGAACTGGTTAACCAGTGTCCAATCCATTGTCGACTTTTGTTGGACTAGTCTAGTCAACTATCCTGGAGCGCTGTGGCCCTTGGTCTGAAGAATCGAACTCAAGATCTGTAGGTGATTCTGCAATTTACGGGTTCAAGTCCGGCCTGGGCTTGTGGTGCAAGTGTTCTTGGGCAAGGCACTCTACCACAATTTGCCTCCGTCCACTTAGGGGTAAATGGGTACCTGTTTGGGTAGATAATGTAGAGGTTGCGTGGTTGAGTAAGCTTACTCATTTTTCATCACAAGCTGTCAAAGAGCGCTAATTATATAGTGCTTAGAAAATTGGGTAGAAGGGAGAAACCCAAATTTGAATGCTTATCACTAGTTCTTGATCAGTTTCTATCATGTACAAAATTTTGCTCAGCATGAAAAACTTTGCTTTACAATAATGGATTCTCAACCAAAATGCCATGCAATATCTATTGCTCATGATCAATTCTGTGGATTAATTTGCTAAGCGGTAGTTGTTTGCTATTAGCATCTTCATAGAACTTGTTGAATTTGTGTTTTTTTCTAACAGGTGCGAGGGGGATCCGGTGGGACAAATGGCGGAGGGGGTGGGGGCGGTCGACTCGCTGTCTACTACAGAGGCGTAGAGTGGTGGTTTGGCGATCTCCAGGCTTACGGTGGATCAGGCACATACGGACCCGGCGGCGCTGGAACAGTTTATCTTGAGGTACGCTTTTACCTTCATGCCGTTTAAACTTAAATGCGAAACTGAGGGCAGGTTGTAGAACCGTGGTAGCTATTTTTAGTGTAAATTCCCTATCACCAATCCAGTGAACATATGTTGCTTTGAAAACTGTTTATTTCCAACTGAATTCTATAGTGACTACTTCAAATTATCACAAGTCACCACAAGTCAATCGCAAGTCCATCACAAGTCACCACAAGTTCGTTAAGCTATTCAAGTGAGCTTAGACCAAGGCATACCTTGTACTCTGTTCTGGGCTCCGTGCACAAGTACACCTTCAACGGCCAGAAAAGGAGAGTTGGGGGTGACCTAGACTGGTTCCCGGTCCATCCACTGTGTATTTCGAATGATCCAAAGTTATTGGGGGCGGGGATTAGTCTCGGAGACCATCGCAAGTTAAATTTGAACGTATTCGTGCGCCGACGACGCCTGACGCTTATGTGCGAAGACGCTACGGCTTAGCTTTGTGCACATTCAGGATAAAAAAGTTGTGTGTACTTTGTGCGCGAACCAGTCCCGTACACGTACGCACATGTGATGTCCTGTCCAAGGGACTCTCAAAAGTGGTAAAAACGCACCCTCTTTTGTTGGCGCACGGAGCCAATTGTTACTTGTAAATGACTTGTAACTGACTTGTGACTGGCTCGTGGCGTTACTTGTGATTTGACTTGTGATTGACTTGTGATTGACTTGTAACTGGCTTGTGGCGTAACTTGTGATTTGACTTGTGATTGACTTGTGATGGACTTGTGATTGACTTGTGATTTGACTTGTGATTGACTTGTGATTGACTTGTGATTTGACTTGTGATTGACTTGTGATTGACTTGTGATTTGACTTGTGATTGACTTGTGATTTGACTTGTGATTGACTTGTGATTTGACTTGTGATTGACTTGTGATTGACTTGTGATTTGACTTGTGATTGACTTGTGATTGACTTGTGATTGACTTGTGATTGACTTGTGATTGACTTGTGATTGACTTGTGATTTGACTTGTGATTGACGTGTTACTGACTTGTGATTAAAATTTGATTGAATGGATCGTGACTCAAAAAAAAGTTGTGTTTTTTTTTCTAAAATAGAATCTACCGCCTGCAATCCTGAACCGCACCCTCATCGTAGACAACAACAACCAGCCTCCGCCGGTGGAAACCATAACAACAGACCAATACGCCCAGCCTAGTCTAGATTCCAGCCGCTCTTGGGTTCACGATGACGACGAGGATGGGGTGTTGGAGTTTGAGCATGTGCGGATCTTGAGAAAGGCCCACCTGGTTACGGAGACTAACTTAACACAGTGAGTTCTTTTTCCAGCTGAAAAATATTAACAAACAATTACCAAATTGCTGAAATGCCTGATGAAAGTAAATTAATGTCCCCTTCTGTTCAGTATGATTTGAATTGACCATACTGACAGGCCGTTACAATTTGTGGGCATATAAATTCTGTCATTAAATCTTTGCAAAGTTTGATAAAAAGTTTGGGATATCACGTACGTGATATCCCACAGGGAGTGTGCCATGACTTTTTATACACTTAACACGTGATCGTTCTAGGCCAATGAAAATACAGTATTCAAGACAGAGGTATAACAATCCTTTTTCATGCACATTGGCCCCAGATATCATTATTGGCAGGACAACCAGGGGTAATAATGCTTAGGTTATTTGATGTAACGAAATGCATTTTTTTTTTTTTTATTCTCAGGTTGAAAGTTGACACTTTCAGCGGCGATCACTCCTCCTTCATGCACATTGGTGACGGCCAAGTGTTTGTGGGCCATTTTGCGGACGACTCGGAGTTCAACGTCAACGTGCACGTCTACGAAGGAGGCCTCCTTATTCTGCCACCGACGTTCACCTGTTATGACATCACAATAGTGGTCAGGTATGAAAATTGATTTTTTGTTTTGTTTTAACTAAAGATTGTTCCGTGCCAAAGAGGCTTTGATAGTTGTCTGGCATGCGCATTTTATTTTTGTATGAAGAGATTGAGTTCTTTCGCCTGGCGTTTGTATATTTAACCTGAAAGCACAGAACTTGTTGTTGGTAAGGTTGATATTGCGTGCGAAAATGTCTGGGCTATGTTTAAAAAATTTCCTTGCATGTTTTCTCTAAACATCTCTACAATTCATTTTTTGTCAGGGGGACGATAAGTGTTCATGATCTTACCATCGGCAAAGGATGTCGCCTTCTCCTATCACAAACCGGAACCTCACGCCTTCTCAACGACACCCTCGACACCTCCGTCGATCTTGTCCAAGGAAACCTCGCGGGCCACTACCGCTTCGACTCGCTCACCGTGGCCGCGAACGGCGAAGTCACGTCGGTGGACGATGGCAACAACGTTCTTGACAACTTCACCTTGAGCGTGCAGAGGTTGAAGGTCGAGGGCGGGGGTCACCTGCACACCAAGCGGATGGAGATCAACGCGGACGTGCTGATCGTGGACGATATGGGGAGGCTTGTGGCCGACCTTCACGATTTGCCGTGTCCTGATTCGGACGGGGCGGGAAAGAGCGGATCTGGAAACAATGGTGGATCAGGTACTGTTCAAAACGGACATCCAGAGCTAGGGCTACGTCTCCTGTCAACTTGTTCATGTATAGTTAAAAATGGACAAAAATCTAGGCAATAGCTCTTGGGTATAAAACATCACCTGTTTTTTGGAGCTTTGTAAAGTTTTTGACTTTTTTTGGTTTCTAGGAGCCGGTCACGGTGGTCGTGGTGGACGCAGCTCCCACCAGCGTAAGACCGGCGCTGCGTTCGGCCATGTCTTCGAACCCTCCCACCTCGGTTGCAAAGGCGGAGGCCCAAATGGCGGGCGGGGCGGCGGGAAGATGGTCCTGAACATCGCCGAGACGTTGAAGGTCGACGGCGAAGTGAGCGCTGACGGGGAATCGGCAACGGGTTATGGAAACGGTGGCGGGAGCGGCGGATCCATTTGGATCAATACCAACCACATGCAGGTAGTGACAGATGTTTTAATACATTGTATTACATTGTTTTTATTCCCTGATGAATCCATAAAACCATAGAGTGCTCTGGCAGCTTTGGCAGTACAGGGAGTAACAGGCAGGGCAGTTTTGTGGAGTGCCATGGCCTCGTGGTCTGGAGCATTGAATTCATGGTCTGCGGGTAATTCTGCAGGTTGTGGGTTCCACTCCAGCCTCGGGTATATGGTGGTGTGCCCTTGGGCAAGGCACTTTGTCACTCACTGCTTCTTCCCACCCAGGAGTAAATGGGTACCTGTGAGGGCAGAGATGGTTATTTTCTCCCCATACTCCCCTCAAACAATGCCCCATGTTGACAAGTTTTGGTTAATATTTGTAATTCCGATACCAGGGTTACGGAAGGGTGACAGTCAACGGTGGAGCTGGCCACGTAAGTGGGGGCTACCAGGGTGGTGGGGGCTCAGCAGGGCGGATTGCGGTCTACTTTGCCCTCAATAGGACCTTCTCCGGATCCTTTGAGGCCCATGGGGGTCAAGCAGGGGGGCAGGGAGCCGGCGTAGGGGGACCAGGGACAATGTTCTTCTATCACACTGGTAAGGGCTTATTTAATGTTTAAACTTATTTTTTTATTTTAAAATGGAATATCCCTTGAAAGAAACTAATCCATATGAAGTTTGCTTGAATCGAATCCAAGCCAGACACCCTTTTGTATTCAATAAGTTCACGCCATACTTTGATAACAGAAATGAACATACATGCACATTGTTAAAAATAGGTCTTTAAACTATTTTCAAAATTTAGGATACAGGCATCGGACTCTGATTGTCAACAATCTCGGCAAAGGACCCAAGGAGGATGAGAACGTGATTATAGACTATCATGATCTGTCTGAAGACGAAAGCCGTGCTTGGCTCCTGCCTTCCTCAGGAGATCATGACTTTGCAGGTATTGATGATCAGTTGCTTAGCAACAAGGAGGGTGTGGTCAGAGTTGTCAAGTCGTCATAAGTTGTCATAAGTCCTCACAAGTCGGTCATAAGTCAGTCACAAGCCATCTGTCTCGAGACATGTGATGTGCTTCAAATGACAAATGATAAATGACATTTCATTGTCGTGGTTCATCTCCTTATGTCCTGACTTGGGATTGACTTGTGACTAACTTGTGATTGACTTGTGATTGACTTGTGACTGACTTGTGACTGACGTGTAACTGACTTGTGAATGACTTGTGATTGAGTTGTGACTGACGTGTAACTGACTTGTGAATGACTTGTGATTGAGTTGTGACTGACTTGTAATGGACTTGTGCTTGACTTGTGATTTACTTGACTGCAAGTCTTGGTGTGGTCTCTGAATCAAAGCTTGATCTAGTCTAGAACCTTAAACAGGAACAAAGAACAAGATCCAAATTTCCTCATATAGATGCCACTGTTATTCTGACAAAATGTTGACTATATTTACGAACAGATAGCAAGTAATTATTAGGTACTTGTTTTGAAATTATGTGAAACACATTAACTATTTCAGATTGTTTGTTGTTGATTCACTCCTCAGGTGACCAACAATATTACTTTGAAGAGTTCCAGCTCTACGGCCGCGCTCATCTCGCGATCCTCACTGACCCTCCAGACTCCAACGCCTCTATCTACTTCGAGAACATGATCGGAGATCGTACAGGCACACTGCACGTCGGAAACAACCAATCCGTGGACCTCTACCGTCCCACCATCGATCTACCCTTCAACGTCCACGTTTACGTTGGCGGCCATCTTGGACTGGCACCAATTACCATCGTGCATGGTGTTACTATATTCCTGAACGGGGCGCTGACTTATGTTGAAAGCTTGACCCTGCACCATCAAGGACGTTTCTGGCTGAACAAGGACGGGCATACTGGTACCCTGCCTTCAGGGCAGTATGAATTTCAGCTGGTTCACGTGCAGGATGACGGTTACATCCACATGATCTCGGACCCAGTCCAAGACCCCGGAATGAACTTCACCGTAGTTGCCCTGCAAGTTGATGGAGGTGGACTAGTGGAAGGCACACATCTCTACGTCCACGCTGAGAACATCACCATTGATGCCGGGGGCCAGTTCAGCGCAGACGGCCAGGGGTACTCAGTCCAAGATGGCGGCAGCCTGAATCCCGACGGGAGCTTCCGTGAAGGCCTACATGGGATCATCAACTTTGGGATGGGACAGACCGGAACAGCAGGGTCTTCTGGTGCCGGGCACGGAGGAAGTGGAGGGCACGGAAGAGGTTATTTATTCTTTTCCTTCAAAGTTAATATAAAACTCAGAGCCTGAACTTTAAGTGACAGAATGAACGTAATACTCAAATTTATATGTTTACTTTTTTTCTCATCTTTTGAAGGTATTGCAAAAACTGGTCAGCCCTACAGTGACCTGTATGAGCCAGAAGAGTTTGGAAGTGTAGGGGGTGGGACAAGTGGTGGCTCAGGGGGTGGCCGCATCTGGTTCAACGTCACCGATACCATCCTCATTGATGGGTTAGTTTCAGCCAATGGGATCGGAGGCGGGACTAACACGCCATACAACGGGGGAGGAAGTGGTGGCAGCATCTGGATGCACTGTGAAAAGATCAAAGGCTATGGAACTATTGCTACCAATGGAGGATCAGGATCCTCAAGATCTGGAGGTGGTGCAGGCGGACGGGTCGCATTGTACTTTCGCCAGAATGCCACGGCTAATGGTTTCAAGTATGAGTCTCATGGTGGAGCACCTGGCAGCGATTGCGATGAGTGCGAGGGAGGTGGTCCAGGAACCATCTTCCTCTATCACCTTTTCCATGATCACAGAACCCTGTTCCTCGAGAATGCCGGATACCTTCCCAGAGTCAAGGCCATCGACTGGGACAATCTTGAAGAAGATGGCTGCCGTGCTTGGATACTCCCATTTTCCGGCATGCACGACTTTGCTGGTGAGAAGAATATGTTCCACTTTGAGGAGCTGCAGATTTACGATGGTGCTCACATGGCCGTTAATGTGTTCAACGATTCGGGAGGCAACGTAAACCTCTTTGAGGATTTCAGTGATGGGATGACGGTCGCGAGCTCCAAGCCTCGACTTGTGACCCTGTTCTTCCAGCACATGATCGGCGATCGGACAGGCACCATTCATGTTGGTGATCTTCAGGAGATGGATCTGGAACGGGAGGAAATTGATCTGCCATTCAGTGTGCATGTCTACTATGATGGTCACCTTGGTCTGGCTCCGAAGACTGTTGTCCACGGTGTTGAGATACACATGGCAGGCTTGCTCTCACATGTCCTGAATCTGACTCTACACCACGGCGGATACATGTGGCTCCAACACGGCGGCCGTACTACAGGAAGTCCTTTCAGCCACTATGACTTCCAGTTTGTCCGCATACAGGATGATGCCAAGATGGAAGCTACTACCGATACCATCACAGAACCTGGCATCACCTTCCAAACGAGGGTCTTCCTTATTGAAGGCGGTGGCTTACTGCATGGGACCCACCTGACTCTTCTGTCCGAGAACATAACTGTAGATGCCGGTGGGAAACTAGCAGCAGATGCTCTAGGATATGACTCCACTCATTTCAACGATACCCATTTCCATCAGTCTCTGCATGGGGATGTCAACCCTGGAAGGCCTCATGTAAGCACAGGTGTTGGGTCTGGTGCTGGACATGGTGGCAGCGGTGGGATCAGTGTCTACTCTCCCTCCAAGACTTCAGGATTTGCTTACGGAGATCTCTATGAACCGTACATGTTTGGAAGTTCGGGTGGTCTTGGGATTAGTAATGCAGCTGGGGGAAGAGGTGGTGGGCTGATTTGGATGAATGTAACTGACACAATCGAGGTTGACGGAGAGGTGACTGCCAATGGAGGATCAGCTGATGGTAACGGTGGTGGTGGAGGTAGCGGCGGAAGCATCTGGGTTTATTGCCACACCATCAAAGGATATGGACGTTTCGCTGTTGATGGAGGTGATGGTTCCCCCCATCCGACATATCCTGGAAGTGGAGGAGCTGGCGGCAGATTTGGTATGTACTTTGTGAACAATGAGACTGCCACAGGGTTCAACTACCACTCTAGGGGTGGAAAAGCTGGTCATGCTACCCTTGCTGAAAATGGAGGTGGCGGAACAGCTTTCATCTACCACATGGTGTATGATCACCGCACACTGATAATAGACAACGGTGGTCTGGAACCTCTAAATACCTTGAATGTGATCGAGACCTACCATGATCTCTCCTCTGATAGCTGTCGAACCTGGATCCTACCCCAGTCTGGAGTGCATTATTTTGCCAACGGAAACTTTGACTATCATTTTGAGGAACTGCAGATTTACGGTGCTGCCCATGTTGCTATCCTAACCCATCCAGTTGACACGAACGCTACACTGTTCTTCCTGTACATGATTGGCGATCGTTCGGGAACTTTCCACATTGGGCGGAATCAGGTTCTAGATCTTTACAGGCCTGAGATAGACTTACCGTTCAGTGCACGTGTGTATGCGGGTGGGTTCCTTGGTCTGGCACCCTTTACCATTGTACATGGTGTCAGCATATGGCTGCATGGGGTTTTGGCTCATGTCGAGAACATGACCCTGCATCATGGAGGATTGCTCTCCATGGAACACGGTGGCAGGACCAGATATCAAGACCCGAGCCACTATGACTTTGAGTACGTCAGGATACAGGATAACGCCCGCATCCTTGGCATAACTGAGCCGGTTGGGAACCCTGGAATCTTCTTTAACTCTGTTGCTTTGTTTGTTGAAGGCGGTGGCTTGTTCCATGGAACCCGGTTGTGGATCCAATCCACAAATGTCACAATTGATGACGGGGGTAGCCTGAATGTAGATGCGGAGGGATACAGTGTTGCAGATGCCCAAGATATTCCAAACAGTGTGAATCTTGGTCGCGGTTTTACTAACTCCAGTGGATCATCTGGAGGAGGGCACGGCGGAACAAGTGGTCGAGGAGCTGCAGCCTTGAAAACAGGACAGGCGTATGGTAGTTTGTATGAGCCTTACGAGTTTGGTAGTTCGGGGGGAGGTGCAAATGGTGGCAGCGGTGGTGGAATCGTCTTCCTAAACATCAGTGACACATTCCAGAATGATGGAATCCTCAGTGCAGATGGAAGTACAGGAGGTGATGGCTCTAGCGGAAGTGGCAGTGGTGGGAGCATACTGATTGAGTGCTTCCTCATCAAAGGAACAGGCGTTGTGGCAGTAAATGGTGGGGCCCAGAGCAACACCCTGGGAGGAGCGGGTTCCGGAGGTCGCACAGCTCTCTACTTCCATGTCAACCAGACCTTCCTCGGCCAGTTCCAAGCTCATGGGGGGAAGGCTCTTGGCTCAGCAGAGTCAGGGGGTCCTGGGACTGTCTTCTTCTACCACATGGGACACCAGCATCGGACCCTGCTGGTTGAGAATGCCAACTTGGACAGCCAGCATGTTGTCAAGATTGCCACACACACAGACATTTCACAGGACAGCTTCAAAGCCTGGCTTCTGCCTCAATCTGGGGAGCATTACTTGGCTGGAGGAGACCACGACTACCACTTTGAGGAGCTCCAGATCTACGGCAATGCTCATCTTGCTATCCAGACGGATCCCTATGATGCTGGAGCGTCGCTCTTCTTCCGTCACATGATCGGTGACCGCTCTGGGGTAGTCCACATTGGTCCCAACCAGGTCATGGATCTGAGACGAGACTTCATCGACATACCCTTCAGCGTGTACATCTACCAGCTTGGTTACCTAGGCCTGGCCCCGGACACCGTCATGAGCTACATTTTTGTGAATGTCGAAGGACGGTTAGATCACATCCACAATCTCACCTTGTACAATGGTGCAAGTCTTCAGGCTCATCTTACAGGCTCCACAAACGACCTTCCACGCCTAGAGTACCGCTACAACGGGACAACCATTGTCAAAGCAAACAGCGTTCTCAACTTCTCTGCGCCATTTGCCCATCCAGAGCAGTACCTGCTCCACACCGGAAACTTAGTTGTTGAGGGCGGAGGTTTAGTCTATGCAAAGAACCTCAGGATAGAGTGTGATGGGAACATGACTGTTGATGATGGGGGTAATGTTGACGTCAGCGATGGTGGATTCCTGACAAACCTTGGACAAGGTTAGTAAAAAAAGAAATTACGGGAAGCAGAAACCTAAAATTCTGTTACAACACTACTTACAGAGTTTATACTTTTCGGAAACAACCATTGAAAGTTTCTCATCACAACGATTGAATTGGTAGTTGGGGGGGAGTTTGGTAGTTCGGGGGGAGGTCCAAATGGTGGCAGCGGTGGTGGAATCGTCTTCCTAAACATCCGCGACACATTCTGCGTTTTGTGTGAAATTAATACACTTTTGAAAACCTAAATCTCTTTAAAAATAAAATTTATATTATGCATATTATTCTTTCTGGAAACAGCACCAGGTGTTCCTCATCGCCTTGGTAACAGCGGCGCCTCCCATGGTGGCATTGGAGGGCGTGGCCCATGCGATGGGTTCGTTAGCTGTCGTCTGAAACGGAACCTCCCATATGGCAACATGCTGTACCCAGCGTCCTTCGGAAGCGGGGGCGCCGGATCGCGCGGTGGCATAGGTACAGATGTTTTCTGATTGGACCTATTTTTATTTGTCTTAAAATTTGTATTCATTTTTGTTAAAGCTACAGTCCATCATTTGCAGCTATCAAAAAAGTAACTGACGTAATCATTGTTGAAAAGCATACTTGGTTTAAAGATAGTAATGGGACTAAACTTCCTGTGAAATTAGTCTTTCCGGCAAGCTGTCATTTTGAAGAAATCAATGAAAGAAGGTAATTTCCAACGATGTGTCTAAAGACGCATCGCAAATATCAAGTAACCTGAAAATTGAAACAAATCACCCTCGTTCAGTTTTTTTGCAGTTTGCCAGAACTCCTTACATATTTTGAACAGCTTTGTAGAAAAGGAGAGTAACTGGTTCATTTTGGAGAATTAATTCGATTTTTCACCTCTCTTTCAGGGGGCGGGATACTAGACATTGCCGTGGATGGTATCCTGCGCGTGGATGGTCACATCAGAGCAAATAGTCTAGATATCGGTGTGAGTAGCAGTCAGTCGGGGGCATCTGGTGGCAGCGGTGGCAGCATCCTCATCTATGCTGGAGCCTTGACAGGTCAGTAGCCTCCTACAAAAAATCCACGTGGAGTGTCTTTTTTTCCCTCCAGAGGATTCATTTTTGTGAAGTTTAGTAGTTGTGGACAAATACTGGTAAAAGTATTTTAGTCGTGGGATAGAGCCCATTTACATCATGGAAAATTGGCACTTAAGGAGTATTCTCTCTCTCTCTCTCTCTGTAAGTGGGTGTCCCTTGGCAAGACACTTTCACTAATTGTCAGTCAATTCACAAGCAATAGAAGATGAATAATATCAACAAACAAATAGTCAGAGCTTGTGAGTTGACTTGGGACTGGATGACTTATAATTTACTTGTGAAGACTTTGGATGGACTTCTGATAACTAGTGATCCATCACGTGTCTCTTCCTGTCAAATAACTTTATTGTTCTTCATTGTGTGCTTCAGGCGGCCACACTGGAGGGATACAAGCCAATGGGGGCTCGGGCGACTCTACCGCTGGTAGCGGCTCAGGAGGCCGTGTCGCCGTCTACCACACCAGCAACGTGACCCACGATTTCTTCCAAGGTGCCTACAACGTCCAGGGTGGTCCCGTCCACAGCCCGGCCGAGGCTGGAGCATCTGGAACCTTCTACCTGAAAAACCTCCACACTGGATTCAGCGTGCTCCGAGTCGATAATACCGGTCGGCGTCCTGTCAACAACGAGATTGAGAACGTAGGTCAGCGTCTTGATATAAGCAACGTCCCGGCTTCGTACAGCAAGACAGCGTCGTATACGGCAAGCTCCGGAATCACCGTTACGTCCTCCTCTGCAGTCTACAACCGCAACCCTCACTACTATGGCCTTCCAAACGACGGAACCTCCTATATACTCCACTATCTCTTTGATCAGACGCTCAACAATGACATCCACCAGTATTTCCTAAGTACTTCGAGTTCGACGACAATCACGATCAATCTAAAAGCGGAATACTTCGTCAACACCATCAGGGTGTATCCAGTTTGTAGCTTTCCAACAAAATTCAAGGTACTTGTTAAGTCAAATCATTAATAAGTTAGAAATGTCAATCTAGGCAGAGTTTTCATCCAAAATCTGTCTTTAACCTCTTCGTGGTCGATTAAAAAATGAAAGCATGAAGTCTTTGGGTAAGTTTTAACCACATGCCGAGCCTGCAGAGTTTGTAAAATGTTCCTGTTATTTCCATGTTTTCCATATTTTGCTATGTTTTGCTGTGTTCCTTAAGCCTAAACCTTGAAGTCCATTTCAGACCAACAAAGAATTTGGTTTCAGTCAGACAAACTGTTTTTCATAAATTTGTCCTTGACAAGACTCTGGAGTTTTCAGAACAACTGACACAGTCAATTTTTCAACGTAGTCGCTTCTATTTGTATGTTGAAATTGTTGTGTGCTTCATTCAAGTGTTTAAAATAATTTGGTTTAGTTTTTGACCAACCTCCATAAAAAAACTTCTTAATTACCCAGGTCCAATCTTCTCTGAACAACGTCGTTCGCGATGTCACAAGCAACTATGTTCTACCGAGTTCGTCATGCTACTACGGTTCCTTTGCGGATCTGCCCGTCCGATGGAACGCCAATAAGTTGATTTTCCTTCTAGCCAGTACCCAGAGTTCAGGTTACAACTACGCCGCAATGTCGGAGATTGAGATATACGTTGGTGGCGAGAATGTCTACGACAGGTAAATGTGGAGGAAATTATTTGTTTTTACTGTAGTGTGATCTGCCATAGAAGTAAACATCTGCAATTTCAAGATAAACTCCAGGTTAAGTTTAAATATTGAAGCTTCACCAAACGCGAACGCGAACGAAGGAAATGTCTACAGCACACACCGGACTCCGCTCCAGTGAGCTCATAATGCTTCATGAGCCCAGGACCTCCACTCCTTGGGGTGACAGATCCTTTACTGCAGCGTCAGCCCGAGTGTGGAACCAACTCCCTCTGGCTATCAAATCATCTCCATCCATCACAACATTTAAGACAAACATAAAATCTCACCTGTACAAACAAGTTTACTTTCACAACACACAATCCTAACTTGACTTTCTCCTCAAGCGCCATGAGCGCCTTTTTTAGGCGGTACCGGCACTGTTGTTTTTTATTATTATTTTGATTTTTTGTGTCCTCATATACATTAGTGTCCTCCATCATTTGCCTTGGTGCCCTCCATCATTTGCCTTTGTGCAATTATCCAATTCCTTAGCACTCCTTGGCACAAAAAATTAGCTGTTGTAGCTACCCCGGAAAATTTGGAAAACAAATTGACGCGCATGATTGAAATCGACGCACGTGCTGACCAGAGACCTTTTTACCCTTTTTTCCGGCTTAATACAGTTCCTGCGAAGAATTTTGTGATCATTTTAAGTGATCATCTGTTTCGTTGCCATAGATACAAACACAGAGAACTGGACAGTGCCCGTACCTGGATCGAACCAGAGACAGAAACCAACTCCTATGAGTTTGATGAGCTGTACATCACCGGCAGGGCTCAGTTAGCCGTCGTGCCTATGGATAACCTCACCAGTGATGTTGACGTCTATGTCGGTGAACTGTTTGGTGACACGACTGGTATGCCTAAAAAGCTATTTGCGAGTTAAATGTGAATAAAATCTGGAACGTTGACTTGGTCCAATGCTTTGCACATTTTAACTTTGCATTCTCCCAACCAAAGAGACTGTTACAATATCTTGGATTCGGGGCAAGCCTTACGCTAGCAACCCCCAGCTCCGGCATGGTCTGGTTTCTTTGTGCCATTCTCACCCATTGTGAACAGTGTATTGGTGCTGAGCGTCTCTTACGTAACTATGCAAGAGCTTGCCCCGAATCATGTGATTAGCAACAGTGTCTTTGGTCTGGAGAACTCAAAGTTAAAATGTGCCAATCAGTCTGAGCAATCTGTGTACCAGATGTTTTTCAAATGTAAATCCCAAAGGGTATAGGACACTTACAAATGGGTTTGCTCTGTTTTTCTATAAAATTGAAGTTATCAGCTTTTTGTTATTTTTTTGTGAGTATTTTCATTTTGTGAAGTAATGTGTTTTGTACTTCTTAATGTAAACCAATGAAATCTCTGACTTCCTATGTGGTGGTTGCATTTCATCGTGTCCATGCAACAAGGTCGTATCTCCTAAAATGGCATGCAACGTCATGTACGCGAAACGCGAGTTTTCAATGACAAAGGTTGTATCTCGCTTGAAATAACCCGGGTGTGCACACAAAGTCAATGGATGTCGTGATACGCGAGATAAGTAAATTTTATGTAAATTTTAACTTGTCAGTCAATTGCATGTTGCCATTCAATCAATCATTTCGGTTTTAAGGCCGTTGTCCAGTCTGTTCTGGGTTGGCCTGCTTTCTCCCTATGGCTCTCCTCCACTTGGCCCTGTCCGTCGCATCCCTCGCATTGACTCCAAGCAGTCGCATGTCATCTGACATGGAGCTCTGCCAAGTCTTGCGTGGTCGGCCAACAGGTGTGGGCCCACCCACAATTACGTTGGTACACCTCTTGACCCAGCCTGTGCCTCCTCAATACGATGCTGATCCCCTCCACTCCCACTCTCCTCCTCAGTATTTTTTTGGGGCAATTTTAATTTCAAGGGCTCTTTGTAAAACTTAAAGAAAACTTGGTTTTTTGGGTTCTTCAGGATTTGTCCACGTCGGCTATGCCCAAGATATCACCGTCAACGTGACCCATCCAGACCTTCCATTCAACAGTCGCATCTATGAGAGCGGTCAGATGAACATGCCTCCCCGAGCATTCTTCAAAGGCGTGGAAATGAAATCTTCAGGAAAGGTAACAAAAGCCCACCACAACTCAAACTATTTAATTTGTGAGGCTGTTTCTTTTTTTGGGGGGGGGGGGGGATTTGGAATGTTCTGCTTTGATAATAGCATCAACATCTTGGGCACACATACTGAAATTTGTATCCTTGTGGAGACATTTCTTTGTTCTGGTGTAGTAAAGCTTTCGAGTTTGAAAGTGAAGTTTGAAAATGCTCTTATTTTAACCAGAATTAATTTCCTTGGCTGAAATTTGGACTTAATATTCCTTTTCTAAAACTCTTCCATTTGTGTCAGATCAACCCACCTTGAAAATTCCTAGTTTTTGAGTAAAATCCATATATCTATTTCGTGGAAACCTTGTGGAGACGTATTAATCTATAGAAATTGCCCTGTGGAGACGTATACAATCTTTTGTTCCCTATTGTGTGCACGTCTCCGGAGGGCACGGTGTATCAGATCAAGTTTGCGCAAAAACTATTGTTAACCATAGTTTGACTCAGTTAGCCCCAACTCTGTCTAGTTGACGATGGTTGGCAGCCATGTTGGAGGTGTGTGTTTATGTTCCATACGGCATCAAATGTAACTGTTGTAACAATTTTTGAACTTTCAACAGGTCACAGGCATTGACGACCTCTTTGTCTTTGATGGGGGGTACGTTTCCGTGGATACTAATGGCAGCATTGGTGAATACGCATTGTCGGGCGAGATCCAGCTATCATCCATCCACGTCCAGGACCGAGGGACGTTTGAGCTGTTCTCGTACGACAAACACATTGGCGTGGATATAGACGTCACCAACATGACGGTAAGTCGATAAGTCCTGTCCGTCCTGATATGGCTTACATGTGTTAAAGTGGTGTTTATCTCCGGTTTCCGTGGTATGAAACAACTGAAAATATTCCCATTCAGCCGTGATGGATGCCAATCCATCGTAGGTTACTCCCCAGCTAATGCTGGTATACCCATTTATACTCTTTGGGTGAGAGAGGCAAGTAGGAGCAAAGTGGCTTGCCCAAGGACACAACATATGGCTATCAGCTGGATTCGAACTCCTGACCCTCTGATCATGAGTCACAAATCCTAACCACTTGGCCACACTACAAACTAATGTTGGAACTCATTTCTATTTTAGGTGGGGAGAGGCAATCGGGGTAAAATGGCTTGCCTGAGGACACACCATAATGCCAGGGGCGGGATTTGTAGCCCTGACCCTCTGAATTGAAATTTGAAATTTTGAGTTGCTGGTCTCAGAATATCATGATTTTTTTCTTGACTCAAAAGGTTTACGGTGGAGGCCTCTTCAAATCCAACGATCGTTTTAACCTCACCGCTGCCCACCTCGTGGCGGTGTACTCGGGCGGCGAGATCAACCTGGACCACGGGGGTTACATCACCAAGGAGGTCAGGGGTCAAGGGTACGAGCCGTCGGAGGGACCTGGCCAAGGATATGGTATGCAATAGTAGTGAAAGCAAAATGTAGAGATGTGTGTTGTGACGTGGTCAAAAACTTTTTGTGATGCTATTCTCAGATCCGAAACTTCTGAGTACTTTGACCGGATTCGGGGAACTGATATCCGCTGGGTGATAACAATGGCACGTGCGCCGTACGCGTAGCAACCAGAAGAACTTCAGCACACAAACGCACACATGAAGTCAAAATGGCGGCGAGTTTTTTTGTCACCCGCCGCTAGTTCGTCGTTCAGGTCAGTGACCGGAAGTGACATCACACCGGATTCGAGAATCGGAGGGAGTGGTTATGACAGCAAAATAAAGTTTTACATTTACTGTATCCTTTGCATTCATTTCCATCCAGAGTTGTAATGACTCGAGTCAATGACTCGACTCGAGTCCGACTCAAGTCACAATTTTGGGTAACTCGACTCGACTGGAGTCCCTAAGGGCAAATGACTCGACTCAACTTGAGTCACTGCGAGCAAATGACTCGACCCGACTCGAGTCCCTCATCAGAATGACTCGACTCGACTCGAGGAAAGCTAATAAGACTCTAGTCCCCAAAATAAAAGCAAAACTTTGCAAAAAATATTTTTTGTTCACGTCACGTCAAAATGTTTGCGAATAATGTATACATATACATACGTCACAAAAATCAGTGACTCGTTACAACTATGTTTCCATCATCCAGCAATAGTTTTGCGTTTCCCTTTTGTTTGGCAGAGTTGGGGTAGCAAACTACAATGTTTACGTTTTCTGTAACTTTAGCCTGCATTTCTGTGATCCAGTCACAATTTTTCTTGGTTACACTTTGCAGGGAATTGTACCTCTAACAAATTGAAATTTTGCTTTTGTTTTAACTTTGCGGAGCATTTTCAGATCTATTCCCATTTTTTCTCGTTTAAGATATTGCAGGAAGGTTTGGTGACAAGAAAAAAACAATTATGTTTGTTGTTTGGTCTTGATCTCTAGTTTCTTTTTGCGCTTTTGCTTTTGCAGGGAGTGGTAGCGGAAGTAGTGGCGGGGGTCACGGGGGCAGTGGAGGTCGCGGTGGAGGTCAATCACTGGTCGGCCTTGCCTACGGTTCCATCTACTACCCTGTAGACTATGGCAGCACTGGAGGATACGGACAGCAGTATGGTACGTTAACATGTATAACTTTGTTAAAATAGTAACAATAATAATAATAATCGGCATTTAAGAATGCTCTTATTAGTAAACTAAATCACAGCGCTTACAGTATTATTATTACCCCTGATCATTGGGCCAATGAAACATTCAAAATACCATCTCAGCTTCCTGGGGAGTATACAGCTGGATGCTGCCTGTTAGGCGCAAGCAAGCTTATTCAATCACAATAACCATCTCTGTCCTCACTGGTACCCATTTACTCCTGGGTGGGGAGAAGCAATGAGTGACAAAGTGCCTTGCCCAAGGGCACATGCACCATGACCCCAGGCTAGACTCGAACCCACAACCTGCAAAATTACCCTCAGACCGAGCGTTCAGTGCTCTTATACAAAATAATTAGACAAAAAATGCACACATTACACGATGTGACAGCTCCAGCAAAAAAGAAAAAAGATTAAATGCACAACCACCTTTAAAAATAAATTACTTCATCCTTATGCATGTTATGCTATTAGAAATTGAAAAACACTGTACAGACTCTTGTTATTTAAAGATGGGAATTTCCCCTTTTTTTACACATTTAAGTTGTATGCCTGTACTTGAGACACGTACACATGAGATATCTTTAATTTTACTTTGTAAAATGTATAGGCCAGCTCTACTTCGGTGATGAAACTTTGAAGAATATTGTAGTGCGACGGGGTATTGGCGGACGTGGGGGCGGGGCTCTGAAGATCACGACACGTCACATGATCATTGATGGTGTTATATCGGCCAATGGAGAGACACCTGACAGTACACACAGCGTTCATGCAGGTAAGTTTTCTCGCCATAAACAACAATAAATGATTTTTAAAATTGCATCAGAAATTGGCTTTATGAATTTAATTTGTCAATCACATAGTGCGTATGGACCAATCAGAATATAACTTTGTAATCAAGTGACCATGGTAGCTAGTTCAAGCTCGGTCACAATCACCATGTGAAATGAACGCAAACCTAAGGAGGGTGTGGCTAGTATGGTTTGACTTGTTATTTGACTTGTGATGGACCTGAGATTTGACTTGTGATAAACTTGTAATTTGACTTTTGATGGAAAATTTGATGTGTGATATGACTTGAGGTGGACTTGTATTAATTTGACATGATGGACTTGTGATGGGCTTGTGACTGACTTGTGATGGGCTTGTGATGGACTTGTGATAGGTTTGTGATGGTATTGTGATGGGTTTGTAATTGACTTGTGATGGGCTTGTGATTGACTTGTGATGGACTTGTGATGGAATTGTGATGTGCTTGTAATTGACTTGTGATGGGCTTGTGATGGGCTTGTGATTGGCTAGTGATTGTCTTGTGATGGGCTTGTGATTGACTTGTGATGGGCTTGTGATTGACTTGTGATGGACTTGTGATGGGCTTGTGATTGACTTGTAATAGGCTCGTCACGACTTGTGATGGGCTTGTGATTGACTTATGATGGACTTGTGATTGACTTATGATGGGCTTGTGATTTGACTTGTCATGGGCTCATGGAAGACCTCCGATTGACTTATGGTTTGACTTGTGATTGACTTGTTATCTGAATTGTGATTGTCTTATGATAGATCAATGATAGACTTTTGATTTGACTTGTGTTGGACTTGCGGTTGACGTGTGATTGACTTGTCATGGACTTGTAACTTGTCTATCGCTTGACTTGTGATTCGACTCGCAAGTTAAATTGTGGTGGACTTGACAAAATGTCTGTTTTATACTTACATTCCCTCTCCGCCATTTCCCATTATTCCTTGAGGCGGTGGATCCGGTGGCAGCATCTGGATCGACTGCGAAGAGCTAGACGGCTACGGTCACCTCTCGGCCGACGGCGGCAATGGACGAAACAGCGGTGGCGGCGGTGCTGCTGGAAGGGTAGCCGTTTACCACCAAACGATCCGCAACTTCAATGGCACTATATCTGCTGGAGGAGGTAAGACTTTTTTAAACCTCTATTTCAGGAGTTTTAGGCCCGCGTCTGGGGAACTTAATTGGCATAATATGGGTCTAAATTGCTTCAGGAACATCAAGTTGTGTAATTTGAATTCCAATGAGGATGCACCAGTTGAAAACTCCAGTTGAAACCAGTTCAACTGGTTTCAACTGGTTTCAACTGGTTCCAGTTGAACTGGGAATCGGTTATTGGTTTTAAACTGTTTTTGAACTGGTTTAACCATTTCAAAACCAGTTCATACCAGTTCAAAACAAGCTAAACCAGTTCAAACCCAGTCACCAATTTCCTGCTGAACTGGTTTTCAGGACGTTTCATAAATAAGATCTCTATTAATAATTAAAGGCATGTAGGATCATTTGCATTCATCCCAAAAGTAACCTACTGTATTATTAACAAATGCTTGCTTGGATTTAAGATCATACGGGTACTAAACACTCCTTGAAATTATTCTGTCTGGCTTGCTGTCATTTAGAAGAAATCATGAAATATAGATGATTTCCAATCAATGTGGAATAAAGAGTTCTGACAAAATTGTGTTTTGAAATCAGAAGGTTGTTTATGGTTTTTCACTGTTTTCTCAAAAAGTGTAATATCCACATAGCTGAAACTTCAACAGGTTAGGTTTTGAACATTCTTCTTTTGATTTTGAGTGGTGTTATCATTGGAAACGAACATGAAAAACAAATGCCTTTTAGGTATTGTCCGTACCGCCAGTTAAAAGAAACCATTTTATTTTACAGGTTCCAGTGCTTACGAAGTTGGCGGTGCCGGCACTGTTTACATCGAGCAGTACATGAACAATGTGACCGACGCAAACGAAACCAATCTTAACGAAACGCGCGTGACGTTACACAAGACCCTTAAGATCAACAACAATGGCCGCCCGTACCCTCATGCGGCCACCTATAGCCACGGTGACCTACGGAATCTGCTGAATGGCGAGTACGATGACATCACGCGATCCGGCGGGATAACGTGGCTTTGGCATTCCTCAAACTCTTACAACTTTGACGAGGTGAGGCCATATTTTTTTTCATTCCAGAAAGTCTCTTAAAACTCACAGATTTTTTTTGGAAATGATTGCAATAAGCCAGTTCAGTGTTTCAATGACCGGAGGTTATTTGGGATATCATCGCTGACGTATGCTCGTAATTGACACCATGCCTCGTACGCCTACGCGTTCATGTGCCTTCGATCTTTCGATTACCGAAATACTGAACTGGCTAATTAGGCCAAAAAAAATAAGTCTCCGATTTCTGGTATGTGCGCGCGTCGCCATAGCCATGCGCGTCGGCAAAATGAAAAAGGTTTTTTTCAATGAAAGATGATGTCTCAAAACCGCCAAACTCACTGGTTTGACTGGAATCCTGCTGCGGCACAATTTTAACATGTTTTTGGATGGGGTTACGATCGAGAACAAGCTTTGTTTGTTGCCTCTCTGGACTCCCATATATTTGCACTAAGTCAGTGGCATCGCCAAGGGGGGGCCAGGGGGGGCACGTGCCCCCCCTGGAAAACCTAGTGCCCCCCGAGTGCCCCCCCCCCCCTATCAAATGCTGGTGCCCCCTATCCTCTGCAAAATTCTGCGCGTTGTTAAAATCATTACCTCAAAAATAGCAATTTCTTGAGATATCTTCAGATCGAATTTAGCATCAAATGTGGCACCATTTTGCATCTAGCCCATCCTCCGTAAGCGAAAATTTTCCAAAGGGGAGGGGGCCTCCCCTTAGACCCCTCCCCCAGGACGGCGATCCGTATCCACCTAAGTGCCCCCCCCCCCATCAAATGCTGGTGCCCCCCCCCTGTGCCCCCCAGACTGAAAAGTCTGGTGACGCCACTGCACTAAGTTTAGTCGGGCACCATTTGCAGTCATCAGCCGACATTTGAAGCCGTAAAAAAAAAAAAAAAGCCGCGTCGCCGCACCACTTTTTGGGCACGCTCCATACCAGAAACCGGAGACTTTTTTTGGGGGGGGCCTTGGTACGGTGTTTTTATTTGACATTATTTTATTAACAGAAGAGATCATTTTTGTAGGTAGAAAAGAGATCCTCTTTGAATTGTTCACCAATGATATGAAGTATAGTAATACAAAATTTTAGGGAATCATTTTTATCCCAAAATTCATAAATCTTTATTTCTGCCTTTGGAATAGGACTGATATCCAGACTTTTAAACCCATTTACATTTCATTTTCATTTATTTTAAATTTCATTATTGTATCATAGGTCCATGTCCATGGCAACGCACATATAGCCATACTGAGCGACACTTCGGCGGAAGTTGTTCAAGTCCGCGGTGGCAAACTATTTGGCGATCGATCCGCCGTGTTACATGTTGGCCGGAACCAGACCTTTGGATTCGACTGGGTGGATATCTACTTTGCGGCCAATGTCATGCTATACAGGTTTGTTTTATGATCTTTTTGTTTTTGTTAAATTTCGTAAAATATGAGAATTTACAGAAAACTGTAGCAGCTCCATGACATTTGGTCCAGGTCTCAGGTTTAAACATCTGAGTTGCTGTCTTTTGTCTCTTTTTCAGGTATGGTCAGTTGGAGTTGCCCCCTCGCCTCAGCATGCGCGACGTGTGGATGGAGATTAACGGCACGCTGGCCGACGTCGGCGACTTCACTGTGGACAGTGGGGGCATGCTCCATATGTGGTCCTACGGCAACTCCCGCGACCAGCCACCGGGCCGCTACGAGTGCGTCAACATGACGGTGCGGTCAGACGGCAAGCTGGAGATGCTCACCGTTCAAGACGAGAGCGAGTTCACCTTTGAGTTGAAGCGATTTGTCGTCAACGCTGGCGGTTACGTCAGGACAAATCAGCTGCATGTTATCGCAGAAGATCTCACAATTGATGTTGCAGGTATGTATGCACAGTATGCATTTTTAAGTTAAAGAAAATTTGAATCCCACTTCTGACACCACAATTATATCCAAACTATGGTGTCAAAAGCGGGATCCCGGTTCTGACATAGTTGAACCCAAAATATGGTGTCAGAAATGGGATAAAACTTGTATTCCACATCATATGTCACAGTTATACCAAAACTTTGGTGTCGGAAGTGGGATATAAACAGTTTTATATCCCAATGCTGACATTACAGGTAGGCCCAAACCATGGTGTCAGAAGCGGGATGTAGAATGTTTGCATCGCATTTGTGACACCGCAGATATTCCAAACCTTGGTGTCAGAAGTGGGATTAAACCATCTTGTAAAATGTCAGATATGGGATCCAAATCTTTATTCTCTCAGCAAAACAGGCTGAACTTGCTGAGAGGCTTCTCTACTCCATGGCTATGATTGTCAAAAGCTTCATTATCAACAAAAGTGTGCTTTAGATCATTTGATAGTACTGAAATACATGTACTTTTTTGTTAGCACAATAATCCTAAATTGGTTCAATTTCAGGTGACTTCCACGCGGACTTCAGTGGCCATGCCCTTGGTCAGGGTCGTGGTTTTGGTCAGAGCACAGAACGGGGTCAGCGTGGGGGCTCTGGGGGTGGCCACGGTGGCCGTGGTGGACGCTCCAGCAGGGGGATATACTCCTCAGATGCCTACGGGTCTATTTACCGTCCTAGAGATATGGGAAGCGGAGGCGGGGTCGGTAGCCAAGACGATGGGGGAAGAGGCGGAGGTAGGTTTTAATGAACAGAAATTTGCAACTATTGGGCCCAATTTCACGGCGCTGCTAAGCACAAACATTTGCTTAGCACAAAAAAAGTCTGGCTTATAAAGCAGGTTACCAGCCAAAACTCCATGTGATGTATATTGCTCGTGATTGGTATTCAGCTGTTTATTTGCTTAGCATGAAAATCAAATAAGTTTTGGCTGGTAACTTGCTTTTATGAGCAAGACTTGTTTTGTGCTAAGCAAATTTGTGTGCTTAGCAGTGCCGTGAAATTGGGCCCTGGTTACCAGCCAAAGTGTCATTTGATGCATGTTGCTGTTCACTGGTACTCAGCTGAATTTTGCTAAGCATGTTAATTTGGTATTAAGCGACATTCTCTTCTTAGGAGCTCAAAAAAATTTGACGTGAAAAAAATAAAAGTGTATCTTGATATGTCATTCTTTAGGTACCCTGCTTCTTGATATCAGCGATGACCTGAGGGTGGAAGGTCGTCTCCATGGCAACGGGGAGAACAGTCATGGCAACTCTGGAGCGGGTGCTGGGGGCAGCATACTGGCCTACGTGAATCACTTGGACGGGGCTGGGACCATTGAAACCAGGGGTGGACAAGGTTTGAATTGTTGTTTGATGTTTTCTATTATGTCACTGAGATATTATCATAATAAGGCATATTTTTTTTGCAATGCATCATTGGAAAAATTTGTTCAGAGCTTGCCAAAGTATATTCATTTGTTTATACAAAAACTCAGCAGTATTGGGATGCACACGTTGGATTTTTGTTTAGTGAGTAATGTTTGTTGTTTATTGACAATGATTCCAAATGCATTTTTGTTTGTGGTACCCAACTGACACGTTGTTGCAGTGATAATGAATGTATAAGTCAAACATGATGTTGAAAAGTTGCTCTCTGGAAAAAAAAATCTTGGTTTCAAAATGTATTGTGCTTTTATTCCTAAACAGTGACCTATTGTGTTCTGCAAATATAACAGGGAGTTATTACTGCCAAATTGTCTTTTTGAGTCAGCTATATATGTGGACATGTACGCGAATCAAAAAAAAGTCACGGAGTTGACTTAACGCACTTTGTTTACTGTTTATAAAATCTACTACGTTGGCAAAATGGCGCTGACTGGTTCTGATCAGTTGTGGCATGCAGGTTCATTTTCACCTGTGAAGGATTCTATATACAACTCAAAGAAAACATCCACTTGTTTTTCCTCGACGTAGGATCAAGCTATGGCGGAGGCGGTTCTGGCGGCCGCATCGCGATCTACTACACCCACTACAACTTCATCGGCGACTTCCTCACGCAAGGTGGCAACGGACCCGACCATGCTGTGGCCTCCGGTACAGTTTACTTAGAAGGAGGCGTGGACCCAGACCAACCGACGCGCAAGCTTATCGTGGACAACAAGCGTGCGTCCGCGGGGAGTTCGACAATCGACCAATATGTCGTGCTGCCGTTGAACAGTGGCAATTCTTACAGCTCAATGGAGTACCACACGTATGGCGGTGTCAAGATTCGTTCAGACGGTGCCCCATATCACACCTCCGGCAATGGCTATTACCATCTCAGCAGTATATTTTCAGGCACCGGCATGGACGGGAATTACTACTTAACTGGTAATCAGACACCCAAGATTACGATTTCATTCTTCAACGAAGTGTATGCGTACGCTCTCCGGGTGTACCCACAGTGCAACAGGTATGTTGTGAAAGTTTTCTTTCACATATCTTTTCTTTCACATTCTTTCATCTTTTCTTTCACATACTTTCACTGTATATTGATCTTTGCCCATCTTGATAACAATCCACTCAAAGTTACTTAGTGTGGTGTATTGAACTCTGTGCATCAACAATAGAGGGCGCTATGCAGCCTAACAATGAGTGGATGTAATCTGAACGTTTCTACATTGTCGTCCCTTTCTATGTGTCTTGAGGCATTATGATGTACGCCAAAAGAATGAGATAAATAATTGTCAAGTAAATTCAATGTAGAGTTAGCCCTTCACTGATGCAATTTTATTGTCAGTGTCCAAAACGGACTTCGGTATCATCGGCTAATTGTTTCAACATACAGATCAAGTCAGGGCGTGAACAAGAGTTAACCATAATTTGACTATAATAAACTTCGCTTGAATGAAGGATAGTTTGACTACTCTAGTCGACTATTTGGAACCAGTCCACGGGACACGGTTCCATCACTGGTTACCAATAGCCGTGCACATCAAAATGCACAGCAGGGAGCCAGGACCACGAATTTTCATGATGACGTTGCTGTTAGTGCACATGCGTAAGTTACATCACAAATCAGCCACGAGGTGACTAAACCTTTTAACAGAGATGGAGGGTACGAGCTGGTCCACGTGTACGACCGCCTCCTGTCGTGTGACCAAGCTTGGTCACGTGACGGTTCACGTGAGGGCCTCAACAACACCAGTTGATAAAGACACCGTGATGGTGTCGCAAGCTCCTGATACGAGCTCTGTAACTCAAGTCCTAAAAAGGTATCTTTTATTTAAGTGACTAGACTTGTTCCTTGTAGTTGATGAAGACCATGAGCTTGTCAGAAACAAATCAACAAGCCCAACAAAGTTTTTTGACTTTTATTTAATTTTTCCAACAGCCACTTGTCTGATTTCAAAATCTCGAGCCAGATTGGGAGCCAAACGACGGACCACACCAACGGCTATGTGGACGTCACGGGATGCAGAACCCAACAGGAGCCCAATCAGTATTCACTGGTTCTCATCGATTCTAACGTAGACAAGGTAGGAGAGCTGTATACCAGTTGTGTATTAAAATCAAATGTTGCCGGTGACATAAACGTTAATTTTGTAAATTTTGAGATGAACGACAAGGAAAACCAACTCATTGCATAAATACACAAATAACTGTTGAACAAAGAAATGGAGTTGAGCGGGCTTTTAACTGCCACCTCCGAAACGTAGTACAACTCTTTTATCTTTTAAATCAAAACAAAAATGTTTCAGAAATATCAGGGGCCAATTTCGTCGTGCTGCTTAACAGTTATCAGAAACTTAACTATTACATTTTTAGCAGAAAAACTTGTCTAATCTTACAGTGTGTTTTATGTTGTAGATGTACTAAGTTTTGTGTGTGCATGGAGATATTTGTACTGTCGTCTCACTATTTTGCAGTGGCGGATCCAAGGGGGGGTGGCAGAGGGCCCCGGCAGCGACCGAACTTTTCTCAAATAAAGCAATTTTTTACTTATGAGAGCCTTTCACCTCCCTTTCCCTCCCCCAGCACAGCACAGCCTCTACCCCCCCCCCCAGAAGGATCCACCTTTTTTTAGCACATTGTTCCCATAAATTTAACACTATGTGCTTACTGCTCAACAGTTTTCACCACATTTCTTACCAATGAAGACAAGTTAACATTCCTCAGATTGGTTCTGAAACAAAAAATTGTTACGTTCTTTTTCATTTGCTTTATTATTAAAATTGTTACATTGTTGCCGTCGTATGTCATAGATTTTTATCGACCTGAGTGCACATGGCAGCTATGCGGCGATGAACAAAGTGGAGGTACTTGTGCAACGCAACCCGACGTTCTTTGGTGCCGAGATCCAACCCCGCTTTGCCGTCGTGCCGGGCACGCTGATCGTTGGAGAAGACGAAGACACCAACACTTTCGAATTTGATGAGGTAACACAAAGTCGGCAACTTTCAACTGTGATTTCCTTGGCATATTTGCTGTTAACATTTAATACCAAGTTCTCCAAAACCAGCCAATTGATCCTGCTTGCTCGGTGGTTGGTGGTCAGTTGGTAAGATGTCTGCACTAGAAAGCAGGAGGTCGTGGGTTCGAGGCCCAACCGAGTGATTTTTTCCAACTTTCACTTAGGAGGTAACACATTGAGTATACAGTGTTTATACATCGGTGAAGGGCAGACCCTTAAAATTGATTTACATCACCCCGACGCCAATTCCATCTTATAAAAATCCTCCATTGGAATTGTGAACATTTCAAACACATTTCAACGTGAACAGAAGTTCCATCATCCCGACGCAAATTCCATCTTACGAATAATTTGGTTGTGGTACCCGCTGCTATATCAGATTCGAACCAGCCAGCTGACTCGGCAAGCTCGGTGGTCGAGTGGTAAGGTGACTGCACTAGAAAGCAAGAGGTTGTGGGTTCGAGTTCCACACAAGTAGTTTGTGAATCTTTTTCTCACAAGCGTTTGAAAAAAAACTTAGTGTTTATAAAATACGTTGGTGAAAGGAGCTAAAGCAAAAATATTATTGAGTTGCGTTCATGTTATTGCCTCACACTGAACTCATTTACAAAACTCTTCTTTTATCCCAGGTCATCATCAGAGGTCAAGGGGCACTGGCTATGACCAGTAAGTACGCCGAGTCCCCGCGGATCGTCGCGCACACCCTGAGTGGCGATCGCAGCGGTCTTCTGACGTTATTCTGGGGACAGGTGTTCGATGCGACAATGCCGCGGGCGTTGCTGCCATTCTCGCTGTTGGCGCTGGACGGGACTACGGTTACCCTACCGACCATACTGGACTGCAAGAACGTTGAGATAGCTATCGATGGTAAGGGGAAGGACCATTTGTGAAACTCTGGTTTGTTTCTGGCTATGGCTTTTCCTGGCAACGCCCGTGCACAAGTACCCCAATAATTTTATGAAAGGAAGAGTTGGCGAGACCTTTAGGAGAGACATTCTAGCACGTGACCGAAGACGCCGGACGATCACGTGAAGTTGTGACGGATTTGTGCACATTTCAGAATGTTATTTGTGACGTAAACCAGTATGCGCACGTGGTGTATCCTATCTACGGGGCTCCGGAAAGCGGTCAAAAGTGCCCACTCTTGTTCGCGCATGGAGCCCATGCATACTGGTACCACCGTTAGTTTGTAACGACCTTTCACCTTTGACCTTTCCCAGGGAGCCTTCACAGCATGGACAGGTTCACCATTAGCTCCGGCTGCAAAGTCTCCCTGGAGTACAAAGGCGGCGGGAGGAACTACATCGACCATCTGGACGTCAAGACCTTCGGGTCCATGTATATCAATGATAACCAGCAAGGCACTGTGACGATTGAAGGAACGACGCTGAATGTCCGCAGTGGTGCTCTGGTAAGCTTTTGTAGTTTTGAAAAGACTTTTGCTACAATGAAATTTTTGCTACAAGCAAGATCGACTGCTTTGTGTGTGACAGCTAGAGTTGTGAATTGATTTGTGATGACCGCACCTGACAACATCTTCACGCTTAAAATGTTGGTTACTATTTTTTCCGCAGCTGAAGTCGAGTGACCTGAACCTCCACTATGTCAACGTCAGCGTGGAACCCTCGGCCACTCTCTCCATTGCCTTTGCGACGCATTTCAAACACGAACAAGCAATTGGTGAGACAGGGAATCGACAGGGGAAAGCATATTGTGGTTTCATGTCCCATTAAGATTAAGCATTGACTCATCTTAAACTTTTTGCTTTTCGAAGACGGTGAGACAGCTATTGCCGTCTTTTCCTATTTCCATACGATGAAGTATTGTGATGAAAATCTTAAGCAAGGTTTTATCTTTTAAGTACTACATGTCTATTCTATCTAACCCGTTCAATCCTGTACCACCTAAAACCGCCCTGGGAAAAAATACCACGTAATACAATGTAATTATACAATGTAATACAATGTTATACAACTTTGTACAATGTAATACAATGTAATACAATGCACTTCAATGTAGTACAATGTAGTACAGGTGCTATAATAGGGTAATAATGGTAACTTAATTGTGTCACTTTTAGGAACAAGTCCAGGGATCCCCGGCACACCGGGCTCATCCGGCGCCGGCCATGCCAGCAACGGTGGCAGTGGACAGAACCAGCCCCGCGTCGGAGCGACCTACGGCTCCTTCCTGACCCCTGACCTGTTCGGGTCAGACGGGGGTTACTCCACCTACCCACACCTGGGCGGGTCGGGGTCTGGTCGAGTCTACATGAACGTAACTGGGATACTGACAGTGGACGGAACTCTAGCTGCCACAGGTTTGGACAAATTTTGAACATCCATCCTGAAACCAAAAGATTTCAGAAGGAAAATTAAAATGAGGAGAAAAAGAAAGAAATTTGTGAAGGCACTAGTAAGCAGGAGGTTACAGTTTATAAGTCCCCCTCAAACAGGTTTGTGATTTGCAAAACTGTGAAGTTTTGGAAAATTATAAAAAAATGTGAGCAACTCTTTTGGGGAGGGGTGAATGTTGGTTGAAAAGATTTTACTTTTAAAACTATCTGATTAAATATATGGAACATTGTAAAGATTTATTTTACTGTTTAAGAAATGCCTTACCTGTCCTCTTTTGTAGGCGGAGCCTACCGCTCACCAGGAGCAGGGGGTGGCAGCGGCGGCAGCATCTGGATTGAGACAGAGACTTTAGACGGAGACGGTGTCATCGAAGCGTCGGGCGGGGATGGTTACTCCGGTAGCCTCAGCCAGTACGGTGGGGGTGGTGCAGGGGGACGCATCGCTGTCTACTACACAAACAACCACTTTATTGGTCAGTTTTCTGACAACTTTGTACCTATGTAGTTTTGGTCTCTGTTTAATAGATTTTGCAATGAAGAATTATCTGGTGGATAAAAAGTTTGTAACATGTTCTGTCAGAAGGAGACACTTCTGGGTAGAGCTTGAAATGGAGAAACGTCCCAAACAAATTCAGGGGTAACTTTTTTATGGCGGAGGTAATAACGTGCTTGGCGGAGGTAATAAAAGGATATATTAGTCTGATATATTTTTGGTATTCCTGTTTGTTTTGTGTCACCTAGGTGATTTTGAAGCCACGGGTGGTGCAAGTAGCTACGAGCCTGGCGGTCCCGGAACGGTCTACTTGCACAAACTCCAACCCAGAAACGGTACGACTCTCCTGGACGCTACGAGCGACGAGGCGCAGATTACCCATGATTCCAATGTCACGGAGCCCCTCACCAACCGCACGCTGTACATCAACAACCGCGGCAGGCGACCGCGAGACTGGAACCGCAACATCACCGACGGGTACGCAGACTACGCCAGCGTGCCGACGATCGTCTGGTTGACGCCAACTGAGCGTGCTCAGATCGACGTTATGCGAAACGACCACACCCACAACTTCACCGAAGACGTCATTCTGGACGAACTGCACGTCTACGGCGGCGCGCAGTTGGCATTCTTGGATCCCGAGTATCACGATCACTCTCTGGACATCCGAATCGGTTCCATGTCAGGTGACCGGTCAGGGAAGATGCTGATTGGTTGGAACCAGACGCTGTACGTTGCCAATGCGCACTTCCCTGTGGATATGGACCTGTATCGCGGCGGTTTGGCAACGCTTCACGGAGAGCTGAAAGTAGCGGGCGTCAGGATTAACATTGAAGGAGTTTTGGAGAACGCAGAGAATATCACAGTGGCAGATGGAGGTAAAAAAATATCTTTAAATTTGTCATAAAATGCTCTTCAAGTGTACAATTTGAGAGTTCTAGTAAACAAATGACTGTAGAATGTTTTTGAAAGTCGGGGGGGGGGGCCCTACACGTTTGCTTTTCTTGTTTCTGTATAAGAATATTACATTTTATGTTAAACATGGAAAACAGTATTAAGTGTTGAATGTGCAGAGTTTAATATTATAACTTATTTCATAAATGTTTGTTGGACAATTTGTCAAGGCTTTGTTTTATGGACTTGAAATGATGATGTTCATTAGGTCATGCTTTTGTGCTGACAAATGGGCCATTCCATGAATTTATTGTCTAAAGGTGTGCCAATTTTTGTGTTGCTGTTACACCTGACCTGTGTATCTTTTAAATTGACTTCAAAAATTGTTTTATTTGTTTGGCAAGTAACTTGCTTTACATATTTACTTTTGGAGATAAAAGGCATTTAAGAATGTGTCCTGAATTGACAAGATCTTATATAAGATTTAACAGGGGCACGAAAAAATTGGACCTCAAATTTATGGAACGACTCAAATACTTTAATACAACCGTTAACCTGAATTGCTTAACATCTTTATTGATTTTTGCAGGCTAGCAAAGATTAACCACGTTTGTAACTTTTTAATTTCACTACCTCCTAAAGGAACACTCCTCATGCATGAGATGATCAACATGGAAGGCGAACCAACAGAAACGTTGGACTTCCACACGATCAACATCCGCAACCACGGCACCATGACGGCCAAAAACGGCCGCGACAGGAGGACGCTCGATGGACAGTTCATCCAGGTGTACGGCGGCGGTCAGCTGACATCCACCAATCTGCATATTGTCGCTGACGTGGTGATCGTGGACTCCAAGGGCTCCATCAGTGTGGATGACGAAGGTTTTTCGGGAAACAGTAAGTTATAATTTAGTTGATATCCACAAGTTATCCATTTATATTTTAGTTGATGTAGTTGGTCTAAGTCTAAAAGTGCAAACCAAGTTGCCATCCACAAGTTATCAACGCATCTTTCATTTAATGAGTTTTGCTCTTGACTCCAAGTGCTCAAATAGTGTGGATGATGAAGTTTTTTTCTGGGAAAAATAGTTGTAATTTAGTTGATATCAACAAATCGTCAGCTCATTTATTTTTTTAGCTTGTATGACTTGTAATTCCAAGTTCTTCATCTGTGCAGATGATAATGGGTTCGCAAGAAACTGTCAGTTTTATGTTGAGATCCACAAGTCAACAAAAAAAAAACAATTTGTTGATGTGAAGATGCGTAGATGATAAAAGGGTTCACAAGAAACAGTCAGTTTTGTGTCAGTATCTACAAGTCATCAAACAATTTGTTGATTTGTATTTCTTAAGTGCTCCAACAATGTAGATAAAAAGGAAACAAATTACAGTGAAGTTGATATCCACTACTTATCAACTCGTCATTTGTTGATGTGTCTTGCCTTTGATTCTTGGTCTGAATTGACATCCACCTTTAGTTGATATCCACCAGCAAATACTTCGTTGATTTGTAGTGCTTACAGGGCCAAGTGCTTCATTGATGAAAATAGAATGGTAAATTCTAGTTGAGTTATCAACAAATGTTTTGTTAAATATTGCTTTTGATTCTAAGTCTGAGTTGATATGCATTTTTGAGTTGATATCCACTAGTTATCAACTTTTGTATGTCATCAGTGTGGATAATGGAGAATTTCATGGTCTTGTTCTTGTGCCTTGAAGTCTGGACATAAATTGAAAACCGTTGTGGTTTATTTTACTTAAAGCTGGCCTAGGCGGGGGATTCACCTATGGCAACATCGGCACCGGAGCGACCCACGGTGGGGAAGGGGGTTGCCAATCCAGCTCCCAACTGTCCCCTCCAGCCTACGGCTCCTTCACCACCCCCGCCGAATATGGAAGCGGTGGGGGGAACTCGGGCGGCGCCGGGGGCGGGATATTGTCCATGAACGTCAGCCAGTCGCTGAGGGTAGAGGGCGCCATTCAGGCCAATGGTGGGCGGGGCATGGCTGCCAGGAGCGGAGGGGGCAGTGGTGGAAGCGTCCATATCTACGCAGAGTATATCGAAGGATCAGGTTTATTCCAGGTATGGCTAAGTCAATTTAAATATTGAATATTCAAATTTGCAAATTTCTCTGAATAAATATTTAAATATACGATGTCCTTAGACAGGGGATAATTAACAGATTTCAGCCAATGAAGAGTGCAAAGTGCAACTAACTCCTCTCAAAAACTCAGTCTTAAACTTTTTTGTAATGAAGTACATATTTTTCTGAATTTCTTAATGTAAGGTGGAAAAGTTAATCAAAAAAATTAATAAATGTGAATAAAATTTTTAAACTCATTTAAACATTATTGATTGATATAATTGCTTGAAGTTTTGTAATATTTGGCCTTTTTTTTTTACTGACCAAATTTTTTTCAATTGTTTCCCTTGTTATTAAATGCAGACAATCAAAACATTTTATAAATTTTGGACAAATTACAGCAAATTTTCCTGTTTTGTTATAGGCCAACGGTGGTGATGGCAACGATGGAGGTGGTGGTGGCGGAGGCCGAATGGCCATCTACTTCCAGGAAAACAAATTTGACGGCGACTTTGAATCCAGAGGAGGGTCAGGGGTCACGGAGCACGGCGCCTCGGGGACCATCTATCGGAAGAGGATGGTTGAGGGCGACGAGCACAAGACGTTGCGAGTGTACAACCGGTTCAACAGCGCCCGGTCGCAGGTTAGTGTTTGTTGGTTTGTTTGTTTGGTTGGTTGTTTGTAGTTGGAACTCTGTTAGGGAGGTGGGGCTGTAAAAAAAGGAAGGAGGAGGCCCTTTTTTCCTTTTTATCTCCCCCCCCCCCCCAACGGACCGGCTGGGCTATTTTTCAAGATGGCCGCCAGCTTTATTTTTTAAATGGCCGCCACATGGACTCAGGAAATGACATACCAGCTTTATATAGCTATATGCATCAGAGAAAGAGGCCAAAATGATGTAACTTTTTAAAAATATCATATCATTTTTTCGGGGTTCCCCCCCCCCCAAAAAAAAGCGGCCTCCAAAAAGGAAGCAGGCGGGGACGCTAAACATGTTGTTTTTTTTGGCCTAAGGCTTTTTATACTAATTCAAATTTGGACAGTTATATCTTAATGACATGGTGTCAGCATTATAAACGACATTTAATCTATCTTAAATGAGAAATGATCAACATTTATCTTGCTTGTTTTTTTTTCCAGTCTCGTCGGACCTGGGTGACCCTCCCGCCTCACTCCGATCCAGACCACGACATCGACTTGCTAGACGTCGGCCAATACGCTCACATGGAGCTAGAAGCCGTTGACGAGGAAGGCAACCCAACGAGAGACAACGCGACCCGTGTGCTGCGCGTGGCACAGACAACCGGAGACTCGACAGCCACGGTTCACGCCGGGGAGTCGGACGAGTTGTACGTCGCATTGAACGCGTCCAGGCACTTACCGTTCAATTTGGTTCTCTATGAGGTACTTACAAATTAAACTCGAAGGTATTCATGGCAATAAAATGCATTGTTGGATGCATCAATAATTTTGCTATAAGTATTCTTCGGTGAAGTGTGGACTCCATTCCTGAACAGGAGAGGGCGCTCTGTATCCAAACAGCAAAAGCAACTTGGTTCGCTAGTTACAAGTAAACTCTATAGTTAGTATCCATGGCAATAAGATGCATTGTAGGATTCTCAAATAATGCTTTGTATACTTTGGTGAAGTGTGGACTCCAATCCTGAGCAAGAGAGGGCGCTGTCCTCAAACGACCAAGCATTTGAATGATATTTCCATATTGTTTGCAAACTGGTCACTGTTTATATAATCTAAGGATACTGGCATGCATGAGACAAGATGGCGCCCAGTGGTCCTTCAGTATTCACACTCTTCCCCATTCTCAACATTGAGGGCGCACTTTTGTTCACTATGGCAAAACATTTGGTAAAGCTTAGTCTGTAAAAGTGGATTCAGTTGTTTGTGGTTTGTAACTGATTTTATATTTTAAAGACAATTTTGAATAAATTAGACTGAAGTTGCTTTCCAATTATAATTTGCGAGCTTTCTCCATTCCTTACCCCACCGCAGAATGGAACAGCCTCCCTACCCGAAGACACATTCCTCCAATCAGTGGACTTCCTCCTCTACGCCGGTGATCTGATTGGCTTATCAGATTTGGAGATCGGTCTCAACTCCCGCGTCACCTACCACCCCTCTGCCAGAATCAACTCTGCCACCCAGAGCGAGGCTAACTTGCATAGCCTCACTGTACTGAGTGGCGGTGTGATGGAGTACACAGGAACTGCTGAGAGGGATCAGGAACTCACCATTAACCTGGCAGGGGAGTTCAACATGCGGGCAGGGGCCTTGATGACTGCAGATAAACTTGACATTTCAGGTATAATTTATCAAAATGATTCCTCTCAACCTGTTGTATTTCTTTAAGTTTACGTCAGCAGAGTTTTCCTAGTTCATTGATGACTTGTGATAGGGTGGGGTTGGATTTGGATAAAAAAAATGACTAATTCACTCTAGATCTATTCCCTGTACCACCCTACAACTGCCCTGACTGATACTCCTTATACTGCCCCAAATCACTCCGAACAATCTATGATTTTAAATCAGGGACTATATATGATGTAATACAGTGTATACAGGTCTCAACAGGTTGATATCACAATTTTTGTATTGGTTGTCTTTAGCTGACAGCATCACCATCGATCACGAGGCAACTCTCGATGTGAGTGGGCGGGGCCACACCCCCGGGAATGGCATCAGTCCGGGTATCCCACACTCCAACGGAGGATCTGGTGCATCCCACGGTGGCAGAGGTGGGATGGGAGCCTACGTGTCCTACGCAAGTAAGGCCTACGGGAACGTTTTGAGACCCACGGAATTTGGAAGCGGGGGAAGCACAGCCGGTAGTGGGGTAAGTCTGTGAATGGGATCTTGGAGGCAGTGAATAAAAGTCTGTGAAATGGTGTATGTGTATATGGAAGTTGACAAATGGTGGCAGAGGTGGGATAAATGAATTTGGAAGAAGGGAATCGCTATTGGATAGAGTGGGGGTAAGTCTGGGAAAGTTTGTGTAGTGGTGGCAGAAGTGGGATTGAAGGTTTGGTCCTAAGCCAGGAAGGCCTACAGAAATGTATTGAGACCCACGGAATTCGGAAGTGGGGGAAGCACAGCTGGTAGTGAAGTAAGTTTTCGTAAGGGTATAGGTGTATGTGAAGATTGCAAAATGGTGGCAGAAGTGGGATAACTGAATTGGGAATTTGAAAATCTTGTCTTGAAGGAGTAGCGCAATTCTGTGAAATGTTGGAGTGTAGGAAGGCTGCTCAGATGAAGTGGCAGAAGTTTGATATGTAAATTGAGAAGTAAGAAAAATACAGCTGAAGGTAGTGGGGCAATTCAGTGGAAGGGCGCAGTGTGCATGGAAGGTACCCATTGGTGGCAGAAGTGGGATAAGTAAATTTGTATCTTCAGCTTGATGGGATATCCCAAATGAGTTTGTTCAGGATATTAGCATTGAAAGTGGGAGGCACTGAAGTGGCTGTTATTATGAATGTTTTCTGGAGGCAAAAGTGGGTGAGTTTGTAACAGAATTAGTAAAGTTGGGAAACTCTGTAACGGAGCTTTAGTCGGGCCTTGGGCTCTCATGCAGCAGTACAAGTGTTGGCTTGTATTTGGTACCCTATGAAGTATTTACATTATATATTTTCAGAATTCCTGCTCTGGGGGAGGTATCGTACGTCTCCAAGCCCAGAACCACACCCTGATCGATGGAAATATTCTGGCAAGTGGTTCCCATGCCAACGTCCTCAGAACAGGCGGCGCAAGTGGCGGCAGCATTTGGATTACGAGCAGCAGTGTCAGCGGTAAGATGTGTATGGTTATCGTGCTTTCAGTCATGTGATGTCAAATTCTTGGACCGAGCTTCTGTGTAGGCAACGTAATACAAAGTCCGTTTTGCTTAATATTTTAATTGCGCCGATATTTGTTGGTCCAAAAAGTCATGTTTCACAAGTTCCTCATTCAAACATAGTCAAATAAAGTGGTGAGAGCCACTTTAACCCAAGAGTAACTATTGAGCCTGAAAATCCTAGCCAAACCCAAGCCCTCTGACAAGACCTCATGTTTGTGTAACAAAATCCTTACATAGTGAGTCTAGCCAGCCTCACTGTAGGGCATGGATAATCAATCATCCTGTCAACAAGACTGGTCAGCAAGCTCAAGTGATGGCTGTTTGCAGTTGTCTGACCACCTGACAACCTAAATATGACAACAAATAGCTGGGTGAATCTGGACCCTAACTGGTACTGCAAACTGCAGTATGGTCCTAGAACCGTCCATGGAAAATGCCAAACTAACGTTGAGGGATTGAAGTGGACAAGCAAAGCAAAAAAGCATTATAGAGCTCCAGCATTTGTTTAGCGGAGAACAAGGCGACGGCAGTATAAACTGTGACATTTGGGCTGGTTACATGTTTTTGCCACGAAAATACTTTCAGATATTTACAAATTTCCGTGCATATAAGAGACTGCTTCTGAATTTGACTTGAGCAGAGTTGTAAGTAAAAAACTAAATCAGAAGTCGATCAAAAGTAAAATTATACGTCAGGTCACAGCAACAGGGGATGGACAATGACAAATGAATACCATTTTGCAGTTCATTGGAACAACTCATCGCTTGACTTGGGACTGGAAGACTTGTGTTGACCTGATTATAACTCTAAAAAAGCGAGGTTCATTACATGAAACGTTGCCGCTAACTTTGTCTTGTATGCAGGGAGAGGCAAGCTGATCGCCAACGGCGGTCACGCCACCTGCGTGCCGCACTGCAGCCAGTGCGATTCGGAGAAGCGGTGTCTGCAGTGCACCGACGGGAAGTTCCTGCAGTTCTACAACTGCGTCGACCGCTGCCAAGATAGCGACAATGAGAGATACCCTGGTTGGCCATGGAGTCATTATCAAACGGGAAGATATTGTGCTTATGAGTCTTCAACTGGCACTAGGGTAAATAATGGAGTTATTTTTGGTTGGTCCTAGAAAGCCAGTCTTGTGTCCTATTTTCACCAATGATATTTCCGGCCTCGCTCACTGCGAGCGAGTCGCAGACAGATATTTCCGGCCTTGCTCGTTGCATATTTAACCGTCATCCGTTCCCAATACCGCAAAACCTTTGCCTGTATACTCATCATCCAACAAGAACTGGTCATAGAGTTTTTAAACTCAGACGGTGTATGCAAATTTGGCACATTTCTGGTTTTCTAGAGGAAAACAAGCTTCTCTGTCTGTTCACAGTATAAAATAATTCAAGTAATTTTACCAAAGTTGTCTGTCAACAGGAGATTGGTGGAGGGGGTGCAGGCGGTCGTATCGCCATCCACACCACCGATTCCAATCGCTTCGCTGGACGCATGGAAGCCTTCGGCGGCAGAAGCCACAAGGAAACCGGTGGGCCGGGTACCATCTACCTCTCAAACATCACTCCCAACGAAACGACGCGATCGTTGCTCATCAGCAACGACAACCGTGGGCCGACACGGACCTATCTACCCTCGAGCCAGCAGGACAGTTCGCGAGCATACGTCATCACGGACTCTAGTCACGGAGTGAGCGAGTACACATTCGAGAGGGTCAAAATTACCAACAGAGCTCACTTGGCATTTGAGAGCTCCATGAATGGGCCTTTTGACGTGACGATCGGGCATTTGGACGGAGATAGTAGCGGGGTGTTTCACCCAAACACCAAGTATCCAATCACGATTCAGGATTCTACGTCACCGTTTCCCGCAGGGTTCAGAGTGTACGCGGACACATACGTCAGTTTTCCGAAAGGTATGGAGTAAAAAACTGTATGGATGATAAATGCCCTCAATGGCAGCAATGAAGTACATCAGTGTTGATATTGAAGGACATCTTTCTTTTGAATGCAACTGAGATAACAAAAATCAAGAAAAATCTACCTATGTGTACTGTATTTTGTATATGTGTTTTTTTTAATCAGTCACCAGACTAGAGAATCTTCCAGTCAACCCAGTCTACATTGAAGGCACAGTGGATGGGGTACAAGACCTCACCATCGGCCAGGGAATGCACGTTTCTATTGGAGAACATGTAAGTTGAATCCATCAGCTTTATGAATTTTTTTTTTACAATGCCCCAAATTCCCGCAGAAAATTGTTTCCTTTGAAATATGCTGCACTGAATTGCCTGTATCGTGCTCAATTTGGGTGGCCGATCACTTGAATGAAAAGCTTTTTTTTTAAAGATTTTTTAAAGACCAGAATTTAAACTTCGAAAATTAAACAGCATCTGTTCGGTGAGAATTCACCTGTTTTTTGGTTTACTTGCTGAAATAGATATGGCTCTGAAACGATGATTAATAAGCCTTTTGAAGTCTTTTTTGTGTTTCGGTAATTTTAAAAATAAACCTTCATTATGCAAATAACTTGAGTTTTGTACAAAGCTATCGACATCACTCAGAGACGCTGTGCTTTTTGTTTCTTTTTACTACAGGGAAAGTACTCAGGCCAACCGGACAAGTCCTTCACCCTCGACACCCTCCAAGTCCTACCCAACAGCCTACTCTCCTCTTTCTACCCTGATGGCTTGACCTATAACCCGTCCTTTGACACCCTGGAGCCATCCCTGAGGCTGTCGCTCAGCAGTTTCTTAAAAATCCACCCTGGAGGTTTAATAAAGGTACGCATAAAATTTGTTGTTCTTGATAAGAATTGTGCATCCAACAGTAAACTGAATTTTTTGTGTGATTTTTTGTATCTAAATATTGAATTAAAAAATGTGGGTGTTTTTTTTTCATTTAAAAAACTGTAAAAGTCACCGAAAATTAATTTATTGATATTTTTGCAGACCAACTATCTGGATGTAGTTGCTGAGGTTGAGGTGGAAATTGACACAGCAGGTGTGATCGATACGTCAGGGCGAAGCCCAGACATCGAACATGGGGGCATCGATAGCGCAAACGGTTAGTGAAAAAAATGATGTACATTTTGTTGAAAAAAGTTTTTGAAAATTCTTTTTGACTTCCACCATGATATGTCTGATATGTGAATATTAGATGTAATAATTGTGTTGGTAAGAGTATAAAATTTGAACTTTGAACTGCTCTCACCAGGAGCATCTGGGGGAGGAAATGGTGGCAGCGGTGGTCAAGGCAACGGACAGACCATCGTAGGACCCCCTAGAGGCTCTGCCCTAACCCCCACCAGCTTTGGCAGTGCTGGAGGTACGGGGAACAAATCACCCTCCAGCCCAAACACAGCCGGCAGGGGCGGCGGCGTGATACTGATCACGGCCCCTGTGGTGGAGGTTGACGGGCAGTTGAAGTCTGACGGGACTGGCGCAAGTCAATGGTTCAGCGGCGGTGGCAGCGGTGGGACCGTGTTTGTGGAAACTCAACAGCTGCGCGGACAAGGTGAGTGGATGTTGTTAATATCAACTAATTTAGTTAAGTGGAAGTCTGGAGGGACTTGGGTAAGTCAGTAGTTCAACAGTTGTAGCAGGGATTGAGACTGTGTTTGTGGAGACTGAACAGCTGCGCAGACAAGGTGAGTGGATGATGTTTTTATCAACTAAATTATGTTCATATCAACTAAATTAGGTAGTTGAAGTGAAAAAGAACTTGTGCAATTCTATGGTTCTTCAATGGTGGCAGCAGTGGGATCTAACCAGAATAAACGTTTCAATTCACAGGTCAAATATCTGTCAAGGGTGGCTCTGTCCCATCCGTTTCCACTGGCAAGGAAGGCGGGGCCGGAGGGGGTGGTCGCATCACCCTCCTGTACCACAACACCACGTACTCTGGTCAACTCGTAGCCCACGGTGGCTACAGTGTCTATGAGCCGGGCGGAGCAGGGACTGTCATCCGACACGACCAAACTACTGAAGACATACGAATTTACGTGGATAACAACTTTGTTGGAAGACCGAGAGTTACTGAGGTTGAGAATGCTCCCATTATTTACTTTTTTTTAAGTTAAATGAAAATGTCTCAAAGCGCTTGCTCATGTTCATCAGGCCATGAGATTCAGATTTCTGCAGCAGTTTGAGCTCAGTGCAATCTGGTCTCTGATCTCCAGAGGTATCCATTTATATACTCCTGGAGGAAGAGAGACAATTGTAGTAAATTATCTTACCCCCCCCCCAAAAAAGTCACAATCCATGTTAAGGTTCAAACCCACATACCATGGCGCATAAATCGGACACCTAAACTGAGGGACCATGGCACTGCCCTCTAACTACGTCCCTTATTTCTCACAAATGCATTGTGTCACTACTAATAACTTGTCATTTGATTCCCGCAAAAATGTCAAGTACGTAGAAGATGCCAATGCTTTTTTGCAAACTTCTGGAATTGAGAAATTTTGGAGGGTCTCCAGCAAGTATCCTTAGCAGATCAGGATTAAAAAACAACAGAATCTTTTCATTTTTTTTTTAGGTTGACTATCCAGGGCTGATCGGTGTCCACAAGGGTCGTGATAGTTGCAGGACGTGGCTTCTGCCTCGCACCGACGGGTCCGAATACCAGTTCAGACAGGTCGACATCCGGGGTCAAGCAGACCTGGCGTTGTTCAAAGCCACCCGGACCGACACGCAGACCGTGATCCTTGAGAGTAACAGCGGGGATAGCACAGGCTACTTCCATGTCGGGCCTCTGCAGGTATGATTTGAGCTTTCTGATACAGGTTAACTCTCTGATGTTTCTTAATCTTCCTGGGAGGTTTTGAGGAATCGGGGAAGGTACAGCCCGGTCACTTCACCTTACAGAGATTTAAACCAGTCAGCTGACCACATCAAGTTCTGTGGTCGAGTGATGAAGACGCCTGCACTAGTAGGTAGGAGGGCTGGGGTTCATATCCCACCCAAGTAAATTTGAAAAAAGATCTTGAAGGAAGGATCTTGAGGGATCGGGGAAGGTACAGCCCGGTCACTTTTACCTTACAGAGATTTAAACTAGCCAGCTGTCCACAGCAAGTTCTGTTGTCAAGTGATGAAGACGTTTGCACTAGTAAGTAGGAGGGATAGGGTTCAAGTCTTACCCATGTAAGCTCTCGGACAGCTTTTATTAAAAACGATCTTTGACACACCCCCGCTAGGTGCTGAAGATAGACCTGCCCGCAGACAACCCAAGGCTGGCCTGGAACATTCAACTCTACGAGAGGGGTGAGCTGGACATGCCAGCGCACCTGGAGGTGCACGATCTGACGTTGGTCTTGGAGGGCACCGTGACCGGCGTGAGGAACATATCCGTCGGGAAAGGCGGAGAGGTCCATCTTACGTGAGAGCACATATTCAAAACTTTTTACTTTAGGTCACCAACCAAATTATCATGTGATAAATAGAGCTTTGCCTGGTTCTCTGCATATTAAAACTGTTTGATTTATTTCTGCTCCATATTGAAGCTATAGTTTTCAAAAGTGCACTATGATAACAAAACATTGTTTGTGTCCTGTTTCTAATGTTCCAGTCATGTGACAAACGCCACATACCACGTCTCGGAGACCATCACCTTCGATCAGTTTGTCGTTCACGGCGGCGGGAAGGTCTACATCGAGGGCGGTGTCCAGGGACTGGAGTTGCTAGGCAACACGCTCCACCTGGAGAGTGGGGCCTACATGAAGGCTGATCGTCTGTTTGTCAACGTGACGGACATGATCGTTGAGGAACTCGCTACCCTGGATCTGAGCTCAGCTTTGGTGAGTAATATGTAGCACATTTTGTCTGCTGTGGTGTGGGACTTACCCATTTTTACGCCCTAGTAACGCATGGCACCACACCTAGTGCAAAATTTGATTTCTCTTAACTTATTTGCAAGAAATAAAAAGCTCTTTCACAGGTTGTCGCTGTTGATACAAGTAGCACTGCACAGTGTTGTAGTATAGACCATGTGCCCTGTGACATCATGCCGACAGCTAACTGCCGAGCGACCCAAACAATTCAGCATATTTTGCATGTTATTTGGCCAACACTAATAAACAGCTTACGGCAGCACTTTTAGACCCTTCTTCATAAATAAGATAGTTTATGCATTCCTATTGGTCGAGAGCCTGTCACCTGGCAGTTTTAAGTGGTTGATAAAATACCGGCTGGCTGGTTTTAAACACTTTTCCAGTGTCCCATAAAATTATGGTGCCTTTTACCGTTTTATTGGTTGAACTACATCTAAATGGCAAAAAAAGGCAGATTCTGACAACAGTTTGACACAGTGACTGAGTTCTTTAAGTTTCTACCTCAGTTGACTGCCAGTTTTCTTTAAATTGTATCTCCACAGTCTGGCTACAAACACAGCGACATCGGCCGCGGCTTCGGCAGTAGCGGCGCAGGTCACGGCGGCCAAGGAGGCAGGGGCCAAGGATCACCGGGAGGTGGTCTCTTCTACGGCAACGTTCTGGAACCTCAACACTTTGGGAGCAGCGCGAGCAACGATCAGGCCTACGGTGGTGGCATACTGACAGTGCTTGCGGCAAGGGAGTTGAGAGTAGATGGTAAAAATGAACAAAACTCTAGTTTTGGCACACTTTCATTTCTGCTTTAAGGGTGCACATTACCAAAACCTGAAAATTAGTACGTGCGAGCTTATTAATATTTTGTGATCCCAAGGGTAATTTTGAATAAGAGGTCCTTGCGGCTTGTACTTGGGGCATTTTGTTAACAATTTTCTTGAGATCAAGCATTTGTGACTTGGTGGCTGCTAACTGGGTGATTTCGTTCACAAAAAGCCTTAACTTGTTCGCCTATTTCGCATCGAGGCGGGGGGCTACTTAAGACATTGGCCAAGAGATTGGCAACCATTTTAGGGGCGTTTCGGAGGGGGGGATTATTAAAAAAGATTGACCCTATTTACCACTAATAAAATTGAAAAGAAAAACGTCAGCCGGGTCACAATTTCTAATTTCCAGCGAAAATAACCTCGCCACCTTGCTCCTGAGCGTCACTAGGTGGCGCTGTCTCTGTCTGATTTTGTGTTGTTTTCTATGAGCGCGTATTTTGGTGTTTTGGAACCTTAACCCTCCTTTACCTTGGGTGCCTCTTTTCAACAGGAGCTACCACCCTTCCCCAATTGGAACAGGCGATGTTCCCCTGGAGTTCCCCATAGGAACGTTCCAAGCGTTCTGACTTTTGAGACGTTCCACTTTTGTTTTATTGTTCCTTTGATTTTGATTGATTTGAATAGGAACGATTCGAGTGAATGGCCAGAATGGTCCATCTGGTGGAGGCGGGGCAAGCGGGGGCAGTATTCTGCTCAACACTCTCCACTTCACCGGCGGTGGCCTCATTGAAGCAAACGGAGGTGCTGGTAAGTAGCAGAGAGCTTCCGAAAATTTGCAACGCAAGGAATTTTTACTTGTTAAAAACAAGGATTGAAATAATCACCCGAATTGATTGAGTCTAGTGATTACATCGTGAGTCCGCTGCTTTCCATACTTCAAATATACCAGTGATGTTGTTGTTTTTCACATGAGCTAATCATAATTCAGTGTGTCAAATACTAAAAAAAAATCATTTGAATTTGCAATTTATTTGAATTTGCAATTTATTTCAATTCGCAATTCATTTGAATTTGCAATTGTATCTAATCTCTGAAACACCCTTTCCAATAGGTTGCAAATAGGTGTTTAAATACATAGTGTACTGCTCTAGTCCTGTAGTTTATTCAATTTTTATCGGAAACTAGAACTCTGAAAAATACTCTGATGCAAAAAACTTTGGCTTGAGGAGTTTGATTGCTGTGTGTTCTCAATAGGTCATGGTTCTGTCGGAGGTGGTGGTAGCGGTGGACGCATAGGCTTGTATTTTACTGAAGACAGCTTTACGGGACGCTTTACGGCCTACGGAGGAAGTTCAGGCTATGAAGTCGGAGCAGCCGGAACTGTGTATCGGGAGTCAAAGGTCATGACCCCACGGTACCGGAGTCTGATGGTGGACAACAACGGCCAGACGATACGAGAGGTAGGTCCTGGCTAGCGTGTGAGACGCTTTTGCAGATGGCCACTGGGTAGTATCGCTGAGAATTCTCATCCCTTTTGAATTATTTGATTGATTGTTTTCATTCATTTCAGACATCTATTGGCAACTATTACAATCTTCGCAACGACGCTGGAGTTACTTGGGTCAACTCCATTGCCGTAGGAGTCGAGTACAACTTTGATGAGCTCACGCTGCGCGGGAACGCGCATCTGGCATTCGAGGCTCAAGCGGAAACCTACATGCCGCGTTATTTCGTCATCCAGAAGCTCATTGGCGAAGAGAGCCGCGACCATAGCAGATACGGCACGCTTCATACGGGGCCGTATCAAGATGTGACGATCTGGCAAGCTACGTACTATCTGCCGCTCACGCTGCGAGTGTACGAACGCGGGTCCTTGAACCTCCCCGATCGCGTCATGCTGTTCCGCACCGCAAACGTCATCGACGGCTCTCTAGGGGGCGCCGGAGACCTATCCCTCGCACACTCCACTCTGAGCTTTGGAGCCTACTCTCAGTCCGTCGTGGAGGCCACCAGAACTGTTTTCAGTTTTAAGACCTTGCGAGTTCTGCCGGAGAGCACCGTCGAATTCCGTGGCTGGGATGGCGACTACGTGCTGAAACTGACAACACTGGAAGTCGGACCCAATGCAAAGGTACTCGGTCGGAGGCTGAGAGTCAGTGCCGAGACCGTTACATTGGCAGAGACTGCGTTGCTAAGTGTGGACTACGGTGGATATGACAACAACGGAAGAGGTTTGTCAAAATGCTCATCGAATTTGGCAAACTTGTATAGTTAGGCCATTACCATCTTTACTAAATCGCATTACATTGTATTAATTGCTTGACAATTCCATAAACCTTACAGTCTTGGCAGGTTTGTTGTCCTGGCTCCCTTCTGATGTGTGCAGTATGATGTGTGCAGTTATGGTAACCAGGGATTAGTTGACTTGCATGGGTTCGAGCACAGAAATATAGATAAACAGAGGCTCTTTCGAACTTGCTCTTTCTTGCAGCCCTCCAGAATGTAAATGTCAAGTTTTAACTTTTCTCCTTTTAGGTATCTACTTTGCCGGAGCTGGTGGCAGCCACGGGGCAAAGGGGGGCCTTGGTAGCAGCAGCCCAGACTCCAGTCCAAACTACGACTCTATTTTCGCTCCCGTGGAATTCGGCGAGGCTGGAGGCTGTGGAGAGCAGCGTTGCGAGGACGGTGGGGCACCGGCAGGTGGGGGCGCTCTACACATCCAGTCAACCGTCTTGGAGAACCACGGAACCATCAGCGCAAGGTAGGAAGACGTGCATTGTGTTGAATTTTTCTTTATTTCCATATAATTCCAACAAAAAAAAAGGGTTAATATTGAAATTTGGTCTCTGATTCCTGACTCTTGAACTTTTCAGAGGTCAGAATGCTGCCAGTGTGCCCTCTTATGAGAGATCAGGAGGTGGTGCTGGGGGAAGTGTCTGGATACAAGTCGAGTCCATCAAGTCAACAGGTAACAGGTCACTCCTTCCGAAATCAAAAAAGAAAAATGTTTCAACAACTGCTCAAAAATTGTGATAATAAAATCTGGAATTAGGTACAGATGTGATAACAGGACTTGGCTTGATTAGGCAAGAACTGGACCCGAAACTGAAACTCTCAGTTAAGGACGTTATTCATATTTGAAAGACTCAGTCTGTCAGCCAGTTAGTCCGTCAGTAAGAGGACATAGGCTGACCCTTCTGGTCAAGCAAAAACAAGTTCTGAAGAATAGGTTACCTACCAAAAAAATAATTCTTGTTCTGCACGTGATGCCAACCTAAGAATCACACCGCAATCATCGTTTTGTTTGATCGGTCAGGAGTCATTGAGGCCAGCGGTGGCCACGGCGATGGGACCGTCGGAGGCGGGGGAGCTGGTGGCATCATCTCTGTCTATTACGACGATGAACTGATCACTAATCCTCCAGTAGCATGTGGAGGGTCAGGGTACCAGGCAGGGGGTGCTGGGGTTGTTTACCTGGAGCGCCTCAAAGAGGGACAGCTTTATCGAAAAGTGAGTCAATTTTGTCAATGAGAGACCCAGTGTTCTGTTTTATCCACCAAAATAAGCCTGTTTTATTTTTTAAAGTACTCTGAATATACAAGACAAATACCTAGTGTTGAAAATAGTACCATTTATAAAAAAGAATGTGCCTGTTTGTTTTGTTACAGATAAGAATCGACAACTGTGGATTAGACTCTCCACAAGAAGCTGTTGTTGACCTACCCCTAGATACCACCCTTTTCAGCCTCCACGAACTCGAGATAAGAGGCTCAGGAAGGCTTCTTTTGCCTGGGAGAAAATCCAGCTACCCCTCTCTCTGTTTCCCTGTAGCCATCCTGAAGGGCGATCGCACGGGATGGTTTACTGTCAGTAGTCAAATTCGAGCCCACTTGGGCATCTGTGGATGTCCTATCTGTCATGTCGAGGAGCCTAGCCCTGACATTGATCTCGTCTTCAGTATCGCTGTCGAAGATGGTGGCTACCTGAAGCTTCCAAGTGAGGTGATTCTTCGCAACGGAGTAACCTTAGACCTTTGCGGCAGCCTGGATGTGACTGAAGAGGGTGCAATCAGTATTCGGGACCGAGGAACCTTCTTGGCAAGCTACCCAGCAAGAACTGGAGATGCTGATGCCACGGCGGGCACTTTAAAAATAGAAGCTATCAAGATCTTCAAAGGTGGTCTGATGAAAAAATCGACACATTGCCCAAATCCTGACAGCATCCCTGTATCACTTAATGTCACTACCCTTCAAAAATCCTGGATGGGTACTTATCTTGGCGATGGATTTGTCATCCCTCCCAGTACACATGTTAAAGTGGATAGCGCCCAAGGCTTATTGCCCAGCCTGGTTTGTCCGGAAGGAATTGTGACTTTCTATAACGTTACAGAGGATGATGACTTGTGCGTAGGCGGTTTGGTAGTATCCTTTGACAATACTGCAAATGTCACTGTTTGCGATTACAACAGCCTCCACTTGACAGCTGGCCAAAGCTGCGAGCTTAATCCTGGAGGGCATATATACGAATCCTTGATCCTTGAAGGAGGTTCTGAAATTGTAGTTGTCGGACAAGAATATGGCTCGAGCCTAACACAGTTGAGTGTTTCAGATCTCACAATCAACTATGGTGGAGTGATAAGTGGTACTGCTAGCGGATTTGTGAATGGTGGGCTAGGACAGGGGACAGGGAGTAGCGGGGGAAGCCATGGTGGAGTAGGAGGTGGCGCAGATGCTGGGGCAACTTACGGAAGTGTGAAAGACCCAGTTGCTTATGGTAGTAGTGGCTCAAACAGCCGAGGGGGCGGGCAACTTCAGATTACGGCGAGCCGAGACTTCCATCACGATGGCATCCTTGATGTGTCAGGAGGAGATGGTATTGGTGGAGGAAGCGGTGGGAGCATATACATCCAAGCTGGGTCCTTCTCAGGATATGGAGAGATTGTAGCTGATGGAGGTGCTGGATCTACATCTGGAGGTGGAGGCGGTAGAGTAGCATTGGATGTGCTTGGCCAGTATAGTTACCAAGGCCTGTTACATGCTGATGGTGGCAGTGGTGGCATCAGGGGCTCTTCGGGCACTGTCTTCATACAACGTCCAATTGATGGCAGCCTGTTTATGACTTTGGTCATCTCTGGACAGTCACCTCAGCCAACGTTGACACCTTCACTAACACTGACCGAGTTGGATGAATTACACATAAAAGACTCTGGTATTTTCGGGCTCGCCTCTGATCTTAACGTTGCTACATTGGTTTGCGATGGCACAGGAAAGGTTGTTTTGATGGATGGAGCTTTGCTAGAAGTCCAAAAAGTACATAACCCTCTTCTTGGGACTCGGTGCAAATTGGAGGTGCAGGATGGTGCTCAGTTTGTTACATATTCGGATCTCTTCTTGACAGGAGCTAGTGGGCCATTGCTTGATCTTCAGGGAAATTTGACAGCAAAGTCTCTCACAATCCAAGAAAATGGAGAAGTTGAAATAAGTGGAAATGGTAAATTGATGACCTCTGAAATCTCTGTTCACAAGTCAGCCCAACTGAGTATCTCTGCAGGTTGGATTGGAAGAAGCCCAGCATTCAGTACTGTCCACTTAGACACTTTGTCTCTTGGACCGGAATCCAGTTTTCAACTTCAGTCGCAAACTGACCTCAAGATTGGCATCCTGAACCTTCAGTACAGATCATCTCTCACCAGTTCTGCATCACTGAACATTACAACAAACACCACAAGCATTGAGAGCAGTGCAGTTCTGTCTGTGGACAACGGAGGGTTAGTTGACGGACCGGGAAGTCCGGGTCAACCAACTTGTGGAGCGAGTCATGGCGGACAGGGAGGCTGTGGGTCAGTCAAGGCATCCACGTACGACTCGTATTTTCACCCCGAATCTCCTGGCAGTGGCATTAGCAGTGGTGGACAGTCTGTTCAAGGAGGGGGTGTCATAACCCTTACTGTAACAGAGTCTCTAGAAGTAGGAGGTACCATAACTGCAAATGGTGGAGGCAGCACCTCCCTAGGTGGTGCCTCTGGGGGTAGCATCTACATCAATGTACCACACTTTGGAGGACATGGGTTGTTATCTGCTAATGGTGGTGATGGAGGTGCTTCGTGCTGTGGTGGAGGTGGAGGAGGACAGATTGCCATAAATTCTCCAGACACTAGTGAGTTTGCCGGCTTTGTGACTGCCTATGGAGGGCATGGTTTGACCCATGGGGCAGCTGGTACCATCTTTGTGCAGACAAATGAACAGGGATTCCAGACGAAATCGCTCACAGTCGATAACCGTGACCTGGCTACAGACTGCTACACCGTATTCCTGCCAGACACAGATGATCCAGAAGTCTCACTTGATAAACTTGTTTTGAGAAATTCGGGAAGGCTCCAGATTGATGGACCTGTGTCCCTCACTCTGAGCGACCTGGATGGTGATTTCAGTGGCAGCATCCTGGTCCAGGCAAACCAGAGTCTCTCAGTGGCTACAAGGCAGGCTGTCACTAGCTACTACATCCTACAGAGTGCCCTAGTGGTCCAGGAGGGAGGGGAGATCATCATTCCATCCAATCTGTACTTGCATCAAGTCACACAGGGTAAATCTCTCCATCTGTCAGGATTGATTACCGGAGTAAAGAATCTCCTCATTGGATCCAATGCCGATGTTTTGATCGAGTCAACTGCAAGCACTGCCTTCCTTTCTGGCAGACACTATGTCTTCAAGGACCCACCAGGAACCTTCACCCTAGATTCTCTACTTGTCCTTGGCTACGGAAGTCTCACATTTGAAACGACCCTTGATCTACCCACCTCCCTGATTGTCTTAAATGAGGTCCATGTGAGATACAATGGGATGTTGAAAGGAAATTGGCTCCTCCTTGAGGCGAATCAGGTGCATGTTGAATATGGAGGGTCAATTGCAAGTGATGGCATGGGATACCAGGCCACTTTAGGTCTGGGTGCCGGTTCCAGCGATTCAGCAGGTGGTGCTGGTGGAAGCCATGGAGGGGTTGGAGGTCAAGGTTCAGGAGGCGCTCAACCAATTCAGGACTCTTACGGCAGTCTCTATGAAACTAGAGATTTCGGAAGCGGTGGTGGCAACAGCAACTCCGGAACAGGTGGTTCAGGTGGAGGGATAATCATAATGGACGTCAAGACATTCAGGCTGGATGGTTCTGTGACCTCAACTGGAAGCCAGGGTAGCTGCAGTGGTGGCAGCGGTGGCGCAGTCCACATTCAAATTCTCCAAGAATTTACAGGTGCCGGACGCGTCATTGTTGCTGGGGGCAATGCAGAGCATGCTCAGTGCGGAGGAGGTGGTGGAGGCAGAGTCACCATCATTACGCAAGTGGAATCACGTTTCACGGGGACGTACATAGTCCACGGAGGTTCATCCAGCAGCCCTTCCCGAGCAGGAGGCTCAGGCACTGCCTTCCTCAAGCAGATCACTGGAGCCACTGACTTCACCAGACTCATCATTGATAACGACTATGCCGGCATCACGTCCGCACAGCGTACGCTCCTGAATGAGACGGAAATCGAGGTGTACGACTTTGACGAGCTTCACGTCCTGAAGAACGTCATCTTGGAGGTGGCTGGTCTTGACAGATCGATGACGGTGACAACACTTGTCGGGGACGTCACTAGCACCATCAAAGTTCATGACACGATGACCATGAGCGTTTCCGAGGGTCAGGCCGAAGTCAGTCTCACGTGCAGCTTCCAACTTGATCCAGATGGAGAGCTGAAGCTTCCTGCAAGGGTGTCATTCTTTGGGCCAAACAACATTCTGTCAGGTGAGTAACAATTGAAATAATTTCTGTCTTATACCTGTACACTTGTTCGATGTCATCAGGCAAAAAAACAAACATTTGATATCAATTGCTTGTAAGAACTTCTCAGCAAATTTTGTGCTTAGTACGTGAATTTAATTTCCTTCTATTGTGCCTTTTTATTTCACAGGGACCCTAACAAACATCTTTGAAATGGTGATTGCCTCTCACCAGCAAGTAACCTTGTCGGCAGAGGGACGAACGGCACTCTTCATCGATGGCAGCTACACTTACATATCCGAGCGCGGTGCCTACAAGTTAGCCCTCCTGTCGGTCAACGATTACGCAAGCTTATCCTTTGGCGTATCGCTGAATAAGACCGCGATCCAGCCCCTGTCGATCGGATCGTTGGACGTTGAATTTATGGGCGTCGTCAATGCAGACACACTCCTCATACAAGGGAACGAGGTTGTGTTGCATGCGGGCAGTACCATTCAGCTCTCTGGGGGTGGCAGTGCGGCTGGTGAGGGACCCGGAGCTGGAAAATTGGTTAGTAGACTAAGAATTTTTATCAGTTGTTTAGAGAGTGCCTATTCTCCTCAGTTTTATGCACTTTGTCAACATCCACCCAGGCAAACCAAATTTGATGCCTTTTGTCTCGAGGAGCACTGTCTAAAAGGTCAATATTTGCCTCCTTTTCCTACAAGTTGTACTGTAAGGAAACATTTTTCCCACGGCAGTGTGAAACACGCCGTGGGCTTGAGCTGCTTATGTTGGTTGGTTGGTTGGGTTGGTTGGTTGGTGGACACTTTACTCGGCCATATATTGTATTCGTACAACTCAAGTATTACAGCTTTGCAAGTATTACAGCTTTGCATTCGAAGAAGGTTTTACAAACACTGTTGCGCATGCGTCTAATTTGTATACTTTTTGCATATTAGATCACACCCCATTCCTTTTCGTTTTCTGTACTCTCGAGGTACCGGTACGGCCTGTGTGCACGGACAGTGCCGTATAGCCATCTTCACACATTACCCGGCCTCGCTGCTACCCGGCCGCTATGGGTTGTACCACTTGGTACTAGTTTAATATAAAAACTATTACAGGGATTATTTCACTCGGTGTCCTAAGAGGCAAAACAAAAGGTATAACAGAGGGTCTTATCCCAATCCCCCCACCAGGATCAGTTTAGGGACAGTAAAATACCTATGTCTGATGATGTAAATATTATGAATGAATGTTGACATATAAACCAGGTTGGCAGCATCGGCACCGGGGCAGGTCACGGGGGTTACGGCGGGTCAGCCCTAGGTCAAACCGGGGGCTCTCCCTACCAAGCAACCTCGTATCCGCTGGATGGCGGGAGTGGCGGCGGGACGGGACAGACCGGGGAAGGAGGTCATGGTGGGGGATACATGAGGCTGGAACTGAGTGGGGCATTGTCACTAGAAGGTAGGTAGTCGCAACGTTGGTGTTTTTTTTTTTGCATAAATCTGCATAATTTGCATATTCTTTGCATAAATTTGCATCAAGGCTTAATTAAAAAGTGTCTGCTTCAGTGAAAACATTTTGTTTATTAAAAGAGCAATTAGAAGCATGATTTTATTCATATTTTAAACACATTTACTGCCACATTAACTAAACTTGATTGACAAGTTAAATTTGCGTGACAAAGGATTACTTTGATGCACATTCTAAGTAAAAGAGGTAGTGGAAATGCATAAAACAAGAACGTATTATTTCAGATGTAGTCACTTGATTTTCTGATACATATTTTTACCACTTTTTTAACCAGAATTCATTTACCCACAGAGCGTTTTTTTTAATCTAACATGTGTAAAAAATACCAAATTCAGCAAAAATAATTGCGAGGCGTTCTGGCAAAATAGGACGGAACTTGGCATAGGCTCTAGTGGAGAAGATACCAAAGTCTGAATGGGGGTGATTTCTTTTCAATTTTTCCATTTGTTGATTTTTGTACTCTGAGATATGTCTACTACACATATTTTTAAGAAATAGTATAAAAATGGTGGAATAAAGGTGTTTTAAGAAAAAATAATTGGCATCTTTCATTTTCAAGAATACAACTCTCTGAACTTCAAAGGTCTGTTCCTCAGTATTAAACGTTTTTGACATGTCGATAAATGCAAATTTTAAGCAGCCATAACTTGTCAACTGAATGTCTGCTTGAAGAGCAACAGACAGTGTTGAAAAGATAATTTTATTTTATTTCCTAATACCTGCAAACCCTCATTTCGACCTCTGCCCGAGTTCTGTCTCATTTTGCCAGAAGGCCTTACAACGTTGATGGTAGCAATATAAACCAGAAAATGTTTACATTTAATATGGGTTAATCATCACTGCCATTAAAGCATTGATGGTGAAATGCTTGCTATTTGGCTTTGTAGTCTTCTTTAGCAATCATGTGTCAGGCATGTCAGGGAGGCTGGAAAGAAATTAGTTTCCCTGGTAGCTGATTGACTCTGGTCATGCGCAATTTGTTGTCTTGTTCAAGCACTAGCTTCCTCTTTCATCCATCATCATTAATTTTGTCAGAGAGCCAATATATATTAGCTCACTGAACAAAAAAACCCAAAAAACCAACATATTCTGTAAGGAGGAAAGGAAGCCAGGGTTCGACTGTAGCGGTAGCCTACTAGCCAAATGCTAGTTAAAACAGCGGCGGGCTAGTCACACTTTCCCTTAAGTAGCCTGGCTCTGGGGAGTCAAAAATTATTGGGCTACGGCAAAGATGAAAGGACAGGAGAAAATACATCATTAAATTCAGAAAGCAAACCTGTATCAATTTGTGCCTAATTTTATTAAATGTTTAGGGTTGAATTGTTGAAGTGCTACATTGCATGTAGCACTTTCAAAATCCAGGATATGAAAGCCCAATTCATAAGCTTTCTTTTAGTACAAGAATCATTCAAATTACTCATGTACTTTTCAAGTTACGGAATTTTAAACACAAAGACTGTTTTAAAGTTCTGTCCTCGGATCACTAAAAAGGTGAGCGTTCTTTCAGCAAAATGCACACAATTCCCCTGTCTAAGAATCTACCCAAGCACAGTAATAGAAAACCACAATGTGATTATTGCAAAGCCTGGTGGTCATCACTTATAATTTTACCCTAAAGGGCAATTCCAGTTCTCTGCGTATGTCCCACCACATGATGTACAAGGTCGTTAAAGTGGTGATCTGATAACACAGAACTTGATGGGTTTCCAGACAGGGTTGGCAATACTAAAAAAAAAACTTGGGTCTCGAGCCCAAAATGGGGTCGGTCAGAAATGAGAACCAAAGAAATAAAAAGGGATGCCCTTATCTGGACATAAATATTACAATTGATACTTTTGTTAGGAGAATTATTCACATAAACAAAATAAAAGTCGTTGTCTTTATCAATAATAATTAAATAATAATTGTGCTAATATAACGCTTTCCATCGTATCAACAATCTCAAAGCGCTTTACAATTATTACCCCGTTAATCAGGCCATGGGACCACGCGCCAGCTGATATCAGCGCTCAATAAGTCTTCGTTCATACCCATTCATACTCCTGGGTAGAGAGATGCAATTGTAGTTAAGTGTCTTGCCCAAGGGCACAAACACCATGTTCCTGGCAGGGTTCAAACCCACGCACCTTCCTACATTAGGTCAAAAAAAAAAATATTCGGTCTCTGGTCAGACCAAAGTTCCGGAATTGACGCGGGGACGCGGCTTTTTTTTTTTTTTTTTGCTTTTTTTTTTTTTCCTTCAAGCTTGGATTGTACAGACAAGGTGGGGTACTATTTTGCTTTTTTGGTGTCCTCATGTACATTGGTGTCCTCCATTATTTGCCTTTGTGCTCTCGATCATTTGCCTTGGTGCAATTTCCAGTGTTGTAGGTCTCGAGACCGGTCTCGGTCTCGGTCTCGGTCTCAAGACCACTTTTTGCTGGTCTCGGTCTTGGTCTCGGTCTCGGGAGCTGTGGTCTCGGTCTTGGTCTCGGTCTCGGTCCCCTTTGGTCTCGATATTTTGGCTGGTCTCGAGTCGAGACCAGCCAAAAAGTGAGGGGGCGGATTTCGCCCCGGCCCCAGTTTAGGATTAAGTAGGGAATCAGTTGAGGGCAAATGTGACTGCAGTGTAATGATGATAGACATGTCTCTCTTCACTTTCTAGTGAGTGAGGCATAGTCCAACAACCATTGCTCCTTTTCTTGTTTCTTGTTTTTATTGTGGGATGGTTTGTTGAAACAAGCACTTTATAGACATCCTCATTGATTCCAAATACAACTGAGATTAAAATCTTATGAATCAAAATTGAAGCATTATTTTTACGTCAGATTTTTTGTTTTGAATATGGGAAACAATTAAACTCTTTTTCCCCAGAAATATTGGTGATTTTTTTCTATTTTCCTTTTCAATTTTTACTTTATTCGTGGAGGCGGGAAAACGTTTAGTTTTTTTTCATTATATTTATTAATGGATATTCATCAATTCGTAGACAGTTAAATTGCTATTAGTGGTGGACAGCTGAATTTTGTGATCTCTTTATTAAAATAGGCACGACTTGGGAATAGAGAATGCAAAATTTTCAGAGTTACTACTCAATAACATGTTCTTTATCCCAATTATATATATTTTTTAACAAATATTGAGGGTGCCATTTCTTTCTTTTTTTATCATACTGTCACTTTATTTTTGACTTGCCATGTATTCATCTTTTCATCTGTGATAAACACAAATTGAGCTACTGCCATAGTCACACAAAAATAGAGTCTAATTGCCTGCCTCGTCTCCTTTCTAAATGTCAGTTGCGTTTGCATGAGTCGAGAAGACTTTTGTTCCATTAATTGCTAAAAGCTGTTTACGGCCATCACAATAACCAAGAGTGAAATATTGGCAATATGTTGTACTTGTAAATTACTAAAATATTCAAGTATTATCGCCCGGCATAGTAGCCGATGCGGGTGATACGCTGGTACAAAACACAAATAGGCGTGCGCACGCAGCCAAGAATCCTAAAAGTACATCTCGCCCACCACATTCAGTTTGTGACAGTGCCCTTCTATTGTGTCGGCCATATTCTCAAATAGGCTAATGACGATGATGACGGCGGGCAGATTAACAGAAGATAGATCAGGCAAATATGGTTCATCAATCTTTTATAGTGTATGTAATGGTATTGACATTATACACAAATAAAGTGGCAATACATTTCAGCCTCAGCCAGGCCTCTCTGGCGACCACCTCTCAATTTTTGGGTCTACATGTACAAGTTATATTCCATGACTGAAATTTTAAAAATAAACCAATATTTTCTTGCTCCAAATTATTTTTTCATCAGGTTTACAAGGAGGTCCAATGTAAAATTAAAGCTGCTTTTAAATATCTGTTAGTAGTCATTGCTGAAACCAAGGGGTGGCTGTGGAGTTTTGGGTCCGGTAACAGTTTAGTTTAGTTCCTATAACAGATGACACATCCACCTTTAACTTTTTACTTTTGTCAAGTTTCAACATCGCAAAAAACTAGTACAAATTGCCGTACTCCTAAGTTAGAGTTTCTTCATCAGATTGACACTTTATAGTAGTTAAACAATATTATATTTAAAAAAATATGCTTTTAAAAAAGCATATTATCAAAAAAATATATAGAGTTCATCAAATTAGGTTTTCCCCTTCTTTAAATTAGGTTGTTTCCCTTTTTTTAATTGATTGTGACAATAACAAAATATGTTGCCATGTTGTAATTTATGGTATGAAGCAAACATGAAGAGCACTCGCATGACACAATTAAGCAGGTGCAAGTGATTCCTGCTTTCAATCACTTCCTTCACATCCCCATCAACATCATCTCAAGGACAGACTGTTCAGCTGTAATTAGTGACTTGTTTTTTTATTTAGATTATTGTTATTTATTATCCGCGGTCTCGGTCTCGGTCTCGGTCTCGGACCATTTCGGTCTCGGTCTCGGTCTGCCTTGAAGGGGTTGGTCTCGGTCTCGGTCTCGGTCTCACAACTTCAGGTCTTGGTTTCGGTCTCGGACTATCCGGTCTCGACTACAACACTGGCAATTTCCCATTCCTTGGTGCTCTTTGGTAAAAAAAGAATTTTTGGAGCTACCGCGGAACATTTTGGAAAAAAAAAAGATTGACGCGCATGGTTAAAATCGACGCGCGCGCTGACCAGAGACCGACTTATTTTTTTTTTGGCCTTAGTCAAACTCATAACCACTAAACCTATTTTATTTACAAATTAATTTTGATTAAGCAAAATCTTAAAATGCAAGAAACTGCTAAAACATACACGAAGATAGTATTGCACATGTACATTGCTGGTGACAATATAAGAGAATGTTCTTTTTATATTTACAAATATTTACTTACTTATATTATGTTTCATTTTTCTGTAATAAATGGGCAATTCCACGCAAAAGTGGACATGGTAGAAAAGTGGAATATTTATGAAATCTAGTTCAGAACTACAAGCATCACGACCTCAAATGTGGTATCAAATGAAGGAACACAGGACCTGTGCCAGTGATGTAGAAAGTGGTTGAATATTTTTTGTTTGTTCTTTTTTTTGTGGAAAAAAAACTGGTTTGGGGCCAAAGTTATAGATTTTAGGTGGTCATTTTGAAATCTTGTTTTCACATGCAGAAAGCAATTTTTATTGTTAATAGTTTGTGTTTTTAAGACCGAGAAAGGTTCATATTTTATCAATTAAAAAATAACACTATAAAGAATATCATGCTTAAGTTTTTTTTTGTCATGTAGGTGATTAATCTTACGTCTGTAACAACAAAAACATGTAAATCAGTATTACAAAAACATGATATATCCATAATAACAAAGTACCTGTTTACAGAATGCCATTTGTGTTTTTATAGAGTGAAGCTACATGTGCGACAACATAGTTATATCATTAAAATTCTTGCAAGGAACATCACAGACTTTTATTGTTGCATACTGAACATCAAAAATCTATATCTTTAATAAAGCGTAACGTTTGTAACGATTGATCACTGCTTATATCTCATTAGTTACTTCAGCTAACACTACATAAACAATGTCATGTTTTACATTGAGGCCAACCCAGTGTTGTGCCAAATATAGACAATTTTCTTTTTACTGCAAGTATTTTATTTTGTTGTTTCAAATTGGGTTTTGGCTCTGAACGTAACGTCCATAATGATGGAATTGCCCAAATGTAGCTTTAATAATGAACTTACGCTTACAATACTAACACTTAACAATACTAACACTTAACAATACTTTGCCATTCTTGTTATTTTAAATGTAATGAATAAGTTGTTTTAGCTATATTTGTTCTCTCTCTGTTTCTATTTTAGAGGCATGCTATCTTGATCATGGGCATCACCAGGATGGGGCAGGGGGTACGCTTGCCTCCCTCCCCCTTCCCCCCTCCCCCCCGGAAAACCCAAAACAAAAACAAAAAAAGGAAGAAAAAAGGGGGGAAAAAGAAACGAAAAAGAGGTGTGAAGTCCTATTTGCTATTAATTTAATACACATTTAACAAAATGGGCACCTGCAGGGGTGTCAATGGGGCTGGGGTGGTTACATGTCCCCTGCCCACCCTCAAAAAAATGATAAATTGAGAATAGGCTGGAGAAAGTACAATGCTTTGGGGGGAAAATAAGCTTTGCCCTCCCCCCCCCCCCCCCCCCCCCCCGAAAAAATCCTGGCGTCGCCCATGATCTTGATTCCAATTTTCGTATATCGTAATACTGTATCACAGCATTATTGCACAGGGAATGACAATACATTCATCAGTCATGCAACCCCTAGACTTTGCAGCATTTAAACGGACAGATTTTGGCCGCGATTCGATATAACTCCTCTCTAAAGGCTGCAGTCCGCTTGTAAAAAACTGGCAAGCACAAGAAGGAAAAAGAATGGAACAGGACGGTAAACACAAAAGTCACGACAAAGTGCCCATAGCATCTAGTACGGATAATGAGGTTGTATGTGTGTAGCAATAACATAGGGGTTATGCTGATATCGAAAAACAGCATAACCAAGGCATATGTGATAGCTGATTTTCGCGCCGGGGGTTGTTTGACCTGTGCCTCTGGATTATTTGGTATCCCGTTTTGGATTCGCTTGGCATGTCTTCTAGCGATAACAAACATATAAGTGAAGAGAAAAAACATTACAATGTATGGAACTGTGACAAATGTAGCAAAGGAAACGTAAAACCACGGGTTGAATTGAAACTGATAGTAGCAACTGCAGTATTCGGGCATATAATGAGCTGGGCGGCGGGTTTGTAGCGGACCCATCGTGAATCCGCCAATAACGGCGAGGCACCAGCTGATCAGCACAGCCAGCAGCGCTTTCTTGGCAGTCACGATTTGGTGATAGCGCAAGGGCTTCAAGATCGCGATGAATCGGTCCAAGCAGAGAACCAGCAGATTCCAAATGCAAGCGGTGAGCAAAGCATGGTTGAGCACTCCCTGAACGGCACAAAGCTGGCCTCTGAAAGGCCAACGTCCCATCGCGGCCGCAAAAACGCCCGGCGAGCTGCGAAATAACCCTGAGCACAAGTTCGCGATCGTTAACGATATCATGCTTATCCTCGTTGGCTCACTAATAGATCTCACGCGATAGAGCACTATCAAGGAAAAGATGTTTCCTAGTATAATCAAAAAAGATGTTAACGCCAAAATCGTACTAAATAATGCCTTGATGTAAGGCAGTTGCGCATATTCATTGTAGTCTACTATTACAATGCTTGAATTGTTCATCTTGAAACTAAGAAATGTTGTTAACTTGGTTTCAAAAGATAGATAACGAAGTTCAGTATTTTAAAGTTAAAAGATATCTTTTCCAATTACTCAGTGCAATGCATTTTATACATGTACAGCAAAAATATCTGGATTATACTCTAAATATTACCCTGCAAAAGTGAAAGAAGTTGCTGTCGCTGATGTGGATTGATTTCAGAAGTTGTGGATCAACACTTGAAATCCGCAGCCTCAAGTTACATGGAAATCAGTGGATCCGTGTGTTGACTCTAAAAATATCACTGAAAATATCTATGTATAAATACTACTTTACTTGATGATTTTGTACACCATCAATGCCTAGGATGTGAACTGATTTCAGAGGTTGATCCAAATTAAGGACTGAGCCAAGTTGATTACAAATCAGTAGGTCAGCGTTTGATTTATTCTGAAGATATCACAATACAGTGTCTTTGTTGTGGAGCATCAACTACATGTACAGTGATGTGGATTGATCTCAGGAGTTGTGGATCCACTATTCAAGGCTTGGTCTCATATGGATTGCAAATCAGTTGATGATGTCACAATGAACTTCATTGTTTAATTCTACAGCATCAATGACTTTGTAGACTGAGTTCAAGAGACGTGGATCCACCATTTAGAGGTGTGGCTTCGTGTAGATTACAATTCAGTAGATAAGAGTTTTGATTCTGAAAACGTCACAGCAAACGTCACTGTTGAATTCCACAGCATCAACAGCCTTAAGCTTGTGGATTGATTTCAGGAGATGTGGATCCACCATTCAGAACTGACAACCACTTAGAGGACTGGGATTTTTTATCAAATCATTTGTTGCTGCATCAACCGAGGTTCAGCCACATCAACAGTGAAATGAGAACTGGTGGCCTATGTCAAAGAAATCGATGTTGATTGAGTTCCAGATCAGTGGATCCACCAGCTACATCTGACAGCAAGTTCAGGCAAGGAGTATTAGTGGACTAGCGGTTGAATTCTGATGTAACTTACACCTGCACACTATAGCAACATTCAAACGTTTTTAGTCAAATGATTGTCAAAACACACAATCACAAAACTTTCCTTGGTCTTGGCCCCCGTTATGCTTTATGATGCGGATGGCTATTGGTGAAGAGCACTGTCCAATTCCAAATAGTCAACTAGAGTATGCTGACCATCTTTCGTTCAAGCGAAGTTAATCCAACGGAGAATCAACGGAGTATGTCCACATATCCAGAGAGCGAAAAGGGACACCAATTTGCTGGGGAACTTTTACCGGCACAATCCAGTTTGAAGTGCAGAATCATATATCATATCCAGTCATATGCAGAATGTCAAGATCCACTCTGTAGAATGTAAAACAGAAGAAAATTTATGACTGAAAATATCCGCTTCCTAATAGGACAAATGAGGTGAGTTATCCAAAAGTATCCTGAGCCAGGCGGCAATTTCACCATCGGCAAATGCTTCACATGGTACTGACTGACATTCAGTTACAAGAGTTTGTAGCCTGTAGATATTGAACATAGAAAAGCCATGGGCTGTTTTCAACACACTGATGTAAGAACACACAACAGATCACCGGCAATTTGTCAATCGCTTGTTAGACATTAGCTTCTGTACGACGGAATTCCCAAATCCCATAGGTAACATCAAAGCCCACTTACCACTAGAAAGGAAATGTAGATTCTCTGAAGCACTGCGGCAGGTTAATAATTGCTCTTATGTCAGTAGCCTCAGTCAGTGGAACGTAATGAGCGTATACGCTCCCTTCCCTTGTAGTTACTCTCATCCATCAACATCACATAGTTGTTGTTTTTTACTCCGGTCTTGTACGTTGGTAAACATTGTGATGTACATAAATAAACTGGTATTGGTTTCATATACTGTGTATTAAGCCCCATTGATATATCGATATTACTCGATATTTCGATATTATTTTGATATCGATATTGCCGATAGTAATTTTTTAATCATATTGAAGTAACGAAATTTTCGATATTGGGGAATCATATCGAAAATATCAACACTGCGTCAGATTATCGTCAAAATAAATCTCCTGTTTGTGCTCTGAATTTGTGTTTATCATTTGCTGTATAATGTAGTAAAACTCGGCAGCAATTTGTGCTTGTTACTTGAAATAATAACCGGGAAAGGCCAACGGCGCCACTGTGCTCTGCGTTCGCTGGAATTCGCGGTCTCCCTTAATGTAAAACTATTTTTAAAAACGCCCGTTCTGGACGAAATCTCAATGCTGAGATTTGGGTTTTTTTAAGTTTGAGCAATAAGCTCCAGAGAAATCTGTGGAAAATTGGGACTTACCATTTTTTTTTAATCAATGTGCCATCATTATGGTCTTTAACTTTTACATGGCATAATCGATATATCTGAATATTCTCGATATTGGATTTCTGATATATTGTTTATTGAAAATTCTGATATCGATGGTGCTTAATCCTGTTTATTTTAATCGTACGTCTTATTTGGTGTTGTAGGTATTTTTGTTTCTTTGAAGTTGGTGTTGTAGGTATTTTTGTTTCTTTAAAGTTGATAAATCCTATAGCTCAGTTGGTAGAGGATAAGTACAGTGTTCTGGGGCGACAGTTCAAATTCTGCTCTGGTCAATTTGTTTGTTCAACTTTATATTTTTTAAAGCTTACCTTACTGGCTCCATTTTGACAACAATTTGTTTCTTTACTTTCATATTAACTCAGTTTAGGAGACCACCAACATAGGGCTGTATAGCTCAGGTAGAAGAGCACATTATACTAGAGGTTGCAGGTTCAACTCTTGTCAACCTTATATTGATCAAATGTTTTCTTCGCAGGGTCCATCTTGGCTAACGGAATGAGTGGCACAGGAAACAGCGGTGGTGGCAGCGGTGGTGGTGTCTACATCTTGGCTCAGTCTCTCACCGGCCATGGTCTCATTGAAGCCAGCGGGGGCGACAGTCTGGGTCTCGGAGGTGGTGGATCCGGAGGAAAGATTGCCCTGTACCTCCAAAACAGGTCAGCTTTGAAATACAGTGGGTCAAAATTGGACCCCAAAAAGGCCTTGGACTAGATAAAATACCACAATACAATTTTGAGCAGTCACATGCAGAGTACAGTCTTCAGAATATTTATGTATCAAGAGTATTAAATTCTTATGACTGAGAATAAATGTCTCAAAGCTTGCAAGCTAAAAAAAGTAGATTTACTCTGTCAAAGCTTGGCCTAACGGTACAAAACTCCAGTACTTATAATACTTTTTAGAGTACAAAAATCAGCCGAGTACCTCATTTTTGTTGTTGCAGCTTTCAGTTTTTTTGGTTGCAGCTGGCAAGCTCTTGGAAAGTCACAAAGTGTATGGTGCTTCGATAATTACGTCAGTGAAAGGCTAAACTCAATTTTTAAGTCTCAAAATTAATTCTATTGCTGGAATGTAACACATTTTCCAATGATACTTCATCATTTAGTTTACTATTGTAATACGAAAATAAGCTAGTTTGGTTTGATAATACATGATGATGATTCAGATACAAATTGATCTGTAATGTTGAACTATCTTTCTACATCAGCTTCGATTTTGACGGCACACTACGATCGCACGGCGGCCACAATGCTGACATTGACAGTAATCAAGTCACGGGTGCAGCAGGAACCGTCTTCATCCGGGAGCCTCTGAGTGGCTTCCCAACCAGTAGAGTTATCATTGATGGAGGCAGGGCATCAGATCTACCGCGGCAGGCTAGAACGGTCTTGATTCTAAATCAGGAGGAAGATGATGTGGATTACAGATACGAGTCTCTCGTTTTGCAAGGTAATCCCATGAAACATGGTCGGACCGTTTTGAAAGATTTTTGTGAGGTTAATGAGTAAGGTCAGAAGTTAAATAGGGACTGCAGATATTGAAAATCCATAAGTCCGCAGTGCTGCTGGTTCCAGGTACGTCACCTATAAAGATAAAAGTGACTCTTTGATCTGGCTGAAATAGAAACGTGTTGAAATGTAGATATACAGGCGACATATATTCAAGCAATATTAAACGTTTGCAAGTACACTCGTTGACTTTCAAAATTCTAATTTATTAAACTCCTGTGTCTTCTATTCAATCCAATATTTTTTAGGCTATTCGCAGCTAGAGTATAACGGGACAGAATCAACCCTCGAAGTCCAAGCATTTGAAGGCGACAAAACAGGAACATTGTACATCCAGCACAACCAACTCCTGCTCGCAGAAATTGTCAACGGGCGCAGCACGCACATGACCACTCATGTCAACATGGATGCTGGACCGAACGCAACCTTAGTCTTCCCGTCAAGCCTCTCGGTTGACCAGACTGAGTTGATTGTCCGCGGTCAGTTTGATGTTCAGAGAGTCTCCGTCGAGGAGAACAGCGTGTTCACCCTCACAGACACCAGTCTGACAGTCCGAAGAACCAGGAGCGGTTTCATACCGACCAGTGATCCCGGAGAGTACTTGTTCAGTTTGCTCGCCCTGAAACGAGGGTCGACATTCTCGGTGGAAGGCGGCCTGGTCATTACTGGAGGGTCATTTGAGGTCAAAAGTGGAGTGACCCTCCAGTTTGATTTCTTTGATATTTCGTCAGCGATTGTGACTGTTGAGAGAGACGCTGTGCTGGATGCTAGTGGAATGTCTACTGAAGACCATCCTAATGCAGGTCGGTAGTTGAGTAAAATTGGTACAAATTTGATTTATACAAATGAGCCAAAACCCAAGTTCTATATGAGCTAAGCTCTTGATGTTTTGTTTTCCTCAGGTGATTTTGCAGCATGTGGAGGAGGTTCTTACGGAGGGCCAGGTGGGGTTGGACAAGATACTGTTGCCTCTCAAGCATTCCCATCCTTCGGATCGATCTATGAACCCTCTCAATCAGGTACCCGTGGAGGTAACGGCGGAGCGGGAGGCTCCTATGTGCATCTGCAATCACAGGAGATTCGCACTGATGGCAGCCTGTTGGCCAATGGGAGCCCGGCCCCATCATCAAGTGCAGGTGGTGGCAGCGGTGGGAGCATCTGGATCACCGCCGGAGAGGACTTCCGTGGAACCGGCTTGATATCTGCTAGTGGAGGAGCTGGTGGGTCAAGAAATTGTGGGAGTGGAGGTGGTGGTCGTATCGCTGTGAATGCTGACTCAACAGAACGTTTTGTCGGTCAGTTCAACGCTGGGGGAGGTACAGGCCAGTCCAGTGGTAATGGTGGCCCTGGTACAATCTATTTCCAGGAAATGAGGAATGACGAAACCTTTGAGAAACTGATGGTTGACAACAGGAATGGACAGACCAAGTTGTACTTCACGTTGAGTGAAGATTGGAATGAGGGCGCAATCGATGAAATTGATCTGAGCGACAAGGTCCTTTTTCAACTCAATCCAGATGGCTTAAGGAGATCATTTGACATGAAGAAGGTTGTTGGAGATGGCTCCGCTTTGGTTCACATTCACAAGAACCAGACGGTGATATTTGAGAGGGTCTTGGAGGCTAATGAGACCAGTGGCAAGACTTACGTAAACATCAAAGTTGATGCTGATGGAGAGGCCATTATGTCATCCAGAACCCAGATAGTTGGAAAAGGAACCACTCATGTAGCTCTGGAACTTTATGGAAGATTAACAGGTGTCCAGGACCTTGTTTTAGCGGATGACCGAATAATGAGGGTGTTTCCTACAGCAAATGCTGTTGCTCTAGTTGGTGATGAAAATGGAATTCTGGGCGAGTTCACATTTGCTTCAGTGGAGATGGCCAGTGGGAGTCGATGGGAATTTGCCAACAACATGGGAGCTCGTCTGACTTTCGGGACCATGGACGTTAAATTCGGTGCTGGAATCTGGGCAGATTTTTTCCAAATCACAGCCTTTGACCTGGATGTAGAAGTTGGAGCTCTTCTGTCTTGCACTGGCACAGATCGGCATGGCTCATCCAATGTTGATCAGCTGATTGGGAGTGGAAAGACAGAAGGTGGGGTGGACTCCGGTGCTGGTCATGGAAGCTTTGGTGGAGTTGGCAACTCTGTCTCAAATGTAGGAGGACAACCTTATGGATCTTTGTACTACCCTACAGAGAAAGGAAGCAGGGGGACTATCAGTGGAGGACGAGGAGGTGGGACTGTCTTCATCATCTCTGCAGAGATGATACTAGATGGGGAAATAACAGCAAGTGGTGGTGATGGGGGGACTAGTCACAGAAGTGGTGGCAGCGGTGGGAGCATCCTGGTTCAGCTGCAGACTTTTGAAGGCTATGGCTTGCTTTCTGCAGATGGTGGAGATGGATTTGGGAATGGAGGTGGGGGATCGGGAGGACGTATTGCTGTTTATACCAACCTCACCAGCCAGTATGGTGGCCGGTATTCAGCTTTAGGAGGTACAGCTTCCAGGCAATCCTGGCTTCCTGCTGGGGGAGGTAGCGGCACGGTTTACTTGCAAGAGTTGAGGAATGGTGTGCCATTCAAGAGGCTCTTTATTGACAACCAAAACAGACCCATCACACAGTACGTCACTCTGAATGAAACTGATGCTGAAAGCTATGAGTTTGATGAGGTCCATTTACCAAGGAAATCCTCTCTGCATGTCCAGAAAGAAGCTTCTAATGTTCAGCTTGTGATTCATAAAGTTCTCGGAGACCGAACTGGACTTCTGCATGCCCATGCGACACAGCAATTCATCATTGAGGTGGTTGAAAGTGTACCTACAGTCACAAAAGCCCCTGTGAATTTCATAATTGACCAGGCAGCTGAGATTGTCTTCCCTGCTACCTTGTATGTGATTGGGCTTGGCGTTCCAACAGAAAGATCAGACGTAGCCTCTTTGGAGTATGATGGCCGAATGACAAATGTTGCCAACTTGATCCTCAACCAGGCAACAACTGTTCAGATAATGCCCAATGCTCACACTGCTGTCATGGAAAATGGGAGCTACATAGAAATTGGTGAACCAGGAATCTTCCAATTTGGAAGCCTGCTTCTCCTTACAGAATCTACTCTGAATTTTGCTCCAGACATGGGTATGAAGTTTCTCACAAGCGAGCTCCACAGCCGGTATGCCTCAACTATCTCTGCAGAACATGCCGAGCTGAAGTCATCCAGCTTGAACATTGAGGAGGGTGCTTCGCTTACTTGCTCTGCCTCTGATCGACCAGATGATACAACATCGGAGCCTCGTGGGAAAGGCAGCCAGGCTTCTGGGAACAGCGGAGGTGGTGGTGGAGGACATGCCAACAGAGGAGGGACAGGGTATGATAGTGCTGGCAAAGCTGTGGCTCCTGGTGGAGCATCCTACGGAAGCCTTTACAATGCAACCGAAAGGGGAAGTGATGGAGGCTCGGGACCAAGTCAAGATGGTGGGGAAGGTGCTGGGTACATCAGCATCAAGGTAGCAGGCAGGATCCAGCTAGATGGAACCATCAAAACAGATGGATCTACAGCATCTGCGGGGACACTGGGTGGAGGTGGAAGCGGTGGTTCTGTCAGAATTGAGTCTTGGGAGCTAGATGGTCATGGTTTGGTGACAGCTCATGGAGGAGACGGGGATGGCCCTCGATCCGGTGGTGGCTCTGGAGGGCGTCTTGCCATCTACATTGCAGGACACAACAACTTCCAAGGATCCTACTCAGCGTATGGAGGAGCCGGTGGAACTGCACTACCAACACCCCACGGGGAACCAGGTTCCATTTACCTCCAAAACCTTCAAGATGACCGACCTTATGACCAACTCATCATTGACAACTCTGGCAGATCCTGGAATCATTATTTCACTTTAGACGAGCCCGAAACATACAACTACACCTTCAATGAGATTCACATGACTAGAATGGCATCACTTCAGATGCTATCAGACGGAAGAGAGAAGAGCCTAAATGTTAAGACTCTAGAAGGAGATCTAAGTGGGCTTCTTCATATGCATTCCAACCACACCTACAGCATTGATGTCGAAGAGAACAGCAAAACAACCATCAAAGCAGAGGTCAACCTACGCATTGATCCTGGCGCCATCGCTGCCATGGCAAGTACAGTTGACATCATTGGAACAGGCCAGCCGGCACTGCTCTGGAATGGGCAGCTGCTCGGTGTTAGACACCTGCGAATCGCCTACCAGCGTACTGTCGTGATAGGAGCTGATGCCCACACGGCACTGATTGTCGACGGGACATACGAGTACATCGACGACCCTGGAACATTCAGATTTGCAAGTCTGGAGTTCGGTGCTCAGTCATCCGTGGCCTTTCCTCCACCCCTTGGAATTACATTCAACGTGGGCTTTCTGGTAAATAGTGATACAATTTGTATCTGATGGAATATAATTAATGAATTCAAAAATTTGAAAGTGTCTCTGAAAAATCAAATTGAGGGAATTTTAAGAACTTTTTGCACTTAATATAGACCATGTGCCCTGTGACATCATGTTGACAGACAACCGCTGTGCAATACAAACATTTAAGCATCTTTTATTTGGCCAACATTTAACAGTAAATGTCAACACTTTTAAACCATTCATATTTCAAGAGATATACATGCAGTGCAGAAGGGAACTGTTTGCTGAACCTGACCACAACATCAAATTTTGTCACATAGTCTTTATGAATATGGATTGACTCATCTACTGCCAACTTGAAAACGTAAAAGGAAGGAACAATACTCTGTATATAAACACTACATAAATCTACTGCCAACTTGAAAACGTAAAAGGAAGGAACAATACTCTGTATATAAACACTAAATAAACTGAGCATATACATTGTATAAATTGCCTGAAATCCTGCTGAAATTGAATTTCCTGCGCTAGTGTACTTAAAGTCCTGTATCTTTTATAAGATGGCTAGAGTATGAGTTTTTTTAGTCATCTGTGCTTCACTGAAACTGTTCCATTTTAACAATTTTTTATTTTATCCAGGACATGAAATGGAGCTCCTCCTTCAGTGCGGAGTACTTTGAGATCTATGCCACAGATTACTTCCTGGAACCTAGTGCTGCTCTGATGTGCTCGGGGCGGGGCCCTGAAGAAGATGGCCCCGGAACAGGAACAAGAGGCACTGGCGCTGGCCATGCTACTGTAGGTGGAAATGGTAAGTAATAAACAATGCAATTACTTTCACATGAGTTAAGAAGAAAGTAAAATTCATACTTAGGGCCCCCAATTTTCTATTTGCCGATTTATGGAAGTAGAAGATGATTGAGAAAATTGTGTACTTGTAGTAAAGATTGGTCTGGTTCAAAACATTTTATGATTTTTTTGGGTCTAATGTGCCATAATAAGATGAAACTTGACTTAAAGGTTGAAGAAATGAGGCTGCCTAGCCAGAAATAAATTAGTAGCAGTACTTGCAGGAAGAGCAATCACATGACCAAGTTTTTTTTCTTTCTTTGCAGCACCTGATGGAACTCCTGGTGGCACTGTTTACGGTTCCCTGTACGAACCGGTCAACGGAGGAAGCCGTGGAGGAGCTGCATCCAACGGCAGCCCGGGACCTCGAGGTGGAGGTCGAGTACGCATCATCGTTGGTGCCATCTTGAACTTGGACGGGAGAATCTTGACGGATGGACTCGACGGAAGCAACGGAGCAGGGGGAGGTAGTGGCGGCTCAGTATGGGTGACAACAGGTAAATAAAAGGTTTTTGCTGATCTAGGGCAGGCTTAGGTAATGACAGTTACGGAGTCTAGTTATAGCAGTGAACTGGCCTTGTCTTGAACAGCATTTTCCATGTTGGTGGTTGAATCGTTTCAACATTGTTTCTTTTCTTTATTTCAGGATTATTGATTATAGATCATCAGTTATGGGGATGAAACTTGATGACTTTACAGTACCATTTTTTAGCAAAGTATGAATCTTGATACATGTAGCTCTTTAAACAGATTTTATTTTGGAAGCAAACTTTTTTGGAGGATTGTAACACTCAACATCCAATTTTAACCATCTCCGATGATGAATTAGGTCACTTCAGGGGTCACGGCGAGATTTCCTCTTCTGGTGGACGTGGCCATCTAACTTACGGTGGGGGTGCAGGTGGTCGTATCGCCGTCCACATCACGGAGGTGGACGAGTACCGCGGCGCCCTCACGGCCCTCGGCGCCGGCGGAACCACTCAAGGCGACTACGGTGGATCGGGGACAGTCTATGTGGAGCAGTTTGTCAACGGCACGTGGTACACCAGGCTTTATTTGGACAACCAGAATGTGAATCCAGCAAAGGCTTTTGTTCTTGCCGAGAAGAACCCGAGAACGCTGAGGGATGACTTGACAGAGCACAACTTTGCAGATTATGGACTGGATGAGCTCATGCTACAACGAAAGGTAAAATTGGAACAGTTGTGAATCCTGAACGGGAATTAAAGGGTGTTGTTTGCCATTTTCTGGCGAAAAGCTGATTCAAACATTGCTTACTTACATTTGTAGATCGTTTCTTCAGCAATCGCTAAGCTTGATTTTGAGCAGACCTAGGCTGGATTTCAAAGGGCTTGTAAGCAGAAATTACATACTTAGCATATTTTTGTGCTAAGCAAAGGTCAGTCTAGAAGCAGTAACAAGAAGTACACACCACACAGCACTTGAGTTGGTAACCTGTTTTTGCATAAGCATTCTTTGCTTATAAGATTTTTTGCTCAACTGCTCTGTCAATCTTTCTTTTGCAATAGTTGTATAAAACAACTTTCTCGATCTCAAGTGATTCAATTCTGTCTTGAACTTCTGTTGTCCCAACAAGCTTAGTGATCATCTTCTGCTAATCCTTCTCAGCATCTTCTGCTAAATATTTCAACTGGGGAAGTTATGTTTTGATGACGAGATCCATGTTTTGTTGATACTTTGTGTTTTTAATGAAAAAAAAAATTTTCAATCCTTTCTGCAGATGCTCTTCCAAATAGCACCAAGCAACGGCAAACCTAACCCCTCCGTCTCGGCCCAAACAATCCTCGGAGATCGCACGGGTCTCCTCCACATTCAACCCAACCAGACATTCTACATCGAGTACTCCCAAGACGTAAACCGGCGCTCTGTCCCACCGGTAAACTTCCGCATCGAAGAGAACGGGGAGATATTCCTCCCTGCCGACTTCCGAGTGATCGGTAATGACGACCCGCCGTTTTATCTCGACGGGCGCATGAGCGGGGTGTACAACTTCACCGTAGCGGAAGGGAAGGAGTTTGTCGTCGGTCCACATGCTACCAACGCTCAGGTCAACAACGGAACGTATGTGGATGAACCAACACCAGGTACACTAGACCGTTATCTAATATTACACTGAGTTTCTCCAAGCAAAAGTTTGATTCCAAGTGAAGACTGGAGGACCAAGTTATTCAAGTTTTAAGCAGTCTAAAGTATTGTAGATTTATGATGGATCTATTAGTCACATTTGAAGTTTGAAGACGGAGCTTGTTGTCTTGTGTTTTAATAGTTTTAAGGCAGCTTCCCCAACCCTCCAAAACCCATCACTGAGCAGGATGTTTGTGGTACATTCTTTGTAGTTTTTAATAAGAAAAATGTGGACATCGAAGCCTGTGTAGAGTTTCTGTGACTTGGCTCTTAAGTCCAAACTCTATCAGAACACCGCAAATCCATTTGTTGGATTTTGGAAGATTTCGCGAAGCCATTGGTGTAGTCAAGTCCATCGCCAGTCATGCTCAAGTCATCGAGTTCTAGTCAAGTCCATGCTTGGCAAATGAACTGTGACGTAGACATTCCATTGCTTATCCCCTTTTGCTTGGACAGAACCTGTGAATTTACTTGTGATTAACTTGTGGCCCGACTTGTGATCGACTTGAAACAGCACTTGCATTTGGCAAGGGTTAAATAGTGGTTGATAGTTGGAAATTTTTGTTTTTTAACCAGGTGTTATTCGACTCGGAGTTCTCAAACTGGAAGCCCGATCCCAGCTTACCTACCCCAACCACATGCAGCTAGACGTTAATGACATCCTCCTCCGTTACCAGTCTCTTGTCTCCGCCCAGTCCGTCAACATCCGAGCCACCAATGTCCACATTGAGGGCGAGGCCGTGATTGACACAGCCGGGCAGGGTCCTGGGGCAGAGTCTGGCGAAGGGGGCGGAGCCAGGCTGGAGGGCAGCTCCATTGGTGTTGGAGGGGGTCATGGTGGTTACGGCGGAGGAGCAGATTTGCTGAACTACACTGCAGGTACGACATAAAGTTGCTTCTATTTTTTACAATCTGTATAAATGCCCTTTATTCTTGCAGTTTACTTTAAAATCACACTTACGTTACCATATCATTTACTTGTTTTAACTGGTATCTACAAAAAAATATCCACAACAGGTTTTTAATATTAAGCAAAGCCTTCTTTTCCCGTTTTTAGGTGCCCCGTATGGCTCGTACACCAACTCCTTCCACACTGGAAGTGGTGGTGGTGGTTTAACCGGAGGTCCAGGCGGAAGCGTAATCACAATCCATGTTGGTCACTCATTCCATCTGGATGGTTACTTGCAAAACACCGGTGGCGACGCTAGTGGCGGGCATGGCGGTGGTGGTAGCGGTGGTAGTGTGTACGTTACAACTGTCTTGTTCTCGGGGCACGGTGGCATTTATGTCAACGGTGGCAGCGGTTACGGGGAAGGCTTTGGCGGTGCGGGAGGGCGCATTGCCGTGCACGTGTCATGGCTGAGAGAATATGCGGGTGATTTTGATGCATACGGTGGTCTTGGTGGCAGCTCACGCCCGAGTGCCAGTCCAGGGCACGCAGCTGGCGGGACTGTCTATTACACAGATACCAATCGTGGTCTGCGATTCCGTAAGGCTACTTTCAACGGGCACAATGAAACTCTGTGGGTGGATGGATTCACCAAGCTCTACTTGGACAACCAAAACCGCAACGACTTCCTACCAACGGTGATCGAAAATGACAACGGGACGTTGTTTGAATTCGATGAGATAGAGATACACAACCATGTTGTGCTCTGGTTGCATGGAAAGGACTCAGAACTAATCACGCACAAGTTCGTTGGTGACAGGACTGGCCAGATGCACCTGAGGTACCACCAGAAGATGTACTGCGAAGTTGTCGAATCTCAGAGTGGATTCACCATCGCGCCGGTCAGCTACCGCATCGACCGCAACACCGAGATCATCTTCCCATCCACCCTCTTCCTTCTGGGAACAAGAACCTACATCGATGGTCTAGTTACGGGTGTCCACAACCTGTTTGTCACAGAAAGCTCCGTTGTGACTTTCACATCGACGTCAAGAACGGCTCTGCTCAACAACGGGACCTATGACTTCATCACATCCCCGGGAAACATCACTTTCAGTCGGATAACAGTCCAGAGGGGATCAGTTATGATGCTGAGTGAAATCGAAGACGATCTCACTATAACTGCCAGTGATCTGAAGATAAAGTTCAATGGACTAATCAACATGAATCGAGGATTTATTGATACAGGAGATGCTACCATTGAGAGCGAGGGCATCTTAAACTTAGACTTTACTGGATATCCTAGTGAAAGTGGTAAGTCTTGAAATGCACCGTTTCTTCCATTTCTAAAACCAAATTGTGCAATCTTTATATTGTATTGGTTCTCATGATGAATTGTTTGCGAAATTGGAGTAAATTTTAGTTTGCTGTTTAAATCTGTTTGCCATCATGAGTTTTGTGTTCGATTTTTGTAATCAGGTCCAGGTGCTGGATGGACTTCAAATGGGATTGGCTATGGTGCTGGTCATGGGGGGTACGGTGGAGCACCTGATCCTAAGACCGGAGGGGAACCGTACGGATCCCTGTACGCCCCTTGGGAAAGGGGTAGTGGTGGCGGCAACGGAGGGGGCCTTGGTGGTAGTGGCGGAGGTGAACTCCTCTGGCAGAACGGAGCACTGATTACCATTGATGGGTTTATCAATCTCAGAGGTCGGGCTGGCGCAAGCGGCAATGCGGGCGGTGGCAGCGGCGGGAGCATTCTGATTGAGAGCACCGATTTTGGAGGCCATGGAGTTATCAACGTGAATGGAGGAAATGCGGCACCACCAGCAAGCAGCCAGCTAGGTCAAGGATTTGGAGGCTCTGGCGGCAGGATTGCAATCCATGCCAAATATCACTACAAGTTTGCTGGGAGGCTGACTTCTGTAGGTGGTCATGGCACAACAACAAATTACGGAGCCGCTGGCACTGTTTACAAGGAGGAAACCAATCGCGGACCCCAGTATGCTGAACTCAAATACGATCCAGATACCAATGTCACGTCGGTTGTTGGAGAGCATCGGTATTTGTTTGTCGACAACAATGACCAACACGTTCCCTGGATTTTCACAATGCTCATGGAAGGTGAGAAAGACTTCTATGAATTGGATGAAGCCCATATCACTCGACATGCCAACATCCGTATCCACCATCCACAAAGCTCGCCGAATGTGACTGTCATTGTCCATAAGTTTCTGGGTGACAGAACTGGGCTCTTCCATTTAAGAGAGGACCAGATCATTTATGTTGAAGTTGTGGAATCACAGACAAATGAAACCTTTGCTCCTTGTAGTTACAAGATTGACGAAGGTGCAGAGATCGTCTTTCCGGCTTCCGTGGATATTCTAGGAACGAGGACATGGCTAGCTGGCAGGATCACAGGTGTGCATCATCTTGTAATAGCCAGTGGGGGAGATGTTGTCTTCTTCTCAACTGCACAGACAGCATTGGTTGAAAATAAGGAGTACACCCTCATCACGAAGCCAGGAAACTTCAGTTTTGCAACTCTCACTATTGAGCGCCATTCCAAAGCTGAGTTCCAGCAGATAACCCACCCCATGAGTATTATTGTCAGTGAGTTCTGGGTCAAGTATCAGGGAGAGGTGTACATGAATGATGCTGATATAGAATCCGCTGATGCTTGGATTGAAAGCCAGGGGATATTCCATTTGGACGCAAGGGGCCATCCTGCAGAGGATGGTCCAGGAGGAGGGTTTACTACTCAGGATGGGATTGGGATGGGAGCAGGGCATGGCGGACAGGGAGGTGGGCCACCATTCTATGGTGGAACGCCTTATGACTCAGTCTACACTCCTCGGGAAAAAGGTAGTGGTGGTGGAAATGGCACAGGAGTTGGTGGTCGAGGAGGTGGCCTGCTGTGGTGGAGGATTGGGCAGAAACTTGAACTGAATGGAGAGCTGGCTTTGAGAGGTGGGGATGGCATCGGACAAGATGCAGGAGGTGGTAGTGGAGGTGCTGCTCTAATAGAGACAACAAACATGACAGGACACGGAGTGATTGCAGCCACAGGTGGCAACGGTGTTGGCAAGGGAGGAGGTGGATCTGGTGGCAGGGTTGGGATCCACTGTCGATGGAGATACCAATATGGAGGGGAGTTCTTGGACTTTGGAGGAGCTGGGGGTGATGGCTATGGCAACTCTCATGGAGGTGCAGCAGGTACCGTTTACAAGGAAGAGAACCTCAGAGAATTGGAGTACAGGCACAAGAAATATGACAAAGTCCACAACACCACATTTTTGGAAGTTGACCACAAGTATGTGCATATTGACAACAACGGGCGACCAGTTCCTCCAGCTACCATGATATCAGAAGCAGATACAATTGAATATGAATTTGATGAGATGGAGCTTAGCGGAGCAGCAAGGCTTTTACTCTACCATCCAGACAATGCAACAAGAGTTAACTTGACGGTTCACAGGTTCATTGGTGATAAGACAGGTCAGCTGCATCTGAGAGTAAACCAGACTGCTTTCATTGAGGTCTTAGAGTCGGTAACCAACAAGACCGAAGCACCTTGCAGCTATATTGTCGACGAAGGATCTGAGATTGTCTTTCCTGCCGAGGTTCACATTCATGGTACCAACAGCACCCTCGCTGGCTTCATGGTTGGTGTCCACCACTTGTACGTTGAGGATGGCGCCTGGATTAAGTTCTTCTCCACTGCACAAACTGGCCGTTTAGAGAACAGGGCCTACGTAGACATCACACCTCCTGGAAACTTCTCATTTGGAACTGTGACCATCAAGCTGGGAGGCCTAGTGGGCTTCCTGCGCATTACCTCTACAATGAGTCTGGAATCTAGTGAGCTCCGTGTCAAATACAGAGGAGAGATGTACGTGAACCATGCTGAAATTCATTCCACTTATGCTTGGGTTGAGAGCGAGGGAGTCTTCCATTTGGATGGTCATGGCTTTCCGGCTGAGGAAGGTCCTGGCTTTGGTTCAACGATTTCTGGTGTTGGGTATGGAGGAGCTCATGGAGGGGAAGGAGGAGGGCAGAACATCTCTCTGGTCAGTCAGCCATATGGGTCAGTTGTTACTGGACTTGAGCTTGGTAGTGGTGGGGGAAATGGTGGAGGAGCCGGTGGCAGTGGTGGTGGGTTGCTGCACTGGATTATAAGCCATTACTTGGAGCTCAATGGTCTGCTTTCAGCAAAAGGAGCTCCCGGAGTTAATGGCAATGCAGGTGGTGGCAGTGGTGGCAGTGTATTCCTGGAAACTACCAACATGACTGGACATGGAGAAATTAATGTCCGGGGTGAAGATGGTTTTGGACAAGGAGGTGGTGGATCAGGGGGAAGAGCTGCAATACATTGCCGCTGGCGCTACACGTATGGAGGAAAGTACACTGACAGGGGTGGAAGTGGAGGGTCTGGTTATCTCTTAGATCATGGAGCAGCAGCAGGCACATCATACATTGAAGAGAACTTGCGTCCCCTGGAGTATCGCATCCGCAAGTATCTGAAATCGACCAACACCACTCTCCTGGATGTTGATCACAAGTACATCCACATAGACAACGAAGGCCTTTATGTGCCAACAGCAACTGTGTTGATTGAAGGTGACTCAAAATCCTACGAGTTCAATGAGATGGAGCTGACGGGTGCCTCGAGGCTGTTGATCTACCACCCACCACAGCATGAGCACGTCAATGTCACGGTGCACCGTTTCATTGGAGACAAAACAGGCCAGTTGCATCTTCGAGGTGATCAGGCTGTGTATGTTGAGGTGGTAGAGTCCCGAACAAATAGGACCGAAGCACCTTGCAGTTTCTTGATCGACTATGGCTCTGAGATTGTCCTCCCATCGGAGGTCCACTTGCATGGCACCCGGACAGAGCTTCATGGTCTTGTAACTGGCATACATGAGCTTTTCATTGAGGATGAGGCTGATGTGATATGTACATCAACATCGCAGACTGCTATCGTTGAAAACCACGAATACGTCCACATTTCTGACAAGGGCAATTTCTCAGTCCCAGAGTTGTTCATTAAGTACGGAGGCACAATCACTTTCCAACGGGTCCTTGATGATATAATCCTGAATGTTGATTTCCTAGAGATCAAGTATCGAGGAACACTTTTGATGAATCATGGATTGATCGAGTCGGACCATGCAGACTTGGAGAGTGAGGGTGACCTCTTACTTGATGGGAAAGGTCATCCAAGCAATCACGGGCCAGGAGCTGGTAAGACGACTTCTACTGGGTATGGCACAGGTGGAAGCCACGGTGGACAAGGTGGATATTTTGCTGGTGCAACAACAGGGAGCACGTATGGATCTGTGTACACACCTCTTGTTCTAGGTAGCGGTGGAGGAAGCAGTGTTGCTGGCTTGGGAGGAGCTGGTGGTGGATTGCTGCACTGGATCATCGGGAAACTCATCCACCTTAATGGACTCGTATCAGCAAGTAGTGTGAACAGTCTGAGCCTCGATGCAGGTGGTGGCAGTGGCGGGAGTGTCCTGATCGAGGCGACAAACATCACAGGCCATGGAGAGATTCGTGTGAATGGTGGGGGAGGATTGCGTAGAGGAGCAGGTGGAGCTGGTGGGAGAATAGGCATCCATATTAGACATCAAAACAACTATGGTGGGCTCTTTGTTTCCAGAGGTGGTATGTGTGGGAGTTCACACCCAGATCCGTCACTTGGAAATGGAGCTGCTGGTACGGTTTACAAGTACGAGTCTCGTCGCGGACCACAGTACAGGGAGTTGAAATACTCAGCCAAAAACATCACCGAGTTCAAGCCGGAACATTCCAAGCTGAAGATTGACAATGGTGTGATCGAGGTGGATCATCCTGCTGTGGTGATGGAGGAGGAAACAATCTTCTACGAATTTGATGAGCTGCAAATCGAAGGGCACTCCTATCTACACTTCTACCATCCCCAGGAGGCCCACAACGTCACTGTGGTTGTCCATGAGTTGACTGGCAACAAGCGGGGGCTGATCCGTGTCCAGAATCGCCAGCGGCTGTTCATCCACATTGTGGAGTCCACCCATACCTACCTTGATGCACCTTGTGGGTTCCACATTGACTGGGGTGGGGAGGTCGTACTCCCGACAACTCTCATTGTTCTCACTGAGGTCATAATCATCGAAGGTCGCATTACCGGGGTGGAAGAGCTCATAATTGAACGTGGGGGTGAAATCCAGTTCCTTGGTAAAGCACACACAGCTCTTCTACCTGAGAAATCACAATGGTACGAGGATACCCCTTACTTGGACCACACACCGGGGCTACTCGTAACACCAGAAGTAACAGTCAACAACTTGGGTGTCTTAAAGTTGATCATGGACCCAACCGAACCGGTGATGGACGTTGGAGAACTGATTGTGAAATATGGCGGTCGCCTAGATCTGCGGACAAGGAGAGTGCAAATTGATGCTGGAATAGTAAATGTGGAGTATACTGGTGTGGTTACCAGCGATGGAAGTGGGTACCCTGCCCAGCAGGGTAGTGGAGCAGGGAGCAGCGGCACAAGCGGGGCCTCTGGTGCCGGGCATGGATCCAAAGGTTGGTGGTTAAAGTGTCCACTTAATGTCATATTCTTGGCACACAAACATCACAACAAATTGAAAGAATTTATTTCATAGCATTGGATTAAAAATTGTATAGAGTCAGAAAGGAAAATTGTCAAAATAATTTGTTGTTGTTTCCAAAATAATGTCTTGTTGGTTGTGGTTACGATGTCACAAAATCATAGCTTGATGCTTGAAATTCTCATTTTTCAATTTTTCTTTTTTACTAAATTTAAAGCCAGGTTTGAAATGATTATCTCCAAATTACTGTCAGGATTTTCAGCTATGCCAGGGACCCAATTCTCATTTTGCTTATTTGCTTGTACCTTCAAAATCATCATTAATGGTTCCGCTTCCTTTAGGTGGTAATGGTGGCGGACAGACAGGAGGAAGTGCCTATGATTCCCTGTACACGCCTGATGATATCGGGAGTGGAGGGGGCGGGTCCGGTGGTGGCGCAGGAGGTGGAAGGCTCCACATCATAGCAGGACAGGTACTTTAAAATATCAAATTGACCCTCTGCATTGAAAGCCATCTTGGAGATGTTTTTGGTCTTTTATCAGTAACAATAAATTTATGAAAGATGTACTCCTGCCTATCCCTGCAAAAAGGAGTGTGGCCTAGTGATCAGAGGGTCAGGGGTTCAAATCCAGCTGCTGGCCATATGTTGTGTCCTTGGGCAAGCCACTTTACCCCACTTACCTCTCTCCACCCAGGAGCATAAATGGGTACCGGCATTAGCTGGGGAGTAACCTGCGATGGACTGGCATCCCATCCAGGGGGAATAGAAATACCCTCTGCGGTTTAATGCCTAGGAAACCGGTGACAAACGCTGGCCTGATGAGCTTTAGTAGGCTCGTGAGAGACGTGACTTTACTTACTTACTATCTCTGCAAAATACAAAAATTGCATCTCTAAAATGGCTGCCCTATAAAGGGTCTGTTCATAAGGCAAGAAACAACATTTTCCAATAGCTCAAAACAAACTCTCCAAATAACCCAACACAATACTTGGTGTAAATAGAGCAAGATTAACAAATGTCTTGTAATGGTAAATCTGGCATGCTACAGTTGTGAAGATAGGAGTGTTGCAATAATGCTGAAGAGTTAAAAACTGAAGAGTTTGGGAAGTTAAACTCTCATAATATATCTCAACAGAAATGAGAAAGCCATTGAAACTACACAGTTGAGTGATTCTGAAATGACATTATTTTTGTGGCCTTAAATCTTCCAACATTTCTTGCAGGACATTGTTTGTAATGGTCGCATCTCGGCCAATGGCCTGCCAGGAACCAGTCAGTCTTACAGCGGCGGCGGTAGTGGAGGAAGTCTGGTACTCGATGCTGCTAACCTGATTGGCCATGGAAGTATTTGGTGTGATGGGGGATCTGCCTACACTGCCACCAACTTTAGTAAGTGGCTCCGTCCTGCAATGGTTTACTCCAATTTTTAAAAAATTATTTTAATAACATGTTAACTACAAATTAGGTAGTTAGTGTTTTTTTACCATTATAGACCTGGTAAACTTAAAGATTACATATATGTGTTAATCTACAAAAGAACATTTCGTCGCCGCAGTGCAACAAGGTCGACATCCATTGACTTTGTGCGTACATCCGGGTTATTTTAAGTGAGGTACGACCTTTTGACGGCCCATTTTAGAAGATATGACCTTGTTGCATGGAGACGACGATTTCTTCCAGAAAGTTATCAAGAACTGCAAATGAAATTTAAGGTACCGATGCAAACTTATTTTTTTTGTCTTGGCAGATAATGGTGGTGGCAGTGGAGGTCATATTGCCGTCTACCTGACCAACCAATTCATGTTCCGGGGCCAGGTGCATTCACTGGGTGGATCAGGTGCAGCGCATGGTGGGCCCGGTACCCTGTATAAACGCATCACTCTTGGTGACAGTTCTGAGCACTTCCTGGAGGTGGATAATTCAAATTACCCCTCAAGTTTTGGATGTGTTTCGCCAGTGGTTCTCGCCGAGGCTGGACTTACTGATTATGACTTCAACGGGATAAACCTGAAACGAAAAGCTTGTGTCACAATGTTGCAGGTATTTTTTAAACTAAAGTGTTTCTAAACTGTTAGTTAATGGGACATCAACATCAAATCAATCTATGTTTATTCACAAGTTGAAAAAGTTTATGTTGAGTTCTCTTAACCCTTGATTCTTGATGTGGAATCCTTAAGAAAATCGTTTGGACTTCTTGTTTTTCTTCTTTTTTTCCAGAATAATGTTGCATACACCTTGAAAGTTGGACATGTGATGGGCGACAATTCAGGATTCTTCTACATCGGAACGAATCACTTCGTGCATATTGAACCACAGCAAAAGCGCTCACGGGCACCCGTCAATTTGATCATTGAGCCCAGTGGGACCTGTATCCTGCCCTCAGAGTTTGTGGTCGTGGCCACAGTCCACACAAAGGGCGCCCTCTATGGTTTAGAAAGGGCAAGGGTTAACGGCGAGCTGCTGTTGTACCGGTCAGGTTACTCTGCATGCAGGAACTGCACCCTGGGTAGCCATGAGAGAGGTCACTACTGGATGGATGCAATGACAGTACACAAGTCTGGTACCCTGACTATTGTGGCCAGCGGCGTGCGGAATTTAAATAGCGGCGCATCCAGGCTGGTGCTGTCGGAGACATTGGATGTGGACTACGGGGGTCATGTTCAGGTCAACGACGGTCTTGTTGTGTTCGCGCATGATGTGAAAGTTGAGAAGAGTGGCGTGGTGGATGGCGACGGCAAAGGTTACGGGAGCGCGAGTGGCCCTGGAGCGGGGTCTACTTGTGGTGGGGCTGGTGGGGGTAGTGGGGCCGGCCATGGTGGTAGAGGTGGAGGAGCATATTCCACCTACTATAGTTCGATTAACTCGTGCGACAAAGGAGGTGTGACATATGGCAGTGCTTGTCTACCAAGTGACGTCGGTAGTGGCGGTGGAAATTGTAACCATAATCACAAAGGGGGTCCTGGTGGTGGCGTGGTTGAAATCGTATCCAGTCGGCTAATGGCGATGGAGGGGGAGGTGCACGTACATGGGTCACGTTATGAAGGAGCTGGTGGTGGTGGTGGCAGCGGTGGATCGCTTTGGATTGATGGCTTCTTTGTCGAGGGCTGGGGAGTTCTTACCTCTGATGGAGGGAGTGCTACTTCACATTCTTGGAGACAATCCAGTAATACGTATTACCATTATGGTGGTGGTGGAGGCGGTGGACGAATAAGGACCTTCTCGCCAAACTCGCCTCATGCCGTGGTTATTGGTAGACGGAGAGCATCTGGAGGCTCTCATGGATCTTACTCCGGTGAAGATGGAACGCTTTGTGTCTCTGGGAATGAGTGCAGTGGGCACGGTGTGTTGAGTGTAAGTGTCTGTAATTGCCATGCCGGGTATGTTGGCAGTAACTGTCAAATTCCATGTGATTCTGGGACAACCTGCAATGCTCAGGGAGTTTGCACGGAGCTTGGTGGCTGCGAGTGCTTACCAGGGTTTGTAGGTTATCGCTGTGAACATCAGTGCGACCGGAACACGACGTGCAGTGGAAATGGAGAATGCACCCCGCACGGGGATTGTGTGTGCGACTCGTGCCACCACGGACCAGGCTGCTCTTTGATGTGCAATGGCAATGGTGTTTGCGATAATGGCGTCTGTCAATGTGACTCGTGTTACATTGGCGAGTATTGTCACTCCCTGTGCAACCATCACGGTGTGTGCAACGTCAACGGCTTGTGTGATTGTGAGGAGAGTTGGCGAGGGGACTTCTGTACCATTGCTGGTTGTCCGGGTGAAGATGTTGATTGCTCTGGACATGGAGTGTGCAACTCTGCCAGCCATCAGTGCTACTGTGATCCTGGTTGGAAGAGCGCTGACTGTGCAATGGCAGACTGTCCTGGTGAGCCAAACTGCTTCAACAGGGGCTTCTGCAATGCAAGTGTCTTACCCCCACAGTGTCAGAATTGCTCTAAAGGCTGGATGGGGGCCGATTGCAACGAGACATGTCTCCACGGCAACCAGATGCCCATGGATAGTGGAATCTGCGAGTGCGACCCTTGCTGGACAGCAAAAGGATGCAATGTGGAGTGCTCCAGTCACGGAGTCTGCAGCTCAGATAACACCACATGCGAGTGTGATCCATTCCAGGGATGGCGTGGAGAGGTTTGTGAGATTCCAGGATGTCCTGGATTTGGAAAGGATTGCACAGGACATGGAGATTGTAACAGTGCGACGCATGAATGCACCTGCTTCCCTGGATGGACAGGGGTTGGCTGCCATATTCCAGACTGCCCTGGTGACCCCGACTGCTTCGAGCGCGGATACTGCAATGCTTCCTTAGACACCCCGCTTTGCCAGAACTGTTCACTGGGGTGGATGGGTCTGGCTTGCGATGATCCTTGTGTGCATGGTCTTCAAACCCCCATGGATAGTGGTTACTGTAACTGCTCGGCTGGTTGGAGCGGTGTCGGCTGTGACTCGGAGTGTTCCGAACATGGAGTCATTGTCAATGATGCCTGTGTTTGCGACTATGCTACTGGGTGGAAGGGTGAGCTCTGTGATGTACCAGGATGCCCAGGCAAATTCAATCTCGATTGCTCTGGTAGGGGTGACTGTGACAGCTCCTTGCATAAGTGTGTATGCGATGAAGGATGGACGGATTTGGGTTGCGAGATACCCGATTGCCCCGGAGTCCCAGATTGTGCCAATCGCGGCTACTGCAATGAAACATTTAACCCTCCCCTTTGCACAAATTGTACTCAAGGCTGGATGGGGCCTGCTTGTGAAGACCCTTGTATTCACGGTGTCCAAACCCCAATGGACAGTGGCTTCTGTAAATGTGAGCCTGGGTGGGCTGGAGCTGGATGCGACGCGGAATGCTCCCTTCATGGAACCATTGTCCAGGACGTCTGCGTATGTGAGCCTATTTGGACTGGTGAACTCTGCGACATTCCAAGTTGTCCGGGCATTTTCAACCTTCCCTGTAGTGGTAGAGGTGAATGTAACAGTGCCACTCATGTATGCACGTGCAGCAACGGGTGGACTGGAGATGGTTGTGAGCTTGCCGATTGTCCAGGCAGTCCTGATTGCTTCGAGCGTGGCTACTGTAATGAGACTTTCGACCCACCGCGATGCACCAACTGTTCACGGGGCTGGATGGGTGTCGACTGTAACGAGCTGTGCACATTCGGCATCCAACAACCAATGGACAGTGGTATCTGCATCTGTGATCCTTGCTACTCTGGGAAGGGATGCAACAGCGAATGCACAGGCCATGGCAAGTGTCAAAACGACAAATGTGTTTGTGATCCAGGATGGCATGAAGAGGTCTGTCAGAGGCCTGGATGTCCCGGCATCGGCTCTGACTGTACTGGGCATGGCGATTGCAACAGTGCCCTCCATAAATGTTACTGCAACCCAGGTTGGACTGGTGATGGCTGCCACCTGCCTGATTGTCCTGGAGATCCCGACTGCACAGGCCGTGGCTTCTGCAATTCCACCGATCGTGACGTGCCTGTGTGCACCGACTGCATCCAGGGTTGGATGGGACCGGAATGCAACGACCCTTGTACTCACGGCACCCAAGTGCCCAAAGACAGCGGCTTCTGCCAGTGCGAGCCGTGCTGGACTGGTGTCGGCTGCAACAGCGAGTGCTCGGGCAACGGGGTCTGCGACGAGATGGGCCAACGCTGCCTGTGCTTCAACGATGCCAACCAGGCCTTCCTAGGAGACAAATGCGAAACGCTTGGTTGTCCTGGACTTGATGGTGCTTGCAATCAACACGGCACCTGTAATGCCGTCACTCAAGAGTGCACCTGTTACCCAGGATGGACAGGTCCTGATTGTAGCATTCCCGACTGCCCTGGAATCCCGAGCTGTTCAGGTAAATTGTGTAAAAAATAATACTTAATAATATAATACTTAATGCTATTGAAACATAATTGATTGTTTTTGTCCGAATTATTTTCTTTTTGTCAAAGGACATGGTTTGTGTTTGGGTGAGACCCCACGACGTTGCCAGTGTGAATCAGACTGGGCAGGCGAGGTCTGCGACACGCCATGCGAGTTTGGCTACAACTACGGCGACACACGCGGCTGCGTCTGCGATGCCTGTTACACGGGCACTGGCTGTGACAGGGTTTGCTCTGGCCGCGGCAACTGCGTGAATGATCAGTGCCAGTGCATCTTTGAGTCGGGCTACCGCGGCGACAGATGTCAGATCCCTGGATGTCCTGGGGTCGGCGTGGATTGCAGTAACCACGGGACGTGTAACTCGGCAACATACGAGTGCCTCTGTGACCCTGGATGGAAAGGTAATTTGAAGAGCCAAATTGGAGAATTAAACTGAATTAATGTCAAATGGAAAATATAAATACAAAAGTGCTGATATTTCAGTCCTAATCAGATATTGTAGATATAGACGATTAACTTGTGAACTTTTTGATATTGCAAGGTATTGGATGCCACATACCCGACTGCCCCGGGGAACCAGACTGCAATGGCCACGGAGACTGCCCCATTCCACCAGAAGGCGAGGACCCAGTCTGTACCAACTGTGACAACACCTTTATGGGCGATGGTTGCGAACTCCGCTGCGTCTACGGCCAACCCGAGAAGCTCAACGGAACTTGGGAGTGCACGTGCTACCCCTGCTATGCAGGACTCGCGTGTGACAGCTTCTGTAATGGGCAGAGCACGACATGTGCCGATGGGGTGTGTGATTGCGGTTTTGACGGCTGGCGCGGCGACACGTGCACTATTCCCGGTTGTCCTGGACACGGCGAAGACTGTACTGGACATGGGGAGTGTAACAGAGCAACTGGGGTGTGTTACTGCGTGAACGGCTGGGCGGGTATCGGCTGCCATGAGCCAGATTGTCCCGGTACGCCTGATTGCAATGGGAGGGGCATTTGCATGGCATTATCACTTGGTTGTGATGGAAGTGATGATTGCATACCCGAAGAGTCTGTACCCGTCTGTCTCAACTGTGATCGGGGATGGATGGGACCAGCTTGTGAGGTGCCTTGTATCTTTGGAAGAGAGGTAATTCCCGCTTTTTCGGCCAAGTCAATCCCATGTCAATCAGAGATCTTCCCACTTCAAGTCTAGTGATAAGCCATTCAAATAGACTGGCAAATGCAATCATCCTGTGTTACTTGCGGCCTGGCTAGTGATTGATTTCTAATTTGACTTAAGATGGATTCTATAGATTCAGTGTCGGCCTGATATCTTAAAATTGCTCCCATCGTTAAAAAAATTGGGAGACGCATCAACTCCACAGTGTAATTAACAGCTAAAAGTAATGAAAAGATCCTGAAACCTTTCCTTAAAAAAGTCAAGTCATTGTTCCAACATCTATAACTGTCTGCCTTACTGTCTGAATCCTTAAAAACGGTTTCAGAAAATTAATTGACATTTCAATTTACATTGAAATAGAGCAATTTAAGTAATATCCAGCCCTATCTTTCTTTATAGACTCCTCCATATTCCGGCTTCTGCAAGTGTGACCCGTGTTATCATGGCCCTCACTGCGACATTCTCTGTTCGAACATTGGCAAGTGTACCCCTGATGGGATCTGTTACTGCGGCTTTGAGGGTGGAAGAGGAGAGTTCTGTGACTCGCCTGGCTGTCCTGGGCTGTTTGACACTGACTGCTCTGGCCGGGGTACCTGTCTGTTTGGTAAGCCAACAAAAAGACCTTGGGGTCTAGAGCGTTCGGAGCTCTTTAGAGCTTGTAAGTTATACAGAGTTCCTGTACTTTCTTGAGGTAACCAACTGCTCTGCGCAAGGTACATGTGATGCTGTTTGGTAAGCCAACTAAAAGACTTCTGAGTCTAGAGCTTTGGCAGCTCTTTAGAGCTTGTAAGTTGTACAGAGTTCCTGTACTTACTTGAGGTAACTTTGCTGGCCTTAAAAATATATAGTGGTGACAAGACGTGTAAACTGAACAAAAAAAGCAGGGAGGGCACTAGCTTAGCGGTCAATTTCTCATGGATCAAGACCTACGGAAAGGAAACCAGCTACCAGCTTGTCGGTCAAACATTCTGTATGAAAATTGCTGGATGTGGCAAAAAGCTCATGTTTATTTTCTGCCTAAGTGGTTGATAATTTTGCACATTTTGAATAAAAAACCCCAGATCCTTTCTTGTGCTTCATAGTCACTCGTTAAAGTAGCTCCTGGGCCAAAAAAATGCTGTAAGCAGAGATACCATTTTCTTTATCCAAATGCTATAAGCAAGAACCTGCAAAGAACCGGTCCCATGCCCATTTTGGCAGCTGACTTTGCTATTAAAATCAACAGGTTATACTCACGATGAAGGCACAGCCAGCCAAACCTGTAAATTTTCTCCTCCAGTTTTAATTGAATTGGAATGAACAATTTGATTCTTTTTCACATGTCAGATGAGTGCGTTTGCAGGGAAGGGTGGACCGGGGAAGGTTGTGAAATTCCAGTCTGCCCCGGTGAACCCAACTGTAACAACCGCGGCAACTGCACCGGTACTTCGACAATGCTTGTGCCCGAATGCCGCAACTGCATTGCTGGCTGGATGGGTGAGGCATGCGAGGTACCATGTGGCCCCGAAAACGGGTACCAGTATCCCATGGATAGTGGTGTGTGCCTGTGCACCAGTGGCTGCTGGCACGGCAAAAGCTGCGACATGATGTGCAGCGGGCTGGGCACGTGCACCGTCGGTGACCAATGCAAGTGCGAAGACGATAACGGCTACAATCCTGGTAGCTGGGGCGAGTTTTGTGAAATTCGCGACTGCCCCGGAGTCGGGCACCCTTGCTCTCGCCACGGACTCTGCACGGTGGCACTAAAATGCCTGTGCGACGACGGCTGGATCGGAGAAGGGTGTCAGGTACCAGACTGCCCCGGGGAACCAGACTGCAACGGGAACGGCATCTGCGATGGGAGCGGGGATATTCCCGTGTGCATGTGCGACACGTTTTGGATCGGTGACGCTTGCGAGTTCCCCTGCGTCCACGGTTCTGAGCAGGCAGACGGGAGCTGCGCATGCGACTTGTGCTACTCTGGACCGGGTTGCGACCGAGAATGCGGGGGCCATGGATCATGTACAAACGACACTTGTGTCTGTGATTCTGCTTGGTGGGGTAAGTTTCTCCTGAGCCTGAGTTTAACCACGAAATAATACACTTCCAGTCACAAGAAATCTCTTCAACTCCTATATGTTATCAGGAGCCCTAATTTTAACTGGTACTCTGTTTTGTTCAGGTCCTGAGTGCACATACAAAGGCTGCCCGGGTGTGGGAACCAACTGCACAAGTCATGGATACTGCAACGTGTTTGATCAGCAATGCTACTGTAAGAGTGGCTGGAAGGCTGCAGGATGTGAGGTACCAGACTGTCCTGGTACGCCAGACTGCAGTAACAGAGGTGGGTAACATTTTGCATTCAATATTATGCCACCTGACTAAAAACGGGTCCACAACTTAAACGTCACATTATTTTGTGCTGGTACCCATCTCGTAGGAACCTGTGACGGTGACAACTACGACCCGCCACGCTGCGTCGACTGCATCCACGGTTGGATGGGAGAGAAGTGCGAGATACCCTGCACGTATGGGGAGCAGGAACCAGCTAACAGTGGCTTCTGCGCATGCTATGACTGCTACACTGGTACCAGCTGCGACGTGGAGTGTTCGGAGCATGGGAGCTGCAACGGAACCCATTGTGTTTGCCAGGACGGTTATAAAGGTATTAACTCAAAAATTCCCAAGCCCTCAGGCCAATACATTGGAACTGCTAAGCACAGAATTGGCTAAGCACAAGATATATTTGCTTAGCCAAAACAGGTTATCATTAAAAATCTCACCGTATTGCCTATGAGTGGCAGGGATGAGATTTTTCAGGATTTTTCCTGAATTCAGGATTATAAAAAAAAAATTGACATCTTGACTTAGAGACATTTTCAAAGAATGGAAGGTTTGCGGTAACACCATGTGAATAATATCTCATGTGTTGTGATTCTGAAAAGAACCAGTTATTTAAACTTGACATTTCGAACAGTGCACTCCGTTCGTAGTTTAGTGACATTTTACTAAAAAGTTCTCTGTTCTAAATGTTTATACAGAACAAAAAAAATGGGTGTTGTAATGGGTGCCAAACCTACATGTATACTACAGAACCTACTTAACACTGGGGTCCTCAACTGCCTGCCAGTCCCTTTGCCGATTATTTTGTGGATTTCGGCATTTTCCCCAATTCTCATCCCTGGAGTGGTCCTCTTGGTTTTTCGCTGTTAGCACTCAGATTAGCTTAGCAATATATTCTGCTTTGGATTTGCTATAAATAAAGGGTAATGTAAGATAAGAAGGACATTAGAATTTGATTATATATTTTTTGCACATCCACACTTTACTAATTAATTTCTTTTTAGGTGAATACTGTGAGTACCTGGACTGTCCCGGTGAGCCAGATTGTAGCGACTACGGCACATGTGTCCGGCGGGACGGCCGCTCAGTGTGTCTCTGCAATCCTGGATTCACCACAGACGACTGCAGCCAGATCTACTGTGCAGGGGAACCGGAGTGCAGCAACAGAGGTATGGTTGTACTAATCCATCAGTTGCGTGGACGAATGTCACAGTTATTTGAATAGCTTGTTGTTAATAGATGTTCAGGGGGAGTGCGGCCAAGTGGTTAGGGTTCATGAGTCATGATCAGAGGGTCGGGTTCGAATCCATGCGTTGTGTCCTTGGGCAAGCTACCTAACCCTTACTTGCCTTTCTCCACTCAGTTTAAATGGGTACTGGCATTAGCTGGGAATAACCTGCATGGACTGCCATCGAATCCAAGGGAAATAGCAATATTCTTGATAAACAAGGGGAATAGCAAAATTCCATCTTATAATAGCAATATTCTTATTTGAAACCAGAGAAAAACACCAGCTTGATGGGCCATAGTGCCTTGTGAAAGGTTTTTACTATACTTGATGCTAAAATGGATGATTAGTGATTGCCTTGACTACAACCAATCTTTCAAACTCAACAGGGAACTGTACCCTAACTGGCGCGGCACCGCAGTGCGTGTGCTTCCACGGCTTCAACGGCGAGGCTTGCGAACGTTGCCTCCCACGCTACGAGGGCGACCAATGCCAGAGGTGCACCCAGGGCTACATCGGCTGGAACTCCAACTGCGCCACCCTGTGTCTTAACGGCTACGCCACGGAGCCCGGCGGGAGCGAGTGTGAGTGTTACGCGGATGCGGAGTACGGACATTGGACAGGAGCCAGCTGTGACGAGTGCATCGAAGGATGGGCCCTGCCAGACTGCAGATCATGTCTTGGAGGTAAAAACCAAACTACTGGTCAAGATCTAAGCTCCTTGCGAGTTGCTCAAAGTAGAGTTCACCTGTGAATTTCCCTTTTAAATCCTGGGCCCCTTTCATACCAGGCTGTCGATGTTTATCTCCGACTGTTTAGGGCGCTGGGCTACGATTCAGGCATGCCGGCAAGTCATTCAGTCAAGCGGTACCAATTCTTTCCTGCTGGTGCTAGGCATTATCTGGTTCTAAAACTGCCCTAAAATCTGGAGATAAGAGAGATCGGTAACCCTGGCACAGTTTTGATCAAATACCCAAATATCAGGCAGCTAGTCACGTTTTCTCTTAAAAGAGGATTCACAGCATGATATTTTTTCGTTTCCAAAAACATAAAAGTTATTTTATCGCTATTTTATTGTTTTATCGTGTCATAGGTTTTGTTGGTCTAGGCCACTGCTTCAGCTGCATGACCGGCCACGGTGGCTACCGGGATCCTGACGATGGCGAAGGAGGTCTCGAACCCCTCCAACCCATCCTAGAATGTGTCTCCCCTGAGAAAAACGGTACTGGCTACATCGCTTGGTTTGGCTACGAGAACCAGAACCCTCACAACGTGTACCTGGCGATTGGTCCGGATAATCGGTTCGAGGTGTCATCACTTGTCGAGGGGAGTGTAGCTGGGGAGAACATGGGCCAGCCGACAAAATTCAAACCCGGAAATCACACAAATGTCTTCAGCCTACGGTAATAATTTATTCATCGTCATTAACCCTAAACCCTATCGATACCCTGTACCAAAATGTGAGAATAAAGACCTGTGAATTATGTGCTTGTCTTCAACTCAGTGCAAGTCCACTGTCGCCCACTTCTGATTTGTAACAAAATTCAGTTTTATAAATATGCGTTTGTCATAATCCACACAATTCATGGTAGTCACACTGACACCTCACTGTGCATCGTGTGTCAATAAAACTCAGTCCATAAATATTAGAAATACTTACACTCCCTATTTGCAAAACTTATCTAAATAAGTCTAAAGGTGAATTAAATACTCTACCCAATGGTCTTTATCCCATCTCATTTGGGCACTCCAGTCCAGAGATACAACTAATTCAATGAAAGGACTTACAGTCCGCGCGAAAGTTTCTTTCAAAGAGTGCCACATAATTTGTTTTTGCAGACTTTCAAGTGCCCAGGACAAAGCGACGTGGTACCTGGCCTACTCTCTGTCAAACAGGAGGTACCAGGTCTCTGCCTCGGCCAGCTTCCAGCTATCATGCACAGGAGATGAGATCTCAGAACAAGATGTAGGTTGTTCTTCGAATATTTCTTTTCAGTTAACAGCTTTGAATGGTTCAGCATTCCTTTCAGCGCCATCTTTATCACATATCATCCCCAAAGCGCTCTGCTTGTTTATAATACACCAACCAAGCACTGAATAGTTTAATAGATACATAAAGAAGTACATACAACTTATACCATGTATATACAGAGTGGCCCAAAAAAACAGAACAGCATACTTCCACTATCTTGAGACTCAAACCACATGTACCAATGGATGGAGAATCTTTTTTAGAAAAATATGATACCAAGATCTCCCGATTCGGTCCAGTAGTTTTGCTGCAGAGCTTATTATGTGAAGTTCACATCTTTCATGTGGGTTTATTACATAACAATTAATCCCTCTATCCAATTAAGTCAAATTCGCAGGCGCAGTTTAGTAAATCGTTGGGGCAAAATGACTCCCAAATTTGTTTCATAAAATAGGCTCCAGAACAAAAACTACTGGACCGAATCAGGCGATCTTAGCATCATTTTTCTTTTTAACAGAATTTTCCATGCATTGATATAGGTTGTTTGAGTCTCAGGGTAGCAGAAGTACACCGTTCCCTGTATTATGCAAGTATCAATGGGTTATTTAGATTCCATATACTTTGGAGAACAAATCCGTTTTGCTCAGGATAAGACTGTAAAATCCTTTCTGATTTGAGAACCAGTTTGAACAAGATGGAATGAATCTTAAGCTCATCACGAAAGGATGAAAAGAGATGATTGTCAATTTTTGTGTGTTTCCTTTGTTTTTTTTCCGACAGAGAATCCAAGCCAATGAGACAGATCCTGGCTATTGTGCATGCATCCATGGCTACTGGGGCAAAAGCTGTGAATTTGAGTGTATCGGTGGTGCAGACAACCCCTGCTACGGTAATGGTCTGTGCGACCCATTCACCGGCAACTGCACATGCAATGCCGGCCTCCACCAAAGTGAGGACTGCAGGACTTGTGCAGAGGGGTGGATCGGGGAAGACTGCTCAGTGGGGCTGAACCAGGTCCCGAATGAGAAAGACGGGTACCACTATGCTGCAGCTTACGGGCAGGGACACTTCACGACTTTTGACGGAGCATCTTACAGATACTACGGCGTTGGGGAGAATCAGCTGATAAAAGCACCGGATTTGGATGTTCAGCTTCGAATGGTGCCTTGTCTGCCTGACTCACAGGCTACTTGCATCAATGCTTTTGCCTTAAAAACCCAAGAGAAGGTGGTTACCATACATGGAGGCTACACAGATGAGGAGAGACATGGTTATGTATGGATTAATAAAAAGCAGTACAAACCTGGCTTTCCCTCTGCAATTACATCCACATGTTGGTTAACAAGGGAAGCATACGACCACTACCGTTTGTATATCACCAACGAGTGGTACATCAACATCTATGTCCGTGGAAGATACTTGGACATAAAGATTGAGGCAATTCGTTCGACATGTCAGAGCATGCAAGGCTTGCTGGGTGCATGTAACGGACATCAACTGGATGATTTTGTGACAAGAGATGGCACAGTGATAACCGTTGGAGAAAATGCAACAGTCATTCTCAACCAGAACAACATTCATAACATCTTTGGAGCTTCTTGGGTTACAGTCTCTAATTCATCCCTGTTTGTGTACAGCTTTGGCAACTACAAAGAAATCCAAGATATCAAGAACTCCGATGCCATCTATTGTCTGCAGTTTGAAGACTCTGTCGCTGAATCAGGCCAGCTGAACACATTCTCCGACTCAGACGTAACTCTTGAATTTGACCTGAAACTGAGTCCTGGCGTCACAGGATGCGGCACTATTCTGTCTTATGTTGGTAGTGAGACATTCGCTCTGGCTTATTGCGACACAGTTTTCAAGGTGCAGTACGGAAATCAAGACTATGCGACAAGCTTTGGTGTTGCGAGAGATGTGTGGTATCGTGTCGCCCTTGTCTGGCAGAAGTCTACCAATCTCTTGCAGATTTACTGCTATGACCCTGCCGGGGACTTTGAGACTCAGATTTTCAACTTTGGTAGTCCGAATGTTCTTTCCCCTGGTGGGAAGCTGATACTTGGCCAGTGGTACCCTCCTTCAGGATTTGAAGGAAAGCGCCCGCAACGTGGATTTTTCGGGCAGCTGGATGAAGTGAAGATCTGGAAGGCTTATTTCCAGCAGTCAGAGCTGAAAGAGAGGGTTGGAATGGCAACTGATGTTGACGACACACAACTTGCAAGTTACTGGAGACTGAACGAGGGGCAGGGGTCAAAATTCTATGACGCTGTCTCATCAGGACATTTCACTATGCAGCAGAAGCCATGGAATGCCCCGCAGTGGGTCTACTCATCAGCTGTAGTGCGGATAGAACAGAATGTAGGAAACATTTATGTAATGCCCAACAGTGACACTCCTGACTGGCGACAAGCAGAGAACTTCTGTGATGGCTTCCTTCTGGCAGCTTCCTTCAGTGAATGTCATCAGATGGGGTTAACTGACTTCTACCAATTTATGTGTATTCAGGATGCCATTCTCAGCAAAGATCTGGACTCGGTCATGGAAATTGTTCTCGCTTATGCAGATCAGTGTCAACACACCCTCGGTACTCAATCTTACCCAGCGCAGCTGTTTTGTAACAACTTTCCTACACGGCATTTCCCCAACTGGATTGGACCAGAATGTGACACTGAGTGCGTATCCGGATACCCAGTCTTGAAACCTGATTCCAATGTCACATGTGAGTGCGTTGACGGCTTCTGGGGCCCCGACTGCAACAACCAGTGTGAGGGTGGAGCAGGAACCCCCTGTGGTAACAATGGTGTCTGCCTGAAATCCTCCGGAACCTGTGAGTGTCCCATCTACTACACGACTGAATCAGACTGTTCAATTTGTCAAGAGGGATGGTCTGGTGTTGACTGCACCACTGCCGGTTTGGAAGAGCAGGCTGCTGATGATGGCATATTTGCTGCTGCATCAGTTTTCAGCTATGGACATTACTTAATGTTTGATGGCACTGCCTACAACATGGAGGGTCCGGGAGAATTTACATTATCTGGTACCACAGAACAGTCAGTGTATGTGCGGCAGGTTCCTTGTGGCGAGGGTGTAGTATGCATCACTGGAGTATGGATGCAGTTGCACCCGACATCTCGTCGCAGAAGACGACAGATCAGCGATGACCTGAACCTGACTTTCAGAACACCCTTCGAAACAGGATCAGACCACCTTGTCTTGGTCAACGGGGAGGTGTTAAACTACGTAGAACCAATCCAGTTTGGGACAGGTCATGTTATGATCAAGACCTCACCAGATACCTATGTCATCTCTAAACAAGGATCGAGTCAGGTGTCCATAACAGTCCTTGACCGTTACATCAACATTCAGCTGACTGTCCAACAAGATCTCTGCCAGAATGTAGAGGGTACCCTCACAGGGAGCTGCGACAACAACACCGACAACAACTTCCAAATTGGTCAAGATGACTTTGTGCCACTTGTCAACATCACCTATGACATCATCAATGGGCCTTTTGCAGAGTACTGCACTATTCCACTGACAGAGCTGACACAGTTCATATATGAATATGAAGACTACAAAGAGAGCCGGGAAATCACCCCCTCTGGAAACTCACTCTTCTTCAATGGCACTGCTTGTATCAGTGAGCCATTTATGAGCATCTTTGAAGTGGACTCTGACATCACAATCGAGTTTCTGTTCAAAGGAGAAGACCCGAGTTCCCGTGGAGGCACGCTCCTATCATACCTTGGTACCCACTCATTTGCAATTACCAATGACTTGACGCTGAAGGTACACTACGCCAACCTGACCTTTGACACTGAAATAGCAACAGATACTGACGAATGGGGATTCTTATCCTTGATGTATTACCACACCACAGGCCATTGTTCACTCTACTATGTCAACCATGATGGAGCCCTGGAAGCCTCTTCCTTTGAGCTTGCAAGAGGGATTTTTGAAACAAGCGGCACCTTAGCTTTAGGCCGTTGGCAGCCAGGTCGCGACCCCACCTTGGAACAGCCTCCTTCAACCGAATTTAACGGCTACATGGATGAGCTGCGCATCTGGACCCAGACTTTTGACATCTTAAGTCTGTGGCAGAATGCCGAGCTCAATGTGCAACCAGACGCACCCAACCTAGCCGGACTGTGGAAGATGTCAGCTGGTCATGGAAGCCTTGTTGAAGATCTTGTTCATCAGAATCACCTCTACATCCTTGAAGTTGGCGGGCCTGTCTGGTCACTCGTCGGGGCACCATTAGATCCAGCGCCAAAGTCTAGTGGTTACAACTACATTGAGAAGGTCTACGAGAAATTCACGTCTGACGAAGAGAGGCTTGCAGCAGAGGAGCAGTGCAAGGAGCTGTTTCTAGAAGGTCCACTTGCATCAGAATGTGAGGATCTCGGACCAGCATTTGGGACGTACTACTACCAAATTTGCCTCATGGATTACGTGGTTGATAAAGGGCTTTCCTACAGTGGGCCCACTGTTGAGGCCTTCTCCACATTCTGCAAGGCAGCTCTAAATTTGACAACCTCCCCTCTGGATACACTGTGCCAGAACATCACCAACTCGCAGCAGTTTATTGAACTAGGCTGTGAGAAGCAAATGTGCGTGTTCGGCACCATCGATTCATTCAGTGGTGTCTGTAGGTGTGATGCAGCACACTGGGGTGCTACATGTTCTCTGACTTGCCCTGGTGGGCTAGTAACACCTTGCAACGGGCGGGGAACCTGCGTCCAAGACACAGGTCTCTGCAACTGTGAAACTACCTGGTCAGACGAAAGCAACTGCACTGAATGCCGGCCAGGTTGGACTGGACCTGATTGCTCAATGAGCAGCACTGACAAAGAGCCAAATGCCACCGTGCCGATTTGTAACATCTTCGGTCAAGGGCATTTTCTCAATTTTGATGGCATACAATTTGACTTCAAGGAGTACGGGGAGTTTTATCTCGCCCAAGATCCATCCTCTGACTTTGCCGTCCAAGTCAGGATTCTGCCTTGTTATGATCAGTCATCATGTGTAACAGCGATTGGAATTCGCTACAGTGGGGAGACAGTTGTGTTAAGATCAGGCTACATCAGTGACAGTCAAGTGCTTCTGTGGCATAATGGACAATCTGTAACTTACAGTGACATTTCTGTGACAATGCAGAATTTTGTCTTTGAGCATTTGTCATCTTTGGAGTATTCTATCCAAAGTGGGCCAAGTCTTCAGTTCAGGCTTCGCATTGTTGACCGCTCTCTCAATGTACTGATGAAGATTCCACCAAGCTACTGCAGCCAATCAGAAGGCATCTGTGGATCATGCGATGCAGATACAACCAATGATATTACAGATCCCAATTACATCAGGGATAATGAGCTGTGGGTTGTACCATCCAGTGAGAGTCTTTTCACACCCTTGTTTGGGAAATTTGAATACTTTGAGGAGAGAGATCCAACTGGTTCTGAGTTCTGTCTTCATCTCGATAATACCTATCTCTCATCAGATGTCCTTAATGATGTATTCACTGATACCTCAGACATCACCTTGGAGTTTTTTATCAAAGCTGATTCCAGTGACGGCATAATTATATCCTACAGTACCAAATCATCATTTACTGTATATGTCCAGCGGGGAACCATCAGAGTCTCAATTGGAAGCAAAAACTTTGACACAGGCCTAAGCCCTGAAATCAACATTTGGAACCAAGTGTCTGTTGTCTGGAAGAGAGCACTCTACCGAATTGAGGTCTACCTCTTGCTGTCGGATGGGAGTATCCTCCAAGCTGCGCACACCTTCCAAGTAAGATATGATCTCTTCATCCCTGGAGGAAGGCTTGTGATTGGTGGATGGCAGCCGGGTACCATTGACTGGTCATCTCCTCCGCTGTTAAGACCATTAACTTGTGGTTTTGATGAGCTGCGAATATGGCACAAGGCCCTGACAGTTTTTGACATCCAGTTCTATCGGGGAATGAACATCCAACCAGGACATCAGCATGTCTTTGGCTTGTGGAAGTTCAATGAAGGACAAGGAGAAACAGTCTACGATCTGATTCATCACTCGCATTTCCGTTTCTCAACGCAATCATGGGTTGTGCATCTACCGACTTGGCGATTCTCTTATATCAAAATCCAACCTCTGCCACCACATTACACCTACACCTTCCAAGATGTAGATTTTGAGATCTACGTCAGACGCACATGTGTTGAGGTTGTTCAATCTTCTTCAATCCTGAGCCAGTGTGGACAGCTGGATTCTTCCAACTTTGAGTTCTACTTGGTGTCCTGCATTAGGGATTATGGTCTGGCAAGAAGTCAGTACTCGGCTCTTTCTGCATCTTTAGCTGTAGCTGATTTCTGTTCCATTAGGCTGGACATCCCGTCTGAAAACTGGCCAGCACATTCATTGTGCAACTACTTTGAGGGAATCCCATTTCCAGTTTGGTTTGGACAGTCGTGCAGTAGTCAGTGCTACTTCACAAGCCAAAGGCTTACAAACAGCTCAGCACCACTTGAGCAGTGCCTCTGTAACAACGGATATTGGGGAAGCAGATGTGATTCGGTCTGCTTGGGAGGGTTTCTGAGTCCTTGTAGCAGTCGTGGCTCGTGCTCCCCAGATACGGGTGCTTGCCGCTGTGAGACGAACTGGGATGGAGACACAGGATGCGGTACCTGCTCCTCAGGATGGGAAGGCTCAGATTGCTCCCTGCCAGTGGTTGAGACACCCCCTGCAGCAGTCGTCCATCGTTGTACTGTCTTCAGCAGTGGTTTCTACACACTCTTTGATGGATCCAGTGTTGTCTTCTCTGATATCGGAGACTTCACGTTTTACGAGAGTGGCGATTTGACCCTACAGATCCGACAGGGACCCTGCCTCAACAAAAAGTCTTGCATCACAGCCCTTGCCTTCCAAGTTGACGAAGAGGTACTTATTATCAATGCCCCATCTGCTCAGACTGATGAGCCTCTGGTGTTACTCAACAACGAAACTGTCACTCTGGGTTCAAATCTGACATTTGGAGCTTCTGAGTATTACCGCCTCACTCGCATACAGCTTGGACGATTTGACATCACCGGTCCGAATGATCTACTTATTGTTCTTGATATAGCAGGTGTCTACATCAACATGGAATTTGAGATTCACCAAGCCGCCTGTGAAGGTGTTCTTGGGTTATGCGGACCATGTGTGCCAAGAGAAACTTCCTGTACAGTGAATGATAATGATCCCATATGTGCCATGCAAAATCTTGGTTTAAGCCTGTATGCAGAACGTTTTACACTCACCTATTCACTAACGTACCGATTCTGTGTGGTTTTCCAACTTGATGCATCTGAAAGCCTTCTGTTTGTAGCCTTCCACGGTCGCACTTTTGTTGGTTATCCAGTCGTACCATATCCTTCACCAGCTGGCTTCGGGCTCTTCTTCAATGCTTCTGGGATTGTTTCGAACCCCATACCTGAGGCAATCTTAACCTCTGATCACCTCACAATACAGTTTTATGTTCAGTGCTCAGGAGACGCATCAGGTACCCTGATATCATTCACACATCATACGACCTTTGCCGTGACCATAATCAGTGGATCGTTCCACTTACACTACGGGGATGTAGTGATCAACACTGGGATTCAAGTCCCTGTTGACGTCTGGCTTCAGATCTCGCTGGTCTACGATCAGACCACCGGCAGACTTGGCTTCTACTGTGTTGACACAGCAAGGGTCATCCAGTATCGTTACTACGAAATCGGACTCAGCATATTCACGCCCGGATGCACTATGGGGATCGGAACGTGGCAGCTGCCAGTTGACGGAGCCAGTGTACCTCCAGAGGGTGTCTTTGTGGGATACATAGACACCATTTGTATCTGGGGTCAACCCTTCTCACCCACAGATGTCATCAACAGTTGGGGATCACCTGGAGTCCGTTATGACAAAACAGTTGTGGCACTCTGGCCTCTAGATTTTGGGATCGGCACAGTCGGCTATGATGTCATCTCAGACATTAACCTGGTATTCCCTGTAAATCCCCTTGTCTCTCCATCCTGGTGGGTATCTACTGCTCCCATCTCTGAGATAATACCCGGAGGGGAATTTACAATCACTGTCACCTTCCCAACACCGGAACTTGAGGTGGAAGCACACAGACTATGCACACAGCTCATCTACTCGGGTCCAGTCGGCGATCACTGCAGTACCCTTACAACCAGTGCTCAGTATCATTACATTGCCTGCCTTCAAGACATCGCGTCAACATCTCAGCCACAGAAAAGCAGAGATGCCATCTTGTCATTTGCAACCGAATGCCAGGAGGTCTTGGAGCTTCCTGATTGGCCAGGGAGACTCCTTTGCAACGACTTCCCGGGTGAATCATTCCCCATCTGGGCTGGCACAGATTGTACTGAGCGTTGCATCTTCGGAACATTCACAACAAGTTGCGTCTGCCACTATGGATACTGGGGTATGGAATGCGACCAAATCTGTCCAGGGGGTGGGCCTATTAACCCTTGCCACAGCAATGGCATCTGTGATGTCAAAACAGGAACATGTGAGTGCTTTGGCAACTGGAATGGTGACAGGTATTGTGGGACCTGCTCAGCAGGTTGGACCGGAGCTGATTGTACCCTCCTTGTAGCAGAGCTTCCTCCAGGACGGGCCGAGGTATCCTGCTCTGTGAGATCCCAAGTGATCACCAACTATGCTGGGGTCAGCTTTGAGGTGTTGGATGTTGGGTTTTACCAGCTCACAAAACTTGGAAATGTGGAAATACAGGTATGGTTGGACTCTAGTTGTCCTGTTTTCAAATGATTATTATATTTTCTACCAATCCACTTGTTTGTTGTGCATTGCTTAGGAAATAACAAGTACTGAATTGTTTGAAATTGGTTGAATATTAATGCTATTAGTCAGGCAAAGCTGCATTTGCCATCTTTCAGCACAAGTACATCTTCCTTTATTATGAAAAATGTTACGTTGTCATAATCCAAGAAATCTCAAAAAGGGGTAGGTATTGGAAGGGAAGATATCCAAGTATAGAAAATGATTTGTAATTAGATATAATTCAGCTGTTAATCTACTTTAAAATCCGTAACTCATATTTACTTATGTGTTTTTTTGTAGGTGAGTCAGGTAGTTTGCTCAGAAGGGTCTATATGTCTTGACGGTGTTGCGGTCAGCCTTTCTGAGCAGAATGTAACCATCCGGCACTTTGCTGCAAACTATCACGCAATCGTTCACGTTGAAGGCAAGGTGACAGTCCCAGATGAACCAATTGTATTGACAGACGAAACAGGTGACATGCTCACCCTGACGAGGCTTTCATCCGAGACCTACAAGATCAAAACAGAAAGGCTTGGCTTGTTTGTCCACATCAACATCATGGAGACTCACATTATCGTGGATATTGCGATACCAAGTGTTGTCTGCTGTAATGATGTGGCTCTCGGGCTCTGTGGTCCTTGTCTAGACTGTTTAGGACTCATTCCCACTATTCCCGATGACATGCCTGGCGTTGTCATCCCGGATCCGACTGGTGGACGAGAGGACATGCAAGAGAGGGTTAGAAGAGTCAGGATTCCCACAGGCCCTGCTGCTATCTTCTCCAACGATGAGACGCCTTACGATCCAGAATCCTATGCTGGACACTGCCTTGCATTCCGGGAATCAGCCGTGGTCATTGAGCACGTCCGCATATCTGTCGAACGTTACACCTGTGTGGAGTTTATCATCAGGACCTGTAATGAAGGCTGTGGAGGTACCATCTTCTCATTTGCGGCATCCAAGACATTCTTCATCACAACCATCCACGGTTACATCTCGATTCACTACGGCAACTTCAACATCACAACAGACCTCTACTTTGGCATTGACGTCTGGAATCTTGTCTCTTTGCTCTGGGACAGCCATACTTTCACCCTGGATGTGTACATCTTTGATTCAGAGGGCCTGCCTACAAGGAGGACCTACATCTTGCCGTCCAACATCTTCCCAACTGATGGTAGTCTCTGTCTAGGAGCTTGGCAGCCAGGATTTGATGGAACAGGACTTGAACCTGGTGGGGCCTTTGTTGGAGTGATAGATGATCTACGTATTTGGGACAGGTAAACCTAAGTTCTGTTACTTATAAATCAGCCAATGTTTCCAGTTCAGAAAATAAATGGAACTCAGAACCTTGACTGTTTTCCCTCACTTGGCTCCTTCAAGTGAGCCAAAACGCACCCTCTTTGTCATCCGATAAAATCGAAACTTGGACAAGGAATTCCATACTTTGTGTTTGAAATATGTGATTTCTTTTCCCCCATAGTTTCTTTGATAGCAATGCCATCCAGTCTCATTGGAATGCATACATAGATCCCTCCGCCCCTGGACTGACAGGACTCTGGAAGTTTGATGAAGGAGAAGGTATGATAAAAGAATATATATTATTTTGATTCAGTGAATACAATTTGGTTTATTTCACCTGTAGTGAATTTCACATCCCTTCGTAGCTTCTGTAATTATTATCAGATATGTTTGATTTTTTATCTATAACATATTCTCATAGGCTCTTTGGAAAGAAAAGGTAACATTGTAATCCACATCAAAATGTCATGGTCGATTGGTTTTTGATGTAATACCTCATTGTTGATTACTTTTTCAGGAACAAAGGCCTATGATGGAATCTCAGGCCTTCCCATCACTCTTACAAACTCATCCTACCCAGCTCCAGTCTGGCAACTTTCGGATGCACCTATACCTGCTCCGATCGATGGAAGTAGTAGTGGAGAAGCATCAGGACCCAGTGGTGGAGGTGGTGGAAGTGGTGGAGGAGGTGGCGGTGGAGGAGGTGGTGGAGGAGGAGATGGTGGAGGTGGTGGAGGTAGCAGTGGAGGAGGTGGATCAGATGGAGGGGTTGAAGGTGGTTTGGGCGGTGGGGTGACACCTACTGTTCCTGACTGGTTAGATGACTTCTGCAAGAGAGTGACCCTTTCGGGACCGCTGTACAAGTAAGTGACAAACATTTGTCAGACTGAAATTTGTTTCTATGTTGGGCATAGGATTATTGCCAAGTAATTTGGATACCTGCCTCATATAGTTTTGTCTTTCACAGTAATGTTTTAGTCCCCTCACTTGCTAAAATATTTTTAAAAGTTTGACAAAATACACAGATGGCTCAAGGATGGAGGGGAGTGCTTGATGGGTTGTCTGCAGGATTGGGTTTAACCTAAATTCAGCTTTGGAGTTTATCTGATTGTTTTAAAGCCAAGGGAGTTAACATATTTTTGGTCCCTGATTTCACAGTTCCTGCCCTATTGGTGATGCCGCTCAACAGCGCTACTACCAAGCATGTCTGCAAGCTGTTGCTGTTACCAACACTGTGGAACCAGCCCTGGAACCAGTCATTGAGTTTGCTGATTTCTGCGGAGTGGCTCTTGCTTTACCAGCCGGGCCTGCGCAACCACTGTGCAATGAATTTGGTGATGCCGCATTCCCCCTGTGGATTGGTGACAGCTGTGACATCCTATGTGCCTTTGGGGCAAGTCATCCAGATGACAGGAACGCCTGTGTCTGCGACAGTGGTTACTGGGGCGTCAATTGTGACGGTGTGTGTCCAGGAGGGTCAAGCAGCCCTTGTAGCTCCAACGGCATCTGTGATGCTCTGAGTGGCATTTGCACCTGTTTTTCGAACTGGAATGGTGCACCTGACTGCAGCCTTTGCACTCCTGGGTGGCTTGGGGCTGACTGTTCAACTGCAGTTGTACAAGTGAGTCTCCAAATCAGAATCCACTTACGTATATCTGTCATAGTCGGCATCTCCCAAGTAACCACTCTGAGTGGATACACGTTCCTGCATTACTCGGTGGGTCAGTACTATCTTCTACGAGTCATTGATAACTCACTTGTCATCCAGGCCAAGTACGTTCATTGCTATGGAGGCTATTCTTGCATCAGATACCTTGGCCTGAGATTTGGAGACTCGATTTCAGGTTTTGCACAAGTGACAATTGGAGGAGCTCACATTTCTGGTGGACATTTCGTCATCTATGTTAATGGAGAGGAAGTCACAATTGATGGCACTTTAGAATTTGGCCACTCGGGGTACGTGTTCACTCGTCTCTCATACCTTGAGCTCTTGATCACTGGACCCAGTGACTTAAGTATAATTGTGAGGGCAGATGGGAAATACCTTTCACTGGATACAAGACTTCCCAGCAGTCTTTGCTCCATAGCAACAGGAGTACTTGTTGGTGGCTGCTGCAACTCAACCAACACTGATGAACCTGGCTTGTCTCTTCCAGTAGCTCCGCCAGAACTTGGACTTTGCAGGAAAAGTGATCCGATGCAAATGCCAACGCCTTTGTTGCCTCAGAGTTACCAGTTTTCTACAAATGACACCACAGATGAAGCATGTGACAGCAGTGCCGTGTCACCCTCAGACCAGGCCATCAGAGATTTCATGGAGAGCTGGTTAGCAAGTGACTGTGACAATGTAATAACATACCCAACTACAGCTTCTGCTCTCCAACTGTATTCCAGCTATTCTCTACATTTCCATTTGACTGTGATTTACACGCGACAGGTGACATTGTTTGTACAAGAAACCCATGATGTTACGTTTGAGCTACTGATCAGATGCCCAGATGTTGTCACACACGGTGGTGTTGTGTTCTCCTACTCTCATTACACAACATTTGCCCTCAGTGTTGAGTCAACAGTCAGGATATACATCGGGAATGTAGTTTACGACACCAACCTGATCGTACAAAATGGACAGTGGAATAAACTTGTGTTGGTTTATGAAGGTGTCAATGGGAAATTAAACATCTACCACTTTGATTCCAATGGTAAGGTTAAACGCGACCTACTCTCTGTCGATGTGCATTTGTTCCGCGTTGCTGGGTATCTCTCTCTTGGTTCCTGGCAACCAGCTTGGAACTTAACAAGTCAGGTGCCACTGAGCTCATACTCTGGCCAGATTGATGACTTCAGAGTCTGGAACCGGTATCTGAGCCCCGCCGAGGTACCTGGTTTGTGGAGTAACAGACCGGGAACCGACATACCAGGATTGGTTCGATACTGGCCGTTTGATGAAGGTGAGGGTTTGTTTGCAGAAGACATTATCACTGGTGACCGACTCTACATGCCAGACGATCCATGGCCTCAGCCCCTGTGGGTTGATTCTGATGGACCTGTTCCTGACGACGGCTTCATTCCACCAATTGATCCGACTTTCGATGATGATGACTTTGAAACTGAAACAAAGAACCTCTGTGAGCGTCTTCTACGTGCTCCACCAATATCAGATTCCTGCAGTGACCTTGGAGAAGGCACCGTAGACATGTACTTCATTCTCTGTCTGCGAGAGATCGCCGTTACACAAGATCTTGGCCAGGCATACAAAGTTGCATTTGGTTACTCAGACATTTGCCAGGCTGCCAAGAACCTGACCACCTGGCCAGCTTTGCCTCTTTGTAGTGAAGCCAAAAGTCTGAGAGCTGGTACCCAGTGCAAGGACGACTGTCTGTTTGGAGTCAAGCTGCCCTCTGGTGATTGCTCTTGCTTGAGTGGCTTTCATGGAGAGCAGTGTGACAGAGTCTGTCCGGGCGGATCGGTCAATCCATGTAGCTCCCATGGCAGCTGCCTTCTGTCTGGATCATGTGCCTGTGATCTGAACTGGTCCGGACTATCAGATTGTGGGATCTGTGCCCAAGGATGGTACGGGCATGACTGCACCATTGCCACGACATTCCAAGTTACCACCGTCAGACTGTACTACGCATGCTTTGTCACTGTCTATTCACAGTACACCTTATTTGATGGACTGAGCTTCTATTTTGCAGCTGTAGGCGAGTTCTACCTGATTCAGACCAGTAACTTTGTTGTTCAGATTCGACAGGTTCCTTGCTACCACCAGTCCACCTGTGTCAATGCAATTGCTGTGCAGATTGACAGCACTGTTGTTGTAATACATGCACCTTATCAGAACAGCCAATCTCCTGTGATATGGATTGACAAAACCAAATTTGATTTTGCAAGCACTGTCCATCAAATCCCAAGCACCAACTGGGTAATTGAACAGACAGATGTGAACTATCTGACTCTCTACTCAAGCACTGAGCAAGAATTTCAGATCAAGGTCCGAACCTTCAGTCTCTTCCTGCAAGTGATGATCTCAACACCACTGGATGAATGTCTCCATTCGAGAGGTCTCTTAGGAAACTGTAACAACAATCACACAGATGATCTCAATGCAAACGACACTAAACCATGGGATGAGGTGTCACAGGAGGACATAAACACCCTTATTGCTGATATGTGGAGAGTTTCGACCTCAGATTCTCTGTTCATCCATCAGTATCAACACTATGCAGAAACAGAAGTACCAACTGGAGCAATCTTTGCCTTGGTGTTTGAGAACTCAGGTGGTAGAACAGAACCTCTGAAGAATTTGTCATCCGTCATCTCTCAAACTGAACTGACCATCGAGTTCTTGGTCAAGCCTTACTCTTACGGCGGGGTTATCATTGCATTTGGATCGGAATCAACGTTTACTGTAATCAACGAAGTCACCATTAAAATTGTCATTGGTGTGGAGGTGTATGATACTGGTATAACAAATGACCTGGATTCCTGGAACCATATCTCGATTGTGTTCGAACGTGACAACAGTAGGCTGCAGTTTTATCATCGCAGTGCTGTTGGAGTTGTGAGCTCATGCCATTTCACAATAAACCACTGGCTTTGGCTAGAAACAGGTGCAATCCTATCCATCGGTCAGTGGCTGCCGACACCAGACAACCAATCTTATGTCCTGAACACCACCTTCCATGGAGCCCTTGACGAGTTCCGGATCTGGAGTGCCTCCTTTCTACCTGCCTTTGTTCAACTCAACGACGACACAAACGTTGATGCGGTTACATATTCCGATGCCCTTGCTGCTTTGTACAAGTTTGACATTGGCCTTGGGAGTGTAATTTCGGACCCTGTTTTCAATAATGAAATCCTCACACCGTCCGGACCTTGGCAGAAACCAATGTGGACATATTCTGATGCGAACATACCAGTAAAGTTTGCTGCTCCTTTTGAGGCTCTGTTTGGTAACAGCACTTTCCAACTTGAATGCGACACAGTTTGTAGCAAGCTGAACATCAGTGGCGGAGGACTACGTGATGTTTGCTCTGATTTGAGCCAGGCCAGCCTTGATTTCTTCTATCTGACATGTTTGCGTAATGCTGCTGCAGCAGGAACCACAGACAGCGCGTTTGCAACGCTTGCTGTGCTCACTGAGTACTGCCAAGTTATCAGTGGAGCCAAAGTCAACACCAGTGTACTATGTGAGGCCTTTTCAGAGATGATAATTCCAAAGTGGCTGCTGGTGTCGTGCTCAAATTGTGGATTTGGGCTTCCTCTTCAAGATGACCTCGACTCTTGCATCTGCACAAATGGATATTGGGGTACATCATGTACTGAAGTCTGTCCCGGTGGTGTCATCACACCCTGTTACAATCATGGCAGCTGCAGCGAGAATGGGGTCTGCTTGTGTGAGGTAAACTGGAGAGGTCAGCTGGACTGTAGCTTCTGCTCTCCTGACTGGCTTGGAGATGACTGTGCCATAGCAACCACATCCTGGTACCAACATTCAGTCGTGAACTTGAGAGTGTCTGCCGTTTTCAGTGCTGAAGGAAGGGTGGTGACCTTTGGTGGAGTATCCATCTATATACGTCATGTTGGCATGTACAACCTCATCAATCATGCTACTAGCAGCCTGAAAATAAATCTTAGACTTTCTTGGTGTGCTACAGCTGACAGTTTCGCCACCTGTTTTGATGCTATTTCAATCCACCATCACTCTCATGTTCTCATCTTCCGTGCCTCGACAGATCCCACAACTTTCTTTAAGCCACACATCTGGTTTAATGGGAGGATAATCCTTCTTGATCACACAACTTCCATCAGCAGTGAGATTACCATAATCCGGATTAACATCATCCAGTATAAGATCTATGTCAGGACTCTGGACCTCTTTGTTCTGATCACCATACATCCTCATCATTTGGGAATCGGCATCGACATGCCCTCTGATATCTGCAATGCCATTGAGAGTGGTATGGAGGGATTGCTTGGAACTTGTGAGACTGTCAGCGACATTGAGGACATGGAGTGTTCATCGGCTGCAACTGATAGCCCATCAGTTGATGACAAATTAACTTGTCAACAAAATGCTTCCCAGGCGGCTGTTGACAAATACACCAACAAATTTCAAGAAGCTGCTCTCGGGAACACAAGCTATGAGTATTACCACCACCTGTTGCCAGTGCTCGGTGCCGGCTATCATCTCTACTTCACCGATAGTGTTGTCATTTCAGAGCCACTTATCAGCTTCCCCTCTGAAAGGTTTACTCTGGAGCTATTCATTAAAGTCGAGAGGTACGGTGGCGTTGTACTTTCCTACTGCACATCTAACAGTGTCGTTGCTCTGATCAATCTTGAAACAGGACTTGCCGTTTATTTCGGAGATCATGTCCATGGTTTGAACTTCCATCTTGATCTGCAGCAGTGGATACAGGTATCTCTTGTGTGGCATCAATCCACAGCCATCTTAGAAGTGTACCTGTTTGACGTATCTGGAGTCGCTCAGGTCCAGGCAGTTCAACTTACCAGCACTGCATTTCAAAGTGGCGGACACCTTGCGCTGGGCCAGTGGTACTCGATAACTCCGACACCTGTTCCTCCATTACCTAATGATCCATTTGTAGGTGCCATTGACGAGATAAGAATCTGGGATTGGATAACAAATCCATCCCTCATCACCTCAAACTGGAAACTGAATGCGAGAGTAGATACACCAGACCTGCAGATGGTTTGGAAGCTGAATGAAGGATTTGGAGATGCAGCTGTGGATCTGATCAGTGGCTTCAAGCTCCAGTTCCCTGATTGGAACAGACCATCTTGGAAAATCACCAGTGATGATTATCCAATTCAAATTGATCATCCTCTTGCTTATCCAGACTTCAAGAATGCCACCTTTGCTGCTCTAGCAACTTCAAAATGTCAAGAAATCTTCTTGAGTGGACACCTCCATGACTCAAGCAAAGCTCTTGGAGTTGCTGTGATTGACATCTACTACATTCAGTGTCTGCGAGACATAGCATTCCATCATGATCTCAGTGCTGCTATGGAGGCAACAGTTTCTCTCTCTGATTTGGCCAAGATTCAGTTACTCCTTGAGGAATGGCCTGCTTGGTATTTATGCAACACCTTCCCGGGCTGGGACTTCCCATTCTGGATTGGTCCCAGCTGTGACATTCCATGCATTTTTGGGCGGAGTAGTCTGCAAGATGACACTCTCTGTGTTTGTGAACCAGGCTATTGGGGATCAGCATGTGATAAGGTGTGCCTAGGAGGAGCGCTGAGCCCTTGCAGTAACAATGGCAACTGTAACGTGACAACTGGCCTGTGTGAGTGTCATCCCCATTGGCTTGGTTCAGAAGCACAAGTCAGAAACATGAGCTATGCCTGTTCAGACTGTTCACCTGGGTGGTTCGGAACCGATTGTGTCATAAGTACGATCAACCAGGAGCATACAAGAGGAATTGCCATCTTTTTTGGCCATCTACATTTCACAACTTTCGATGGTGCCAGCTTCAATTTTGGAGTACCTGGAATGTACTACCTTCTGACAACTTACTCAACCAAAGTTCAAGTCCTGGTAGAGCCCTGCTTTGCTACTGTAGCCTGTAGAGAGATCACTGAGGTATCTGTTAGTAGCAGCAGTGTAACATTGTCGATTGGGGTAAGCCTGGCTACTACAGAGAGGCTCTTGATTGTCCAACAGAGCTCTGGACTGTCATGGACAATAAAAGAGTGGACTGAAAACAGTGAAGGCACAGCAGGAGACTTATCATATACTTGGTACAAACAGCACTTGGTGAATATAACAACAGCTGATTCCATTGTGATCACTGTGGCACTTTACTCGGGTGTGGTTACATTGATAGTTAACACCCCTAGTGGAATCAACATGGAGCCGGTAGCTTTGTGTGGAACATGGGATGACGATTGGATCAACGATGTGAATGTTGGGGAATACGAGCCAGGGACAGGAGATATTCCAGGCAAATGGGTGTCTGTGAATGACAGCTATTTTGTATCTGACGTTGCATCGCAGAGCTACTGTGATGAGGGTCTCAGTCTGTATTTCCTGGTGCCTGTTGACGATTCTGTCTTTGTGAGTGATCATGCTCAGATCTTCACCGCTGCAGGGTACATTCTCCGTTTCAGTCACAACCGTGTCTTGTTTTCCAGCTTGACCGTCAAGGACCTAGACCAGTTTACTCTCCAGTGCTGGCTGCGCATTGGTGTTTCATCCAATTCAATTCAAACATTGATCTTGTTTGAATCAGATACCTCACTGGCCATACAGTTAGACAGGGACGTTGTGAGGGTGAACTTTGCTGGCCATGTCATAACAACACAGCTAACTGTCCGAGTAGGACCTTGGTTCCACCTCAGTGTTTCCTGGCGAAGCTTTGATGGCAGAGTGACTGTGGACTTGTACGCATCAGATCAACAAGTCGTGGAGACTCATGTAGTATATGGCATCCACATCACTGAATCTGTGCGCTTGAGTGGGAACCTACATCTTGGGCAGCACATACAAGATGGTGACTCTGACTTTGAAGGAGACCTAGACTTGGTGCACCTCAAGGAATACTTCTCTCACTGGGAAGATTTCACCAACGGTCGGGAACAGTTCACTGAAGATCTTGTCGTTGGCATGATATTCTTCATTAGCTTGGACGAAGGGAGTGGTTTAGAGTCCTCGATGAAGCTGGATTTACCTGGCAACAGAAGTGTACTTAATGGATCTTTAGGACCTGAAGATAGTCCACCAACATGGCTTCCATCTGATGCACCAATTAACATCAAGCCTGATTACTCCCCTGATTTTCCCAAGCCAACCCTAAAGGAAGATGCCATTGCTGCTTGTGCCGGTTACTTCTACCAAGATCCTCTGTACAGTTCCTGCAAGGATTTAGAGAGCACTCTCCTGTTCTACTATGAGGCCTGCATCTTAGATGTAGCAGCAAGTGGGGATGTGTCCCGTTCCAACATCTCGGCTTACATGTTTGCTCTTCTCTGCCAGCAGACCCTGGATCTCCCGCCAGAGAAATTCTGTGGCTTCTTTGAGTTCTGCAAAGAGAGGCCTGTGGAATCTTGCTGCCCTTGGTGGGTCATCCTGATCATCGTCATCTGTAGTCTGCTGTTGGTTCTGACCTGCTGCTTCTGCATCTGCTGCATCTATAAGAAGAAAAAATACAAGGACAAGCAAGAAATCGAAATGTTTGGGGGACATAGATACGTTCGCCCCTCAACCTCATCCAGACCTCACTCTGCTAGTTCACACAGGCGACTTTTGATGGAGCTATCACAGAGATCTCTGCGACGTGTAGATCCTGAACCAGATGCTGAAGGTGGTATAACACTTCAGACTGTAAAACATCTTGATGAGGAAGCTCCGCCAATTGAATCTAAATCTGGATTAGAAGCTGCCGCTGCTGCTGAGACAACCTTCAGTGACCTTCCAATAGAACAGTACGAACCAGATGATGGCAGAAAGCCAACTGTGCTGAGCTCCTTTGCTCCAGTTGAAGCAACCAACAAAAACCAGTCTGCAGCAACAGAAGGTTACGATTCTCAAGGACTTGGACTTCCAGAGAAGGCTGCTGCAATACCAATGCAGTATGCTGGATATGAAGGCTTCCAGCCAGCTAGCGGAGATCAGTTCAATCCCTTTGTTGACACCATAGACCTCCTTGACAATGATCCTCTTGATGTCCCACTTCCAGCCTATCAGGCTGACCCGACAACCAAGGAAGACTTTGATGATGATACATTCAACCCGGCTGGAGTGAAATACCCACCGCCAAGACCAGCTTCTCAAAACACCTGGCTGGAAGATGATCAAGATCTTTCAACTGATAAAGGAGATGCCCAACTAGAAGAACCAGCTGATCAAAAGGCATCTGCCACTGACACTGATTATGAAGCCTCAAGAGACTCTCCAATCATGACCACCAATCTCTTCGAATCCCCCACAAGCAGTCGACCAGGCTCTCCTTCCCATGTGACAGCCCCAATGACATTCATGGCTTCTGCCAGTAACTGCTCAAGCTCATCTTCCGGAAGTGAAGCAGAGGAAGAGGCACCACCCACCCAGCCCATGAGACCAAGCTCTGCTCGCAGTGAAGACGGTGCCTTCGTCAAACCCAAACCGCGCAGAAAAGTGGATGCACTGCGACAGTTGATCCACAAGAGGAGTGCCAATGTCACTCCAAGTTCATCCACGCAGGGTTCCCCTCAAGGTTCCCGGATGACCTCGCCAGTGCCAGTTCTTGATCTTGAGGAACTAGAAGAGCTGGAAGATCTTCCCCTGCCCCCAGAGAAGTATGAAAACCCACTTCATGACTGGAGAGGCGAGAAGGAATCCATCGTGTAAGTCTCTCCGAACCACCTTACAACCCCACCCCTTACAAATGGGATCACTTTATGTGTAAGATACTCTTGTTAAATCTTAGTCATTACTTTGCTTGTTTTAGAAAACAATCTTATGCTGTTAAACGTGTCAAAGCTACTTTGTTTATAGACTCATTTGATCCGCCCAATTTTTAAATTGTACACATCTTGCCTTTAGCAATTGTACTGTGCACCAAATTAAATTTATACCAGTCTGTTTCATGGACCTAAATTAATGTTTCTCAACCAATATAGGATCTTTAAATCTGCCAAATATCTAAATGGGACCACGGATTGATAAAACAACTCCAAGGAGACTTCTCGCAATGCCAAATTATAAGTAGCGTATAATTCAGTATAACTCAGCTGAATGTTTAATTAATATTTAGACTATTTGTTTTACTCAGACTATATTAAATATTTCTTTTATGAAATGGATGTACAGTGTACTATGATGCATTTAAATTGCCGTACACTCATTTTGATTGTGTTTTTACTATATAAAGAGGTAATTTTTTTACACAGAATCTATTTTGTGATAAATAAGATGTTGATGCTAAATTCAAATATGTTTTATATTAATTTGCAATTCTATACTTAACTAAATGCTTGAATTTTACATTGTAGGTATTGTCGCTTTACTGCAATAACATTTCAGAATCAATAGAGTTTTGTTGGCGATCTGGTGTTAGTGCTGACAGGCCGTAGTTCTACGGTGAAGTCTGACCAACTCCATGTAAAAGCTCCGTAGTCTCACAAGAAACACGATCATGTGGTTCTTGTTTCCTTAAGCAGGTTGCTTTACTACAATTGCTACTCCTGAGCATTTTACTGTCTTAACTCTTGGTCAGAGATTTAGTGGACGTGATGACAGACCTAAATTCTGTGGTGAAGGCTTCAGAGTTTGAGTCTGTCCCCACCAATAAGATTGTGTGATACTTGTGTCCATTAGCAGGTTACTTTACCACAATTGCTACTCATGAGCATTTTGTTTTCTTGGCTCTTGGTCAAAGTTTTGTTTAATAATCTAGTGTTGGTAGTGATGACAGACCCAATTTTGTGGTGAAGGCTTCAGAGTTTGAGTCTGTCCCCACCAATAAGATCGTGTGATGCTTGTGTTCTTTAGCAGGTTACTTTACCACAATTGCTACTCATGAGCATTTTGTTTTCTTGACTCTTGGTCAAAGTTTTATTTAATAATCTAGTGGTGGTAGTGATGACAGACCCAATTCTGTGGTGAAGGCTACAGAGTTTGAGTCTGTCCCCACCAATAAGATTGTGTGATGCTTGTGTTCTTTAGCAGGTTACTTTACTACAATTGCTACTCATGAGCATTTGGTTCTCTTAACTCTTGGTCACAGTTTTAGTTTACAATCTAGATATGACAGACACAATTCTGTGGTGAAGGCTTCAGAGTTTGAGTCTGTCCCCACCAATAACATCATGTGATGCGTGTGTCCTTCAGCAAGCCATTTTACTATTATTGCTGCTCAAGGAGTATTTAATCCTCTTTAATCGTGGTCATAGTTTTAATTTAATAATGCAGCGATGGTAGTGATGACGGACCCAATTCTGTGGTGAAGGCTTCGGAGTTTGAGACTGTCTCCACCAATAAGATCATGTACCGCTTGTGTCCTTAAGCAGCTCACTTTACTGTAAGGGCTGATAGAAGCATCAATCCCTTAAATCTCATAATTGGAATTATTTTGATAAAAAGAAATCAAAAATGCTGAGAACAAGTTTTAAACTGCAATTGTTTGCTTCCTAATAATTAGTAGTGTGCTGTGGCATTGCTTTTACTTAAAAAAAAAAAAATATAAGGTAAAATAATAATTTTCTTGATGTTGCAAATTGTTTATAGCAGATTTATGAGTGCTCTATTGCAAGAGATTAGTTGGAAAAAATGCCTGTAAAAAATGAACTCTCTAAGAATCAATTTGTGCTTTTCACAATATCTTTAAAATATATACATGTAGTCTGAATTGGACCTTTAGAATCTAATGTACTGTAATTTAAAAATCTGTACCTTTTGCCAAAATTTGAATTGAAAACGTTCATGTTTATGTATTTGAATTGTTATAAATGCAGAGAAAAAGTTCAACTCATAAGTACGGAGAAAGAAATCAACTCGTATCTGAATAATATTTCATTTATTCCATATTACCCAAACGAATAACGGAATACAGTCGTTAATACATGCTCATTATAAGAAAAATATCTTTAGAAGATCACTCTACAATGGCTGGTAAATATTGCAGCACGATTAAACATTTAATGGCATCTAATGGCAAAAAATAAATCATAAAAGATTGACAAATAAAAATGCTCTGTAATTTGAATTAATTTGTTTTCAGTGGAAAACTTCCACAAAAGATAAAGCAGGCTGCCCCAACCAAACATAAGTCGACATAAACCTTCCCAAATCCTTCAAAATCCTCTTTGCAAATTGGGGGAATTTGTAGGATTGAGGCTACATGGTAAGAGTGTGTCACTGATTTCGAAGGACGCATTGTGTCAAGGTCTTGGGCTGGACCTTGTGTTTATGCTCAGCTGTGCATCAATTTAGGCCTAGATTACACTTGAAATCCTCCGCACTGCTCCAGGATGTCACTGGCTCTGCCTCAACATATTGACAGTGATTGCTGTAAGATTATGCAGGATAGAGGCAGTGGTCACCCCTCCAAGGACCACATTCAAGAAATAACAGAGGACTTTGCAGGATTGGGATTATATGCTTTTTTTACCTGAAGGAGTTGGATGATTTTGCAGGATTGTTACATCCTAGCAAAAATGCCTAGAGAGTTAGGGTTAATAATACAAAAACCTTTATGGCAGGTATGTGGGTATAATGTACCCTCATCCCAGCCTACATGTGGCAGTGTTCACGGATTAATAAAACAAGCCTGGCAGGCGGCCAAGCTTTGCGCAACTGCCGCCAGGCAAAGAAAATTAAGGCACCAAAATACCTGGAGCTCGGTGTCCAATGAAATTTGGACTCCTCTTAAATCTGGGTTGTTTTACCGTATATGGATTCTTACTTTAACCTGTGACCTGTCATTATCCTAATTATCTTCATTTACGCATGTGCAACATATCCAACAAGTCCATAATTTCATAGAGTATTAATTCACATTACAGTGGCCTATTACCTGTTTATTTGTTTACATGCAAATAGCGCGGGTCCCCAAGCATCAAGAAATGTCCAATGCTACGCCCCCCCTTCCAATATGTCATCCAGTCGATGACGTTTTGTAAAAACCTTACATTACATCTTTTTTGGAAGATGACATGTCACAATTATTGGTTTATAATAAATTCTGAATAATCCTACAGCAGCATTTTTTTATTACAAAATACAATTTGAAAATACAATACCGTTAGTCCGTTACTATCAGTATCCCCAATGATTGGTTTATAATAGATTCTGAATAATCCTACAGCAGCAATTTTTTATTACATAAATACAATATCGATATTATCCCCATTCATTTTAACTGACGTTATGTAGAAAGATGTGCACAATTACTGCATGGCAGGCTTACAAACTCTCACCCATGAGACTCGCGAATTTCACTTATTCTCACGCTCTAACGCCCCACGGGATATCTCACACTAAAAAAATTAACAAATTGGTCAGAAATTGCCTCAGAATATCGCAGAGCGGCTAGAATCCAAAACTTGTTTGGCCCCTTAAGCGGGCCCTGAACTCCGCGTCGTTGAGGCTTAACATTCGCATTAGTTCTGATCAAGCTCCTTCGACAAATTCTCACTCTCAGCGCCAAGTTGGCAGCCCTGTCAATTTTTTACTGGCACAGTAATTTCAGATAAATTGAACTTTGAAAAGAATTTGGGCGATTCACAATGTAGTGTACCACCAAGAGTTTGCTCAAAGATATTATTTTTCCCAGTGCAGTGCGGGAGATGGTCGACACACTCGCAGTGCAGGACATCTGAAATTGTTCGTTTTTCTTGTCAGTAGTTTCGTAAGCATATGATTCAAGTACATGTATATACATACATTTGCCGTTTTTTCCCCTCTTTTTATCAAGATTTTCATTTTTTTTGGTGAGGCGGCAAAACGCTATGCCTCCTTACATCTATAACAAATTAGTTCTTGTAGTCTGACACTCATTCAAATGGGCCATGTTTTGTTGGCCGTAAAATTGAAAAATTGACTCTCCGTGGCCAACTCTTGGTGGCGCTCTGCATTGTGAATTGCCTGAATCGAACACTGTTCGGAATCAGTCCTGAGAAGAATATTTACAAGACAAATTGATTCAATTTGAAAGAGACACTTTAAAGCGAAAGGCAGTGCATGCAATTTTACTACAAATACATAGTATGAAGATAACCTTTCCCAGTTATATTTTAACTCTTCAAAATTAGCAAAAACAAAGTTTTTTCCTATTATTCTTGTATGATATTTCAGAGTACACTTTCTAAGTGATCACATAAAACAGAAAAATCATCATTTTTTAGAATTTCAACAAAACCAATCCCACCACAAACATATGAAAATGTATACAATGTTATAACATGTGTAAACGCAAAATACAAAAACCACTACCTGCTTTTAAAAATACCTAAAATCATCGTCGTTAATGTTTAAAATTGGCACCACACTTTAAAGGGATGAGTTTGTTCCTCCTCAATGGTCAAAGGTCAAAGGTCGTTGACGTTTTAGCATACCATGTGATCGGTGCTTACTGGCCGAAATTGTTGACGTACTCAATACGCGCATTGTGGTCATCAGCAGGCCGATTAATTGGAGTCCACACTGGCTCGCCGACAAACAAACGCATGGCTTTGATGTAATTCTGTGTGGTGCAAAAGGAGATGCAAACATAAGTAACGGTATTAAGCTTTTTTCCTACAAAATCAGAGGGCCTTACCTAACGTTTCGATCCTAATTAACACCGTCGATATCAGAAATTTCAAAAAAATTAATATATCGGACCTCCAATATCGAAGTTATCAAGTAGCCTATCCCATTAAAGTTAAAGACCATAAAGATGACACTTGAAATCTGAAGTCCCAACTTTGCACGGCTTTCTCTGTAGCATATTGACCTTTCGTGGTAGAACTGCATCAACTCAGTTTGTGAAATATTGTCCAATTACATGATACACAAATTGATGTGGAACGCGCAAAATCTGAGACAAACAAAACTTAGTGTATAAAAACTCCATAGGGTTGTCTAAGGAGGCGGCCTCCAAAAAGGAAGCGGGCCGGGACGCTAAACATGTTTTTGTTTTTTTATTTGGCCCGTTGTTAGCAGTTACCTTGGTATCCAGGGTGAAGCGGTGGTAGATGCCGGCCGGCAGCGTGATTAGGTCCCCCTTCTCCAGCTCAATTCGTATCCACTTATCCTCCTTGTTACGCACGTCAAAGTACCCACTGCCCTCAAGGGCCAAGCGGATCTCCTCGTCCGAATGCATGTGCTCCTGGAAGAAACTCTTCAGCTGATGGGAGAAAGCAAAATCACAAGCCTTAGACCACGGACCAATTTCAGGGAACAGCAATAGCTTGGAAAGTAAAGTCTGTCCTGAGCCAATATGGCCTATCAGTCTGGCGTTTATCTCCGGTTTCAGTGGCATGAAACGACTGAGAATATTTCTATTACCTGCCTGTTTCCCGGGCCCCCTAAAAATATTGGAGTCAGAAGGACAATGGGAACAGGGAACCAGACTAGCTCATGGCTAGCATCAGACAGGCCAATCACAGGGTGGTTCGATCGGTCACCTCGATTGGTCGCCTCCATGGGCCAATCACATGGCGTCTTCATTGAGCGTCTCCACGGCGACCAATCAAAGTGCCCTGTGATTGGTCCATCTGATGCCAGCCAGAAAACAATCTAGCCAGGAGTCATGCACAAGCCAATTTTTCCTGAATTCAGAAAATGGTAGCCTCAAACTTGGCGCGTGCGACGACGATGTTTCCAGAATTGAAGGTGAGATTTCTTTTTTCTTTCCAAAGGTATGTGAACCTAACCACCACCGGCACTAAAAAATTTTCAATTCCCACTGAAGCCTACAGGGGCGCATCAGGCAGTTTGAAGACTGTTTTAGGGGTGAAATCTAAAGATTTTGATTGAGGGTACGAGTAAAAATGTTCAAAAAAAAAATTGGTAAACGCGATGTACTATATGATCCTCGGACTCTGCTATCGCCCGAACGCGTCTAAATGTTAAAAAAGTGATTCGTAGAGTCCTAGTTACTCGGACTAGTTTCAGAGCACTCCAGCAGGTCCCAGTCTGGGTTTTCATCCGACGGAAATCCCACCTTTTCGTCATAGTTTGGGAGGCTTTCCTTGGACACCGTGATGATGTCCTCGTAGTTGTAGTTGCGCTCCTTTCGGACTTTAGCCAACAGTCCTTCGCCTTCCAGATTGTCTGCATCAACCTACGAACCAATCAAAGTACAGTACAGACTCAGTATTCAAATTAATCCTCCAGGATTTCATGCCAATAACAAATTGTATTAAAGCCAATTAAAAAAAAAAATTGAAGGCTTTATTAAAAAAAAAAATATTTTCCAATATTTTGAATGGCTTAGTATAATTGTAGCTTGAGTAACTCCAGCTGATATGCTCATCAGAATTCACATGTAACATATTACATGTGATTTTTGATGAGCATGTCAGCTGGAGGCACTCAAGCTAGTTATAATTGCAACATATAACCACACTTATTCCCACAGCAGTTTTAGTGCCGAAGGGTGCAGGGTACAAATGTTTACGGGTCGAGATTCTAATCTCAATGAAAATTTTTTTTTTAACATGTTCAAACTTCAAAGTCATATTTCGAGAATGTTGAATGAAAATAATAGAGCATACACATGCTTGCTAGATAGATCGAGGAGTCCTTTTACTTGAATTCTTCAGAAGGCCTACATTTTTATTTCCCTTTCCCCCCCCCCCCCAAAAAAAAAGAACACCAAAATTTCGGGGAAAATTTTTTTCAACCTGACACCACTTCGTCATATAGGTAGGCCTATCATCTCAATGAAGGTCATTCATTGCAAAAATGATGATAAGACAAAATCTGAGATTTCCAATTAATGTTAGGATATACTTTCGTGACTCTCCATAGACTAAAATTGTACACAATCGCGGAAGTGGCGTCAGGTTGCAACATTTTTTTCCAAACTTTTCTTTTACTTTAGACCGATTGTGTTATTTCTTAGTCATCGGTCATTCACCGTCGACGTCCACTGCCCGGCCTTCCCGTTCGGGGTTTATGCCGCACGCGACGGCGGCCGCGGCCTACCTTCCAATAAAGAACACCCAGCGTTTTCAGGTAGTCGAAATCAACGAACTGCGGCGGGTCCAGTTGATGCGGCTCGCGCTGATCCACGTTAGAATCATCCATGTGCCAGGCTCGAACCATTTTGAGTAAAATAGATGTGGTTTACTCAAAGAAAACGGGTAAAATCCTGTCGTTCAAGTTGAAGTTCAAAGCCTGAAATTCCACACTCATCGAAATCTAATCTCGCACTTTTCATGCATCGTCAATTTGTAAAAACAGTTGGTACTCCGCTGCAGGGGCAGTGTGCATTTGTCAAAGGGAACCAACGATTTGAGGTCAAAGGTCATTTTAAATACAGCGACACAACACGTGGATGTTGGAACTTCGCGTATTTCGCCTGAAACTAAGTCATTTTATTAGCTATTTAACCTTTCATGTAAGTTCAACAACAAAAACAAAGGACTAGTATGGGCAAAAAGAATAGAGGGAGACCTTCGAAGAAGTACAAGACGCAACAAAAAGGGAAAAATGAGCGGCCAAAGAGCGGTCGATCCGGCGGGGCCGACAGTGGATTGGACTCGGGGATGGAATCGGACGTGGAAGGGACAAGCGTGGCACCAACTGAACGACAGGTAGGCCTGTATTACGCCGTGGCTATCGTTACGGCATTCGACCGTCTGGTTTCCTGCCGTAACAATAGCCACTATAATTTTGTTTACTTTTACTCTTTACTTTATTTCATTTCAAGGCACAGAAAAAAAACTTGTACTTTATTAAATTGTAAAATTGTAAAAAAACTTGTACTTTATTAAATTGTAAAATTGTAAAATTCTCCCTCCCCTTCGCAAAATCACTAATGACAATCATCATATCCTCCATACTTCAGATCGCCTTGCCCGCGCCATCCCCAACGGCCCCACATTGGCTTACAGGCGTCCTCGAAATCTACGGGACTTGATTGTTCGAGCTGAAGTCCCATCCTTAGATGCATCCCCTCCCACCCAGCATGGTACTTTCAAGTGCAGTTCCAGATGTGTTGTCTGCCAGATTCATATCCAGGAGTCTGACTCCTTTTCTGGCCACTCTTCTGTCACTACCCACAGAACCATTGGTAACATCACTTGTAACACCTCTAATGTCATATATCTCATTTCTTGCAGGGTCTGTGGAGTGCAGTATGTAGGTGAGACTAAGAATACGCTCAAGAAGCGTTTCTATGCCCACCGGTCAACGGTCAACACCAAGAAACTAGACACCCCTGTTGGTCATCACTTCAACCTGCCTAACCACTCCATTTCTGATATGATTTTGCAGGGCATTGAATCTCTTGGCCATCGCAAGGACTCAGTTCGCCTCAGCAGAGAGAAAGTGTGGATGAATCGTCTTCGAACTATTCAACCACATGGTCTCAACATCCAACTTGGAAATGATTAATATTTTTCTTCCTCCATTGTCTTCTGTTACAGATAATCCACCTGGTCTTCATTGTTTGTGTTTCCCCATCATTCCCCATCTTTCATCCCTTTCCACCTCCATACTGTTCCCCCCCCCCCCCCCACATAATCCCCCTTCACTCCCACACTCTTTTGTCCGTTCCCACTCCCTGTGACCTTTGATCCTTCCCCTTTCTGGTCCCTCCCCTGTTCATACCAGACCCCTTGTGGTTTGCCATCTCCCTTTGTTTCTTTGTTCTCTCATCCACCCTCCCCTGCATCTTTCCACACCTTTCGCACCTAATCCTCCTTTTGTGTTTCTTCTTTCATCCCTGCATGTTTGTGTGCACCCCCATGTTAATGTATGTACCTCTGTCATTTCTGTTTTAGCCTCTGAAGAAGAACTTGCTAAGTTCGCAATGTCAGGCCACATTAATTTTTAGATTTATTAAATTGTACTTTATTAAGGGAATAAATGTGTGTTCAGGAGGTATTATAACACTCTGTTTAACTTTAAGACCGGTGGGAGTCTGGATGGGTGATAATTACCCGAGGCGAATTTTCACCCACCCAGACTCCCACCGGTCTAAAACAGAGTGTTTAATACCGACCGAACACATTTTTTATTCCCATTCATAAATACCTTTTCGGTCAAAAAAACAAATCTTTTCGGTCCAAAAATCATAAACAAGTCAAAAACTAGACGTTGCCAACCATTTTCTTCAACAGTTTTACTTCATGTTTTACGAAACACCCCTCTGACTATAATATGGAATGCCCCTCCACGACTTGTTACCTTATTTATAAGAACATTTGCGGCGCATCGCGCGTACTGCGCGATGTCGCGTAAAATGCAGCTGGGCTGGTGTAGTGTGAATTTCAGACCATGAAATACTGATTCACTGGTAGTATTGCGCATGCATACGTGAGGAATGTGAACGTTCAACCAATGAAACATTAAAAGGCACCGGATTTCATGGGAGTCCAAATTTCATGTGACACTGGAAAAGTGTTTAAGACCAGCTAGCCATGTCTTTATCATCCATTTAAGACCGGCCACGTGACGGGCTCTCGACCAATAGGAATGCGTAAACTGTCTTAGGTATTTATGAATAAAGAATAAAGATAGAAAATGAAGATAAGAATGAGTCAAAGATAGGAATAGCACAATAAAAATCCTCCAAAGCCGTGGATTATTAAAAAAAATAATTGAAACTTGCTTCAGTAAAAAGTACATGTAGGATATTTGGATTAAAACAAAATAGTAAAGACAGGTTTTAAAAGGAAATAAAATTACCAAGAACAAAAATTGGCCCGTTCATGACAGTAGCAGATTTGAACCCAGGACCTTTGGCATGGTACTTTTAACCAATGGAGCAGTGGTGTTTTTGCAGTGCCATAACGATACCAGTTGAACACCGTGTTACGGCTGACGTAAAGATAGCCACTACGAAAATATATATTGTCTTTAACTTAAAAGTTATTATTTAACACTTATTTCTCCCACAACTTTCCCTTCACAGCCCGGCAAGGTATCGGTCGGTTTCCCCAAACTTGACGGTTACACATCAGATGCGGAGCCGGATACCAGGGAACTCGTCAAGCAGATGAACCGGAAGAAAAAGAAATCGGGGGGTTTCCAGTCCATGGGTGCGTCAAAAAGCTGTGCTTGGTCCAAGGGGCCCTGAAGGGGGGAGTTGGGTGTCTAACCACACCCTCCCCCAAACCCCAGGAGAGACCGATGATAATTATTTAATACATTATAGAAAAAAAATAAAGGATAATCAACTTTACTACTTGATTAAACATAGAATTGTCTTTTATTTTTAGAAGTACGGGCAAATGATGTCCAAAAAAAAAAACAATCGACAAAAAAAAAGACAAAATGTAAAGGGACCATTAGTGGATAGACATAGGCAATCAAGCACTTTGGTGGAAATAATCAACAAAATAATGAATGAACCAAATTATCGACTCAAGTTTAAGCATTTGCTGATTTTTCTTTATTGATTTTACATGATTTAGGATTGAGTCACCCTGTGTTCAATGGAGTAATGAAGAAAGGCTACAAGATTCCAACTCCCATACAGAGAAAGGTGTGTTGACAATTTGTCCAAATTGAATACAAGACTGTTTACCGAAAATGTTAGAAAGAATAGTCATTTCCTAACCACCACCCTGCTTTATGTAAATTTTAAATTTGAATAGTATTTTTTGTTGAATAGTGCTTCCCAGGCATCTTAGAAGGCAAGTATGTACATTTTTTAATTTGAATATTTCAATATTCATTTATGTTGAATAGTGCTTCCCGGGCATCATGGAAGGCAAGCATGTAATTTTTAATTTGAATATTTTAATATTAATTTATGTTGAATAGTGCTTCCATAGCATCATGGAAGACAAGCATGTAAAGTTAAAAATTTGAATATTTCAATATTCATCTATATGTTGAATATGCTTCTCAGTTATCATGGAACTTTGGAAGGAAGCATGTAAATTTGAATATTTGAATATTCGTTTATGCTAAACAGTGCATCCCGGTCATCATGGAAGGCAAGGATGTGGTTGCCATGGCGAGGACGGGCAGCGGCAAGACGGCAGCGTTCCTCATCCCGATGTTTGAGAGGCTGCACCAGCGGTCTGCGCAGTCTGGCGCTCGGGCCCTGATCTTATCCCCGACACGAGAGCTGGCTCTACAGACGCTCAAATTCGCCAAAGAGGTACGAATGAAGGATACGCAGTTTCTACAACAAAATCAAACTCTGTTCACAGGTTTTCCCCAGAGTTTTTAGACAGTACCCAATTTTTCAAATTTGGATCTTTTATTTGCTCAGTTGCTTTCCAGTGTTAATTTGAAAGAATGGTATGCCTGTAAACGTATCAAATTTAAAAGCCAAAAAGGTGAACTGCCAACAAATATATACATGTAGTGCTGGATAGCTCAGTTGGTAGAACACTGGAACGGCAATCCAGAGGTCACAGGTTCAAACCCTGCTCCAGTCAATTTCTTTTTTCACTTTAAAATAATATTTTAAATAAATTAGAAGCACCTTAGCACTTGAACACATCTTGAGAACTTGAATTTACATTTTTTAAGTAATTGGCAACTATTCGATTGCGTCAACCAGATGTTCTCAGCAGGAAATTTAGCATGGAACATTTCCTTACTGAGCCAAAATCAGCGGGGAGCCACCAACAGGGGATATACATCACAATGGGATTTTAGCTGGTAACCTAGTAAGCAAGGTTTTCTGTGCTAAGCAAAGTGTGTGTGCTTAGCATCTCCTTGATGTTAACCGCAGTATGTCCCTTGCGACATCATTGACTACTTAATTCCGGATAGCTCAGTTGGTAGAGCACCGGATCGGCAATCCGGAAGTCGCAGGTTCAAACCCAACTCCATTCAATTTCTTTCAACTTTAAAACCACTTTATTCTCTCAGAACCTTTGATGCAAAAACTCAAAACTCTTTTCTTGTACATAAAGGAATTTTTTAAATCGCCGACAAAATTTTCTCTCCCCCCTCCCTTTCAAGTTGGGAAGGTACACCTCCATAAAGGCAGAAGTCATTCTCGGCGGTGACAAACTGGACGATCAGTTTGCGGCGTTACACGAGAACCCCGACGTTATCATCGCCACGCCCGGCCGCCTCCTGCACGTGCTTGTCGAGATGGAGATGAAGCTGAAGTCGCTGGAGTACGTCGTCTTTGACGAGGCCGACAGGTGATGCTCCAACCAGTTACCTAGTTAGCCTACCTAGTTTTTATGATAAACCAGTTAATGATAAATCAGTTTTATAAATTTATTTCTGGCTGTCTCCTGCATATGTGCACATTGAAATGGAGATGAAGTGGAAGTGCTGCATCATTATTACTCCTGCTCACCAGACCTATAAAATATTCTTCAGACCATTTCAGCTCCCTTATTAGTACACACAACAATGGCCAAGTTCGGGCAAGGACCATTAGTTGACTAGTGGTTGATTTGTGACGTACCTTACGCCTGCGCACTGATAGCAATGTGCGAACGTCTCTTGTCAAACGCTGGTCAAAATGTCATCGCAAAACTTCTGGATCTTGGCTCTCTGCTAGCATTATGAATGGGCGCGGCTATTGGTTACCAGCGATGCAACCAGGCCCAGTAGGTTGGTTCCAAATAGTCGACTAGCGTAGTAAACCACCGTCGACTAGACAGAGTTCGGGCAAGCGTTAGTTAACCATTGGTCAACTATAGTCCTTGCGCGAACTTGGCCATAGCTGCTAGTTTGGCATAAACTTCAACACACTAAACTAGGCCTTTGATGATGATGATCTTCTTTGTCCAGATTATTCGAGATGGGTTTCGCAGAGCAACTCCGCGAGATCCTGAACTCCTTACCCCAGCACCGACAGACCCTTCTCTTCTCAGCAACGCTCCCAAAGTCCCTCGTAGAGTTCGCCAAGGCCGGCCTGAACGATCCCACGCTCATCCGTTTGGACGTGGAAACCAAAATATCCGATCAACTTCAGGTAACATTACATTGTATTACATTGTGTTACATTATATTACATTGTATTACGTTGTGTTACATTGTATTACATTGTGTTACATTGTATTACGTTGTGTTACATTGTATTATGTTGTGTTACATTGTATTACATTGTATTACATTGCGTTACATTGTGTTACATTGTATTATGTTGTGTTACATTGTATTACATTGTGTTACATTGTGTTATATTGTATTACATTGTGTTACAATGTAATAACATTGTACTACATTGTTATTACAATGTATTTATTCATTGATGAATCCATAAATCCAGAGTGCTTGTTCAGTTTGGGGCAGTACAATGAGCAACAGGCAGGGCGGTTTTGGGCGGTAATGTGACTAATTGGTATAGTTTTGAAGTTTTTGGCAAAGTGTCGTGAATCATGTTGGCACATTTTATTACTTCATTTGTTCTTTTGTTCTTTTTTTTGGCTCAAGATGTTGTTTTTCTTCCTGAGGCCGTCGGATAAGATCGCAACACTTCTTCATCTGTTGCGGAATGTCATCGGGCCGGACGAAATGACTGTTGTGTTTATGGCCACTAAACATCACGTGGAGTACATAAAAGAGGTTTGATATCAATTTGTATAACACAATAGAAGACTGGGCAAGTCTAGTAAAACTGGTCTAAACAGTGGCCAGAAATTGCCTCAGATAGCACCACAGAGCATCTACACTCCAATATTTTTTCGGGGCTCTTAAGCGGGTCCCGAACCCCAAGACATATTTTTTTTGGACCCATTTTTGGGGGGACCCAAATTTTTTTTTGAAGCCCCCGCGTTTCTGTGCATTCCAGATCCTTCTCATGGCCGGCATAGACTGCACCCATACCTACAGCGACCTGGACCAAACGGCTCGCAAGATCAACGTGGCCAAGTTTACGCACAAGAAGACAAGAGTCATGCTTGTGACGGACGTGGCGGCCCGCGGTATTGACATTCCGATGTTGGACAACGTCATCAATTACAACTTTCCTGGAAAACCGAAGTTGTATGTGCACAGAGTTGGTAAGAACAGGTATATTGTTTTATTAGAGCCTATGACTATAACAAAAATTATAAAAATATTTTGCTAAAAATCAAATGAATGAGAATCATATTTTTAATATTTTTTTGCGTGACCTCAGGACGTGTGGCAAGAGCCGGCCGCAGTGGCCGTTCTTTTTCTCTGGTCGGTCCGGACGAGCTACCCTACTTGCTAGACCTTCATCTTTTCTTGGGCCGATCACTCAACCTGGCATCTTCGCAGGATACAGAAGGTAGATATAGGCCCAAATTCTTAATCCTAACCCTCCCAGATTCTTACGAATCCACCAGGAGGTTTTGGAAGATTTTGTAGGATTTTGTAGGATTGATGGAGGTAGAGCTTCAGCCACTATTACTTTAGATGGGACTTGATCTGCCCCTTGAAACTTGATAGCTACAAAGAGTGTGCTATTGGGTTCCTGTACAGTGGTGGATTTTGTAGGATTCAAGAAGTTTAGGATTAGACTGCTTAAAGTTTTGTTCATTGTTTGATAATGACAGTAGCTTTTAAATGTACTTAAAAAATTCTGAAACAAAGAGAATTTACTCGAGAAGAAAAGTGTAGGGTACAAATTGTCCATGAGGCACTCCAATGTTAGTCTCCTGTCAAAGATGACAACACAGTTTTGCTCATGAATATTAAAATTTGCATCAATATAAGCAATGTAAGTCGTCCAGAATCCTGCAACTAATACAGTTGAATGCCGCTATAAGGCCAAAAAAAAAAATATTCGGTCTCTGGTCAGACCAAAGTTCCGGAATTGACGCGGCCACGCGGCTTTTTTTTTTTTTTTTCTTCCAGCTTGGTTTGTACAGACAAGGTGGGGTACTATATTGCTTTTTTGGTGTCCTCATGTACATTGGTGTCCTCCATAATTTGCCTTGGTGCTTTCGATCATTTGCCTTGGTGCAATTTCCCATTCCTTGGTGCTCTTTGGTAAAAAAAAATTGAGGAGGTGCGGAAATAGAAGGCGCTGTTGGAGCTACCGTGGAACATTTTGGAAAAAAAAAGATCGATGCGCATGATTAAAATCGACGCGCGCGCTGACCAGAGACCGACTTATTATTTTTTTTGGCCTAAAGAACATCACGGGATCCACAGAAATTGTTTGTAGTTGTGATCGTTTGGTATAGCGATTTTAAGCTGCCTGTGCTCAGGTACTCACTTTTCAATAAAATAGCGCCTTTCAGAAGTTCACCCTACACGCCCTGGTAGTAATTGAGAGACAACTTTAAACACATGCCAACTATTATAAAATCATGTAAGTACACAGTTTTTGAGCTTGTTACCTCAAGCAATGGGTGGCTTTCCCCTTCTATTCCTTTGGGAAATAATAGCCACTTGTCGCTCTTCTGTTGACATTTTTCAACAACATTCGGTAAATTTTGTACAAAAATCTCGGGACTCAAGGGCGATGTTCAGTATAGCCGAATGTTCGGTATAGCGACATTCCACTGTACTGATCTAATGGACCTTTTGCGGATAACTGTTTCCTCAACTTATCCGGGAATGAATGTGATACTGTTTCAGTTAAAGATAATGACAGCGTTATCGGGCGTGTCCCTCAAACCATCATCGACGATGAGGAAGAACTCGTGACCCATTTCCACCGGCAGTCGGTGGATCTCGAGGGGCTTCAACGGGCCTGCCGGAACGCCGCAAAGCAGTACCTCAAGACCAGGCCTCACCCCTCTGTAGCAAGCCTCAAAAGGTCCAAAGGGATGGCCATGGGCGAGAGCGAGTACCATCCCATATTTGGTGAGTACCATACCTGATTTGGAGATTATAATCCCATATTTGGTGAGTGCGACTCTTATTTGTTGAGTGATATATCATATTTTGATGAGTGCCATCCCAATCCACAGTTGGGGAGTATAATGGTAGTATGGGGTCTCATAGTATTAGGCCAAAAAAAGTATCCGGTTTCTGGTATGGAGCTTGTCCCAAAAGTGGTGCTGTGACGTGGCTTTTTTTACCCCATACATTTCTTTTCTTCAAATGTTAGCTGATGTTGCAGATGACGCTTCGATCCCCGTAAAACTCTCAAAAATATCCTTCAGGGTGGAGCTTGAGATGACCTCAGTAAGACCATTAGGCTTGAGAATTCTGCACCCACTTACGATCTCGACCGACACCTCGTGCGCCACAAGGGTTTTTCCAGGCCCTCCGGATTTCCTCCCTCACAAAAAATCAAACACTTTCGATCTCTGGCTGTGCTCTGCGGTCATATATGGGTCGTACGGCTGGCTGCCAAAGGCGCCGTTACATGTACGTGCCAGCGGCTCGACCACGTTGTAGCCGCCTCCTTCGCATTTCAGCTTCTCCTCTGCGAGTAAGGATGATTAGCCTCCCAAGTTATTATGACATCCATATTTGGTAATTCTATCCAATATTTGTTGAGAACCCTATTCCATATTTCATTTGGTGAGTATCCCATATTTGGAGAGTGCCAGCCCATGTTTTGAGGCTAAAATTTCATTTTTGGTAAGGTTAATTCCTCATTTTTCAGTACATTTCAAAATTTGGCTAACTATTTTTTGGTTCATCAAAACTGATAACTGATACCATTTGTTTCTTGTCGCTCAGGAATCAAGGAAAATCAGGTAGAAAACACGCGAGTGCAACTTGTCGACAACATCAAGAACTACAAACCCAAAACAGTGAGTGACAAAATATAGTACTGATATATATATACTGCTTTCATTTGAAATACTTCATAGGACTATGCGCCATGTATAGAGGGCGTCATTTACCCTAACCACAGAATTGGACTTGTGTTTCACTGGGCCACGTGATCTTTTTACATGTTTGAATCAGTGTTTACCAGTGAAGGGTGAGATAAGCCAAACAATAAACTGGCTCCTTTCCATGCAATATTGTTTTCTAGACTTTGAAAAGTAATGCGAGTGGTGGGGAACCAGTCTATTAGCTAGAGCACTGTACATTTTGAACTTCACCGGTTGCAACTGGTATTTTTTAAATTGTGCTTTTATGCCTTTTTTTAAACAGACCATCTTCGAGATTGCAACATCCACAAAGAGCATAGCACACCAGGTCATGAAAACGAAGCGCCGTTTCCATGGCGACATTGTCAAGAAGAACAGGCAGATACTCGGGTCAAAGGTCGAGGACAGCAGGCGTGGTCAGACAAACTCTGGGGCAACAGAGGCCCCAAGCACGGACAAGGAAATTGAAGTAAATACAGTTTTGTTTTTTGCATTTTTATAATACACTTTTTTTTAAGGTTTTAAGTTTGATGTAAGGCCTTTTTTCTGAGTCCTTTATGTGGGATGTACTCACAGATTGGTCCACAAAATAACTAGTTATTGTAGAGGTTGTGAGGTTTTGCCACCAAAAATCGCTTGCAAAATGAAAACGTTTGGGACTACCGGCATGAAGAAGGCCACATATAAAATTGAATTTCTATTTTTAGTTTAAGCCCCACACGGAAAATGTTGTCACAACTGAAAATTTGACATGTTGCAAACAAAGAATGTCGTTGAGCTGGAAAGTAGGAAAGTAGAGTCACTATGTCACTCACTGAGTCACCTACTCAATTTAGACTCAAGACTGAGTAACGCAACTTGAAATTTCCACAAAATGAGTATCTTTGGTTTGTGTCGCAAACAGTGATTCGAATCAAAATGTAGAATTAAAACTCAAGTCACTCACTGAGTCACTACTCACCGAGTCACTACTCTGTCACTACTCACTGAGTCACCGATACACTCAAGTTGGACTCAAGTTCAAGTCACGTCTCCAACCATTTTGTCAAACTCAGTTTTTTCGATTGAAACAAACTCTTGTCTCTCCAGGACGCCTTTTCCGCCATCATCGCACCAGGAAGCAAGAGGAAATCGGAGAAATACGTCAGCAGTGTCGCCAACCCCAAGAAACCAAAGATGGAGATCAAGACAAGCCATCGCGACAAGGATTATTACATCTCACATTACGCACCGGACCGGCAAACTGAACAGGGGTAAGTTATACAGGCTCCTTAGCCACTCTGGAAAACAGGGAAACCTTGAAAACGAGTTTCAATTTTCCAGTCAGGGAAAACTTGGGGAGTTTGACAGTGACCCAGAAGGGAAAGGTTTTCCCCAGTTTGGGGTATGTGCATCTTGTGCAATGCCTCCAAGTTCTTTTTCTTCCTTACAAGTGCAGACTTCATGGCTGAAGATAAGTTCACTGCCAGAAACATGCACTCTTGTTTTACTATACTCCCAAGGACAATGCTTTGTGTTTCCCTTTGTCCCCTTAATATAACACTCTCCCATAGACTAAGCACACAAAGTTACTACAGAGGACCAGTTTGCACAAAAGTTCCAATGCCCAAGGACTGAAAGGATCTGTTGTTCTCCCTTTGTGTGTCGGTCCTCGGGGGTTATGTAGAACACGTACATTGGGGCAAACTCTTTCTTAGCTATAAGTGTTGCTGGGTTCTTGAACGTGCCTTATACAACACACCAGACCTACAGCTTTACATCCCATCCGAAAAACGAAGCAATAGTGGTTAAGTGTCTTGCTTAAGGACACAAGTGTCAAGACTGGGAATCGAACCCACACTCTGCTTATCAGAAACAACCAGAGCTTGAGTCTGGTGCTTTTGACCGCTCGGCCATGACACCCCAAAGTTGTGTCGATTGACTGACTGGCAGTGGTGGCTTTTTAGTGTTTATGCAGTGTGAATATTACACACCTCTCTAAGCAATAACTGTGCTACATGTAATTCTGGACTTCCCAGCAAAATAAAGTGAAAATATTTCTCATGGAAGTTTGGAAAATTTCTCGGGGAAATATCTGGGAAAAACTCCAGGAATTTTGTTTTCCTAAAGTGTTTGGAACCCTGGCAAGTGATATTGTGATAATGTGCCATGTTGAATTTCAAATGAGCAGCCAAAAAGCTCTCAGTGCTAAACCATGTAGGACATTCATCTATATACTCCTCCCTAAACTCATCAAATTTTTTTTTTTGCTGGAAATGTTGATATTTGGAACCTTCCGAAATCTTTCAAAAATAAAAGCTGATGTTTTGAAAAACCTTCAGTGGTATTGTTTTTATTTGTCCAATCGCAGGTTGAGTGTTGGGCTGACCTTTGACCAGCAGGCAGAGGGCGCACTTCTGGACTTGACGCAGGACGACCCACACGGCATGATCAAGCAACGGGGCCAGCTGAAATGGTGAGTTTGTCGCAAACGTGATGGACTCCGTGCGAGAACTGTAGGTGGCGCTCTTGCGACTATTCACTCCATGCAGTGTTTGCACCCACACAGTCGTGTTTTACTATACTCTCGAGGGCAATGCTTTGTGTTTCTTTTTGTCCCTGTAATATAGCACTGTCCCATAGACTGAGCACATAACTATACGATCAAGGACTGTTTTCAACTGAAGACCCAATGTTCATACACCATGCACCCACACAGTCGTGTTTTACTATACTCTCGAGGACAATGCTTTTTGTTTCCCTTTGTCCATGTTTTATAACACTCTCCAATAGACTAGGCACATAACTGTATGATCGAGGACTGTTTTCAACAAAAGACCCAACACTCAAGGCCTGAAAGGATCTTGTGTTCTCCCTTTGTGTGTCCGTCCTCTATCGTAAAGCGATACATGTACACTGGCTCACATGTGTGCACGTTTAAAAGCTAAGTAGTTGTCCCGAGCCAGTGGTTCACGAGGCCAGCGTTTATGTCCGGTTTCCATGGCATGAAACGTCTGAGAATATTTCTATTCCCCCTGGATGGGATGCCAGTCCATCGCAGGTTACTCCCCAGCTAATGCCGGTATACTCCTGGATGGAGAGGGGAAAATTGAGGTAAAGTGGCTTGCCCAAGGACACAACACAACCATTGGGTCATAATGCCCCACTCCCCCACGTTTTTTTCCTCCTACGATTGCACAATCTGTTAGTGTTTTCGTGTGGGCACTGGTCAAGCAGGGAAAGTGTCTGCCATGTCTCTGTCTTTTGCCTCAGTTGAGGAGTAGTTGTACTTATGAAGAGTCTCTAACAATTCTTACCTAATGGTTTTTTCTTCTTCTTTTTTTTTGATAGGGAGAGGAAGAAGATGAAATTTGTTAACGAGATTGGCAGAGAAGGTCCGAAGAAGATTAGAACAGAGAGCGGAGCACTGATTCCTGCTTCCTACAAGAAAAACTTGTATCCTTGACAAATTATTTCAGTATCTGCAGATAAACGAACAGAACAAAAATTGTTATTTCATAACCTGCCAGTGGTGAACATTTAGTTGTCAGGAAATTGTCATGTGACAGTTTGATCATGTGATATTAGTGGCTACCTAGCAAAGGAATCGTCAGGCTTGAAGACCAGTCAAAGGTACCATATATAACACGTAACATTTTGGCTGGTAACCTGCATTTGTGCCCATTCAAATATTTCTCTGCAATTGACTCTTTGCAGGTCAGTGCTGAAAGGTACAACAAAAATGTATCGAGCATTTTGAGTTGACCTATGTGATTGGTCCATTTCCTTGACCTTCTGGCCAATCAGATACAAGGACTGGTTGGAGAGAAGCAAAGCCGATGCTGCGATTGAGGCCACAGCTGACAGCGACGATGAAGACGACGACGAAAAGAAGAATCAAGGTAGGCCCTACAGGTGGACAGTCTCAAGAAAAACATTGGCAACCTTTGTTTCGATGGGGGAGTTGAGAGGAGCTGGGGTGGGCGGAGTTAACATCATTATGGGGGATGTGAATCTTATTACTCTACACTAGTGATGCGTTCAGTTTTATTTTGGACGTCACAACGGTGACTAGGACAATACTGGTGGATAACACCATGTGTCAAGTCAAGTCAAACTTTCCAATAGCCTTCAAAATCTAAAACCTGACTTTCAATCTTTGCAGCCAAATTCTCCACACTGGGTCTCAGCCGTCACATGAAAAACCGGCACAAATCGTCCGTCAAGCCCACGGAATCCAAATACTCTGCCCCCCTCCCACGGAAGCGACCCTCAGGCCCCGCCCCCGGCAAGAAGGGAAAACGGGGGCCCAGGCAAGAAGTGAAGAGCCACGAGCAGATTTTGAAGACGCGACGGACGAAGGAGAAGAACAAAGCGCGGAACGTCGGCAAGAAGCAACGACAGCAGTCCATCCAGAAGAAGATGGAGGGACGGCAAAATACACTGATGAAAAAGTCAAAGTTCAACAAGAGAAAGTAGACTTAAAAATCTAGTCTCATTTCAAGACCTCTTGAGGGTGTTGTCAGGTTTGTGCACAAGTGTCACTTGAAAGAAAAAAAACACAAATGAGATGGGATGGTCAAAGTTCAACAAAAGAGTGTGTTGACTGGAAAAAAACCTGAGCCTAGTCTCATTTCAAGAATTAATTAGGCACTGTCAGGTCTATATGTGAGTCAGTTGGAGGAAACAATATACGCTGATGAAAAGGTCAGTGTTTAACAAAGGAAAAAAGACTAACAATTCCTGAGCCTAGTCTCATTTCAAGAATTAATTAGGCACTGTCAGGTCTATATGTGAGTCAGTTGGAGGAAACAATATACGCTGATGAAAAGGTCAGTGTTTAACAAAGGAAAAAAGACTAACAATTCCTGAGCCTAGTCTCATTTCAAGACTCTTGAGGGCATGATCAGGTCTGTGAACAAGGTGTGGTTCAGTGTTAACAGAAATTGTTGATTGTTAATTGTAAGTTGGTATGTATAACTGAACCTACAGTGGTGTGTGATGTTTGTATTGCTGTTTTTAACAGCAAATGCAGAAATAAAATTTAGTAAAACATGTGAGCATTGCAGTAGTCTTTATTCCTTTGTAAATGTCTTCAGATCTCTTTCCATCAAAAGTCAAATTTTGTCCGATTGGATTACCCCTTACATTTGTGGATTTCCAGAAATAGTCAAATGTTTCTAAATTTTGATAAAAATAGCGAGGCTAACCCCTTACATTTTTTAGTGTTCGTAAAAAGTCAAATTTTGCCCAGTTATGATTAAAATGCAAGGCTAACCCCTTACATTTTTTATTTTCCAGAAAAAGTCAAATTTTGCCCAATTTTGATAAAAATGCAAGGCTAACCCCTTACATTTTTTATTTTCATGAAGAAGTCAAATTTTGCCCAATTTTGATGAAAATGCAAGGCTAACCCCTTACATTTGTGAATTTCTAGAAAAAAGTCAAATTTTTCCCAATTTTGATAAAAATGCAAGGCTAACCCCTTACATTTTTTATTTTCATGAAAAAGTCAAATTTTTCCAATTTTGATGAAAATGCAAGGCAAACCCCTTACGTTTGAGAATTTTTGAAAAAAAGTCAAATTTTTCCCAATTTTGATAAAAATGCAAGGCTAACCCCTTACATTTTAGATTTTCATGAAAAAGTCAAATTTTGCCCAATTTTGATAAAAATGCAAGGCTTACCCCTTACATTTTTTGATTTTTAGAAAAAGTCAAATTTTGCCCAATTTTGATAAAAATGCAAGGCTAACCCCTTGCATTTTTTGATTTTTAGAAATAGTCAAATTTTGCCCAATTTTGATTAAAATGCAAGGCTAACCCCTTATAATTGTGAATTTCTAGAAAAAGTCAAATTTTGCTCAATTTTGATAAAAATGCAACGCTAACCCCTTACATTCTTGATTTTCCAGAAAAAGCCAAATTTTGCCCAATTTTGATTAAAATGCAAGGCTAACCCCTTACATTTTTGATTTTCCAGAAAAAGTCAAATTTTGCCCAATTTTGATAAAAATGCAAGGCTAACCCCTTAGATTCTTGATTTTCCAGAACAAGCCAAATTTTGCCCAATTTTGATAAAAATGCAAGGCTAACCCCTTACATTTTTGGTTTTCCAGAAAAAGTCAAATTTTGCCCAATTTTGATAAAAATGCAAGGCTAACCCCTTACATTTTTTGATTTTTAGAAAAAGTCAAATTTTGCTCCATTTTGATAAAAATGCAAGGGTAACCCCTTACATTTTTGATTTTCCAGAAAAAGCCAAATTTTGCCCAATTTTGATTAAAATGCAAGGCTAACCCCTTACATTTTTGATTTTCATGAAAAAGTCAAATTTTGCCCAATGTTGATAAAAATGCAAGGCTAACCCCTTATATTTGTGAATTTCTAGAAAAAGTCAAATTTTGCCAAATTTTGATAAAAATGCAAGGCTAACCCCTTAGATTCTTGATTTTCCAGAAAAAGTCAAATTTTTCCCAATTTTGATTAATATGCAAGGCTAACCCCTTACATTTTTGATTTTCCAGAAAGTCAAATTTTGCCCAATTTTGATTAAAATGCAAGGCTAACCCTTTACATTTTTGATTTTCATGAAAAAGTCAAATTTTGCCCAATTTTGATAAAAATGCAAGGCTAACCCCTTACATTTTTGATTTCCAGAAAAAGCCAAATTTTGCCCAATTTTGATAAAAATGCAAGGCTAACCCCTTACATTTTTGATTTTCCAGAAAAAGTATAATTTTGCCCAATTTTGATAAAAATGCAAGGCTAACCCCTTACATTGTTGATTTCCAGAAAAAGCCAAATTTTGCCCAATTTTGATTAAAATGCAAGGCTAACCCCTTACATTTTTGATTTTCATGAAAAAGTCAAATTTTGCCCAATTTTGATAAAAATGCAAGGCTAACCCCTTACATTTTTGATTTTCCAGAAAAAGTCAAATTTTGCCCAATTTTGATTAAAATGCAAGGCTAACCCCTTACATTTTTGATTTTCCAGAAAAAGCCAAATTTTGCCTAATTTTGATTAAAATGCAAGGCTAACCCCTTACATTTTTGATTTCCAGAAAAAGCCAAATTTTGCCCAATTTTGATTAAAATGCAAGGCTAACCCCTTACATTTTTGATTTTCATGAAAAAGTCAAATTTTGCCCAATTTTGATAAAAATGCAAGGCTAACCCCTAACATTTTTTGATTTTTAGAAAAAGCCAAATTTTGCTCCATTTTGATAAAAATGCAAGGCTAACCCCTTACATTTTTGATTTTCCAGAAAAAGCCAAATTTTGCCCAATTTTGATTAAAATGCAAGGCTAACACCTTACATTTTTGAAAAAGTCAAATTTTGCCCAATTTTGATAAAAATGCAAGGCTAACCCCTTAGATTCTTGATTTTCCAGAAAAACCAAATTTTGCCCAAATTTGATTAAAATGCAAGGCTAACCCCTTAGATTCTTGATTTTCATGAAAAAGTCAAATTTTGCCCAATTTTGATAAAAATGCAAGGCTAACCCCTTACATTTTTGATTTCCAGAAAAAGCCCAATTTTGCCCAATTTTGATTAAAATGCAAGGCTAACCCCTTACATTTTTGATTTTCATGAAAAAGTCAAATTTTTCCCAATTTTGATAAAAATGCAAGGCTAACCCCTTACATTTTTTGATTTTTAGTAAAAGTCAAATTTTGCCCAATTTTGATTAAAATGCAAGGCTAACCCCTTATATTTGTGAATTTCTAGAAAAAGTCAAATTTTGCTCAATTTTGATAACAATGCAAGGCTAACCCCTTACATTTTTGATTTTCCAGAAAAAGCCAAATTTTGCCCAATTTTGATTAAAATGCAAGTCTAACCCGTTACATTTTTGATTTTCCAGAAAAAGTCAAATTTTGCCCAATTTTCATTAAAATGCAAGGCTAACCCCTTATATTTGTGAATTTCTAGAAAAAGTCATATTTTGCCCAATTTTGATAAAAATGCAAGGCTAACCCCTTAGATTCTTGATTTTCCAGAAAAAGCCAAATTTTGCCCAATTTTGATTAAAATGCAAGGCTAACCCCTTACATTTTTGATTTTCATGAAAAAGTCAAATTTTGCCCAATTTTGATAAAAATGCAAGGCTAACCCCTTACATTGTTGATTTCCAGAAAAAGCCAAATTTTGCCCAATTTTGATTAAAATGCAAGGCTAACCCCTTACATTTTTGATTTTCATGAAAAAGTCAAATTTTGCCCAATTTTGATAAAAATGCAAGGCTAACCCCTTACATTGTTTGATTTTTAGAAAAAGTCAAATTTTGCCCAATTTTGATTAAAATGCAAGGCTAACCCCTTATATTTGTGAATTTCTAGAAAAAGTCAAATTTTGCTCAATTTTGATAAAAATGCAAGGCTAACCCCTTACATTCTTGATTTTCCAGAAAAAGCCAAATTTTGCCCAATTTTGATTAAAATGCAAGGCTAACCCCTTACATATTTGATTTTCATGAAAAAGTAAAATTTTGCTCAATTTTGATAAAAATGCAAGGCTAACCCCTTAGATTCTTGATTTTCCAGAAAAAGCCACATTTTGCCCAATTTTGATAAAAATGCAAGGCTAACCCCTTACATTTTTTTGATTTTTAGAAAAAGTCAAATTTTGCCAAATTTTTATTTAAATGCAAGGCTAACCCCTTTAATTTGTGAATTTCTAGAAAAAGTCAAATTTTGCTCAATTTTGATAAAAATGCAAGGCTAACCCCTTACATTTGATTTTCCAGAAAAAGTCAAATTTTGCACAACTATGATAAAAATGCAAGGCTAAACCCTTAACATTTTTGATTTTCCAGAAAAAGTCAAATTTTGCCCAATTTTGATAAAAATGCAAGGCTAACCCCTTACATTTTTTGATTTTTCAGAAAGTCTTATTTTGCCCAATTTTGAAAAAAAAGTAAGGCTAACCCCTTACAATTTTTAATTTCCAGAAAAAGCCCAATTTTGCCCAATTTTGATTTAAATGCAAGGCTAACCCCTTACATTTTTGATTTTCATTAAAAAGTTAAATTTTTCCCAATTTTGATAAAAAGGCAAGGCTAACCCCTTATATTCGTGAATTTCTAGAAAAAGGCAAATTTTGCCCAATTTTGATTAAAATGCAAGGCTAACGCCTTACTTTTTGATATTCCAGAAAAAGTCAAATTTTGCCCAATTTTGATTAGAATGCAAGGCTAACACCTTACATTTCCGAAATTCTACAAAAATTCAAATTTTGCCCAATTTTGATTTAAATGCAAGGCTAACCCCTTACATTTTGGAATTGCTAGAAAAAGCCTAATGTTGCCCAATTTTGATAAAAAAAGGCAAGGCTAAGCCCTTACATTTTTGAATTTTCCAGAAAAAGACAAATTTTGCCCAATTTTTATAAAAATGCAAGGCTAACCCCTTACATTTTTGATTTACCAGAAAAAGTCAAATTTAGCCCAATTTTGAAAAACAGTGCAAGGCTAACCCCTTACATTTAAATTAAATGCATATTCATTGATGAAAATAAAAACAAGTACACCGATGTGCACATCTGTTGGTTCAGTTCAGCACTGATATGTATTTTTTTTCAGTGCATTTTTATTTAAACACTCTGAAACTAAATATGTTGTACCTTAAAACATGTGAGGATTTTTAAGGGGACTTGTTCTTTGGGTATGATTGGCAGAGGTTTCTATGAAATATTGAAATGCAACTCTTTTGTAGCACGTTGATGATTTTCTTTAGAAATAATCAAACGATTTATGTTTAACAAGTCGGAATATGGGCAAGCGCCTGCCTTAAAATGATAACAATGAGGGGAAAAAATAGGAAATAATATTTTAACAATTATGCCTGAAAATTGGCAGCCTTTGGTTACAAAATCTGAACGATTAAACAATTATTGTTGCGAACAATGAAGTTGAAACAAATTTTAAGCATGAGCTGTTATCACTGGGATCACTTAGAACCTCCCACATCAAGAATTATTCATGAAGTAACAACAGTTATTCATGAAGTAACAAATGAGCTGATGATTTTAAAATTTTGGCTACTAAAATGAAGAAAGATATTTTCTTTTCACAGCTTTGTCAATTAAATTTGGGAGTAATTTTACCAAAGCTGGGAAATTACCATTTCAGTCAGATATACATGTAATTAAACATGTTTGCAAAAAGGCACTACGTGCATATCACCCCTGCTAGGCAGGGTTATAATTAACAATTGTTGACTGCTGTGGTGTGGGATATGAGGTTTAGAACACGCGAGGGGCGCATAGCACCTGAGGTCGAGGGTGCTATGCGCCCCGAGGGTGTTCAAAAACGTCACATCCCACATCACAGCAGTCGACAACTGTTTTTTTTATACCTCTGTCTTGGATTCGTTGGATTGTGAAGTGAAAATCACGAAAACAAACAGCAATAAACACAGCAATCATGGCAATCGAACGTCAACTCACATGCATGTCGCGTGCTCGAAACAGCTGATCGTCTGCTAGTTCACTGCTCCCACTCGTGTGAAAACATGGTGAAAATAGCGTGGGTACCAACGATACCAGCGTTTCACACAGTGCGTACCGCACGTGCAAAGTCATGTGATATCCCACAGGGAGTGTGCCGTGACTTTTGTATAAACTTAACACGTGATCGTTCTAGGCCAATAAAAATACAGTATCCAAGTATTCAAGAGGTATAACAATTATATTTTACCTCGGCCCCCTTTATGCAAAACTGTTGAGTGTTAAACACAAAGGATCTTTAAAGATCTCCAACCCTTTGACTGACCAACAATAAGCTCCTCTCTAACCCCCACCCCACCCAACCCCTACCCCACCCCACCCCTCACACCCCATCCCACCCGGTTAAATCTTCTGGATCGCTGATGCATTGCGCTGTCACCTTCCATACATTTTGGGCATCATAAGAAGAGAATCAGCATCTGCATATTGAGAAAGTGAACCGAAAACAAAGTGGAAAAAGAAATAAAACTGATGTAAATTCCTTAAAACAGTGATATGGCAAATATTCCACAGTTTGTCATTTTCCGGGGTGGCATAGTGAATACTTGTTTCTGAATACAGGGTGAGTAAAAAAAAGAAATCAAAATTGCAGTTCTTAATTTGGCGCTTTCAAAATCTAGGATATGAAAGCCCAAATAATAAAGTTTCTTTTTAGTACAAGAATCATTCAAATCACTCATGTACTTTTCAAGTTACGGAATTTTAGACACACCAAAATTTTAAAGTTCTGTCCACAGATAAAAAGGTAAGTGTTCTTGAGACTTTCAGCAAAAACGCAAACAACTCACATAGGGATGTTTGTGATTTTTGTTTTGTTTTGCAGCAAGAACACTTCCTTTGTTTGTGATCCATGGATAGAAATTTAAAAACGTGGTTGTGATTTAAATTCTGTAACTTGAAAAGTACATCAGTGATGTTGATTTCTTTCCACACAAGGGCGACTAAATTCCGCACGCCAAATTTCAGAAGGGTTTCAAAACGCAAGTAGCAAAACGCAGCAAAATTGCCACTTGTCCGTCCTAATTGAATACACATTTTCAACACAAGGGTAAAAATGCCCTGAATCAAACCACAGAATATTTCATTTTTAATAATTTGCGTCGTTTGGCTGGCTGCACCTGTGTCTCATAAATAATTCGCCATCTCTCACCCACGCATCCATTATTGCTAGCTCCAAAGTCCTTCTACGTTAATTGATTGCAAAATGTTATATTTGTTTGGTTCTTTGAAATTTTACCCCATAAAAATTATTTATTAATCCGATAATCCATTTAGTCTCTGGCTGTGTATATATAGTTTGATGTATGGGAGACTAAAATTTACATGTTTTATGACTTCCAGAAATTGCGTTTTCATGAACATTTTTAAAAACAAGTCAGCCCTGCTTGTTCTTTTTTATACATTTCCAATTTTTTTTAAGGCATCAAACAAAAGCTATCATAGGAAAAAATTGCATCTAAAAACAAAAACACACTTGTATTTTCTTCCTCCTCCCTCTACCCCTTTTTTTTGGGGGGGGGTATTTTTCCACCCGACTTTTATTTTTAATTTTTGGACAAAAAGTCTTGTACAAAGTTTTGATTATGTTCTTCCTTTTTCTTGTTCCATAAGCCAAGTTTAACATTTATATTAACATTTATGTTAACATTTATGTTAACATTTATATTGACATTTATGTTAACATTTATGTTAACATTTAGGATAACATTTATGTTAAACATTTATGTTAACATTTATATTAACATTTATGTTAAAATTTATATTTACATTTATATTTACATTTATGTTAAACATTTATGTTAACATTTAGGATAACATTTATGTTAAACATTTATGTTAACATTTATATTAACATTTATGTTAACATTTATATTAACATTTATATTAACATTTATGTTAAACATTTATATTAACATGTTACACTGTACATGTATTTTGCAGACAAACATTCTCTACTTACATTCCTGGTGTATCAGGTGATTCAGAATTAATCCATAAAATGTTTCCTCTGTGTCTTGGGTGCCATCTTTATGTCCATGGGGTTCAAAGGACCTTTAAGATAAAAAGAAAAGATGGGGGAAACTCCAAAATAGTGTGCTGGGAGGGGTGGAGTGAGGTACACAGGTGGGTGGCCTGGTTTGGGATGGGTTGGGTGGGGCTGGGGTTGAGTAAGATTGGAAAGGGGATATCAAGGTGGGGATGGTTGGGGTTAGGTGTGGTTGGGGTTTAGTGAGGTTGGAGTTGGGTGGTAGGGGTGTAATTCAGGTGGGGTGGCTGGGGTTGGGTGGGATGGGTTTATGGTTTGGGTGGGGGTGGTTTGGGTGGGGGTGGTTTGGATGGGGATGGTTGGGTGGGGAGGTTGGGGTGGGGTTGGTTTGGGTTGGTGTGGTTTGGGTTTTGTGGGGGTGTTTGGGGTGGGGGAGGTGGGAGAAGTGGTTGGGTGTGGTTTGGGTTTTGTGGGGGTGTTTCGGTTGGGGAAGGTGGGGCAAATGGTTGGGTGGGTGTGGTTTTGGGGTTGTTTGGGGTGGGCGAGGTGGTGGGGGGTAGGGGGATGGTTAGGGGTGTTTGGGGGGGGGGAGGTGGAGGAGGTGGTTGGGGAGGGGGTTGTTTTGGGTAATTCCAAATCTCACCCCTGAAGAGTTGTTTACTCAACTTCTGCTACTAATAAAGCAGAACCTACCAAAAGATTAATAAACTATATGTTTGCAAAACATGACATGAATTAAAACCTGCCCTTCAGCAAGTATGTTCAGAGCTGTCCGATATCTTGCAGAAGAATTCACATGCTTGCTCAGGTTGGACTCGAACCCAGGACTTCCTGCTTACCAATGAAGTCAACTAAAAAAATTTCTACAATTTTTTTTTTTGTTTCACCAACGCACAGCTAGTTATTAAAGTACAAGAGACACCAAACACAAATTTCCTTTACCGCTAGAATTCTGCGTATGATCTTTTTTTATTCTCCTGAATTTCTAGTTGAACAAATGAAAATTGATCATTGAAACAAGATTTGAAACTAGACTTTTTTCTGGCCTCTCATTTGAAACTATTTTTTTCCACAACAAAACTTACAATGGTTGAGTTTTCATGACATAGTTGATTAAGTTCTATCTTCATATCTATCTTTAACTAAACAACTAATTTACAGGTGCAAGCTGATTCATTACATGTAGTACGCTAGCTGTTCCACCACACGACAAAATTCACAGTTCCAGAACTACATACACTCTTCTCTTCTAAAATTTTGTTCTATACAATGTTGAAGCAAATGTCAGCATAACGATTGTCACAGCCACCTAAAAAGGGTACATGTACTTCTGTGAGTCCTCCCCCGTTTGAATCTTGAGCACCTTGTAGCCGCGTCCTTCGCAAGTCAGCTTCTCAGCAGTGGGTAAGGATGATAAGCCTCCCAAATTATTAGTACTGCGCGATGTTGACGAGACAAAGACACGAATATAAACTACTGCAATGTCTTAAGATGAACCTATCATGTACTGTTCTTGGCAACCAACTCGTTACTTTTAATAATTGGCACTTAGGCCAAAAAAAAAAAAATACTTGGTCTCTGGTCAGCGCGCGCGTCGATTTTAATCATGCGCGTCAACTTTTTTTTCAAATTAACACGGAAGCTACAACAGCGCCCTCTATTGCCGCACCTTCTCAAATTGTTGTACCAAGGAGCACCAAGGAATGGGGAAATTGCACCAAGGCAAATGATAAAGGGCACCAAGGCAAATTCCGGAGGACACCAATGTATAATGAGGACACAAAAAAGCAAAATAGTACTCACTTTGTCTGTACAATTCAAGCTTGAAAAAAAAAAAAAACACCACCAGAAAGCTTTTTGATATTTTTTTCTTTACCGCATGGTTGAGACCAGGGTGCACTGCATGTCCTTGGTGGAAAGCAATAAGCAGAAATAGGCACTTTAATAACTAAATTAATGGGCAATTAACTAAATTGATCAATTTCACTGAAGAGGGAAGGGTTCGGTCAGACGACAATGCAGGGCTGGGCAGGCTTCAAATTTATGCATTTTAAAAATTGTCTTTTTGGGTATTTTTTTCCTTCCAATCCGTACGGTAGGTTGACTGTCGGTATAGGATGACATTAAGATGGGCATGTTGGCTTAATTTTCTCTTTTGCCAGCAGCCCACACCACCAAAACAGCCTCTTAAGTGGGTCAATTTTGTTAAAACGGGAAACGTTAAAACAACAAAACTACAATGGTGCAAGCTGATTTACTAAGTATGCTACTGTTCCACCGCACGACAAAATTCACAGTTCCAGAACTACATACTCTCTTCTCTTCCGTACATTTTGTTCTAGCCACAATGTCAAAGCAAATGTTGGCATAACGATTGTCACAGCCACCTAAAAAGGGTACATGTACTTCTGCGATTCCTCCCCCGTTGAGTCTTGAGCATTTTTTGGAGTTCTGGCATCCGTAAACGCACTTCATGTCACTGAAAATGTCAAGCATGGCGGAGGTTTTTAAAAAAGTTTCTTGCAGACTGCCTTGAAATTATCATCACAAGGGTAATCATGCCATCCTTGGTGTCCAGAAGAAGCGCTACGAATAACGGCGCAATCTTCACCGTCACCTGTCATGCCTGTTTCGGGTTGATCTTGGTCCCATTTTCTGAAGTTGACTTCCACTCCGTTTTCCTGGCACTCCCATCTTCCCTCGGTCGTTATGTCATTGCAGTCGATCCACACATTCAAGCTGGCGGCTATGAATGTTTGAATGAAGTCGTTTTCTTGCAGGGAGCGCGGCACAGCAAGAACGCCGCCCATGTTGCCGCAGGCATCTCTTGCCTTGTCCCACTTGACCAGGGATTCCGTCAAGGAGTAGCAAGAGTTGCCCCATTGGCGCCAGGGCGCCGGGCAGCCGGGTGCCAGAGACCGGCACCGGGCTGCAACTTGAACGACAAAACAACTCGTTGCAAAGACAACGAAAACTGAAGAATGCATATTACTGTATCTGCTCACTGGCGCATGTACATTAATGTGGACAACTCAAAAGTTAGTAATCCTGGCAAAGCAAATCATAAAACACTCTATTAAAATGCACTAGTCCTGCATATGCTGATGTGGGCTCTGTAGTAAAGTTCTGTTCCGTCTCAAAATTTATGCGACGCCAATTTTTCAAACACTCAATACAATGAAGTGAATGCTGGCTTCGTTCAATTAATGCAAGTATGCAACAAAGGATCTCTGCGCACAAATGTGGTAATTTTGTTATGTGCTGTGTTGCCAAGCAACCAATTAAGATGATGAGGCCTTCAATTTCAGCTAATTTTGCGAGGCAGAAAAAAAATTGTGTAAATTTAATAGTGGGTGTAGGGAAAACCTGATGTTTAAAACCTGATCAGTTTACTAAGGCTTTGGAGGATTTTTTTTTAAAGGGAAATAAAGTCGGAATTCTATTACGTTCAAATTCACTTTGTTTTCTAATTTTATATTTTCTTCTCATATTTTTATAAAAGTTAAGTCCAAAACGCCATAGCGTACACCCATATGTGGATGTCGTTTGGGAGAAAAAAAAATGCGGCCAGGGGACCGGTCTCCGATAATGGCCCAAGCGGAAGGCGAGTGCCATTTTCCATGACCAGGCCCCTAGCAGGTTTTAAATGTACTTGTTTAATACCGGCCAAGCACATAAATGTACTTATTCCCATTCATACATACCTTTCGGCCAAAAAGTCAAAACAATTCAAAAATTCACAATTTTCCAATGATTTTGTTCAACAATTTTACCTCAAGTTTTGTGAAACACCCCACATGCCACGTCTATGGTATCGGTATGTGCCTTGCGCGGGTAGCGCCAAAAAAAAATTCTTTTATGGAGATTATCGCGCGCACTGCGCCAAGTGGCGCACAACACAGCGGTACAGGAATATAGTGTTTAAAACCAGCCAGTGGTTTATCGGCGGTATACGACCAGCCACGTGACAGGCTCTCGACCAATAGGAATGAGTAAGCTGTCTTGCATTGTCGGTATTTATGAATATATATTAAAATCTCCCAGATTGTAAATTGATTTACATCACTCCGACACAAACAATTCCATCTTATGAATAGTTTGGTTGTCGTTCCTGCTGCAATATCAGATTCGAACCAGCCAGCCGACTTCAGCAAGCTCGGTGGTTGAGTGGTCAGACGTCTGCACCAGTAAGCAGGAGGTCGCGGGCTCAAGTCTCACCAAAATTTGTTTTCTTCTCACAATCACTTAGGACAAATTTGAGTATACAGTGTGTAATACATTTGTAATACGTCATTGAAAAGGAAATGAACGACACTTTGTTTTTGGTAGGTGATTTTTATTTCTAGCGGTGCACAACGTTATATTTTTAAATTCCATGTATGTCTGTACGTACGTAGCTGAGACAAAATTTTAATTTTTACTATTAAACAGCTAGTGATAAAAGTTAAAAAGACCCCCAAAATACTTTCTTGAATGAACAATTTCACATCACACATAATTGTGTATATACCGGTAATCCTTATTTTTGATTTTTTTTTTAATTTCTGGTATTTGCAAACATCAAAAAACCAAACTACCAAATTATTATGAAATACCTTATTTGACTATAAGTGAATAATAGTCTCAAGCATCCTGTAAAATCATGGCGCCTGGTGTGATGTCATTCTCAAGAAAAATTGAATTATTTTATCAATTTGCAATGATGGTCAGCCAACCATCGTTGAAAAAAACTGACTTTTTCCAAATATCGCCCCCAATTTACCAAATTAAGTTAGAGTCCATGTTTTGTTTGCAATCGTTATACATCCGTGAATAGATGCAAGCCAGCTAGTCTGGTTCCCTGACCTGACAACTTCCCAACATTTATAAATTGAAATATAAGGTCAGGGAATCAGACTACAACAACATAATTTTTTTTCCTTGGTTTTTCCAGCATTTAGGAACACAAATATTTAAACAGGTCACTGACAACAGTGTAACAATATTTGCTATAAACTACTAACCACAAATCCATCAATATCTGAAAATTACAGCAAAAGCAAATCTATGTTTTAAGCAAAAATGGAATTCAGCATTAAAATGTGATTTTTAATAATAATAATAATAACAGGTTCTTATATAGCGCTATAACAACTAAGATCAAAGCGCTTTACATTATTATTACCCCTGATCATCGGGCCATTTAAACATTCCAAATACCATCTCAGCTCCCTGGGGAGTACACAGCTCGATGCTGCCTGTTAGGCGCAAAGAGGCTAATTCAATCACAATAACCATCTCTGCCCTCACATGTACCCATTTACTCCTGGGTGGAGAGAAGCAATGAGTGACAAAGGGCCTTGCCCAAGGGCACACACACCATGACCCCAGGCTGGACTCAAGCCAACAACCTGCAGAATTACCCGCAGACCACGAATCCATTGCTCTTAACCACGAGGCCACAACACTCTTTGGACTCGTTTTGTACCTAGTTTGATTGAAATTTTCCCAAGCACATTTTAAAATGCAGAATGGATTTTTTTCATTTATTTCTTAGATTCCTTTCTTTCACCTCCACAGATAACAATACGGGCGATACACAATAGTGCGCCTCCAAGAGTTTGCAACGCGTTGGCCAATCACAATGCGCGAAATCAGTCGACCTTTTCCAAACGCGCATTGGGTCGACAGATTTTGCGCATTGTGATTGGCCAGCACGTTGCAAACTCTTGGAGGCGCACTATTGTGAATCGCCCGCATTGCTGACTACTGTGACGCGGGATACGGCGTTTTTAACACCCGAGGGGCACATACATGTATGTGCATCACAATACGTGCAATGCAGGGTGTAAGCAGTGCAGTACATACATGTATGAGATAATTGATAAGAAACACAGTGTATATAAAGTATAGTACATGTTAACAGGGCTTTTTTGCAGACCCGACATGCGGCCATTCTAGACAATGAAATTTTCCAAGACACCATCTAAAAACAAAATTTACAAGTGTATACTCCATAATTGATTTTCTAACTCACAACACATTAAAAAGTGCAAAGTTAATACCGGTAGTTCTCCATTGTTCGTCCTCTGCTACTAAATTCACAGGTCTAGAGTTAATTCTCTGATTGTACTGTTTTTCTTCAAAACAAAATTCCACAAAAACTTGCCCGTGAAGTATCTACAGGGTGACCCAAAAACCCTAAAACGTTTGCCTTAAAAAAAAATAAAAGATAGGTGGATTTTATATTTGGGTATATTAAAGCTGAGAGCTTTTTCTTTCAAATACTGAAAAATCATGAAAATAGCACTTTCGGTTGCCAAGAAAATGCCAATTATGTAAAAGTAGTCATTTTTCATTCTGTACACAAAATATTACCACAGTAAGCATGGTAAGGGATTTTCACTGTACCTATTTGTGCATGTCCTAATCCTTACAAACAACACGGCACATAATATGACAAGAGCTAGTACAAATGAATTTGATGGATGTACCCTTTTAAAAGGTATCTCATCCTTTTTAGTCCTATTTTAAACCTTTTCAGCATCATAAATATGCCAAAATATGAAAGAAATTGCACAAATGAAGGCTAATTGCACAGCAGGCTTACAGTAAAATGTTTCACTGTTTGAAGTACTTGTGTACAGGATGAAAAATTACTACTTTGACATAATTGGCATTTTCTCAGCAAGCCAAAGTGCTATTTTCGTGATTTTTTTCAGTATTTGAAAGAAGCAGCTCTCAGTTTTAATCTGATAACCAAAACATAAAAATCCACCAATCCTTTTTTTTTATTTAAAGGCAAATGTTTTAGGGTTGCATTTTTTGGGGTCGCCCTATATTATGGCTCTAAACCAGGTCAAACAGCTGTACAGGTTTTTTTTTTTAACACAACCAACAACTCTTCAACAACAAAAAAGAAGAAAATTCTGCCAATTTTTCGTTTATCCTCTTTGACGCGTCAGCATCCTTACAAGTACTTTATTCATCTGACGGAACGAGGACCAAAAAAGTCTCCGGTTTCTGGTATGGAGCTTGCCCAAAAAGTGGTGCGGCGACGCGGCTTTTTTTTTTTTTACCTGATCTTTTTGCTTCAAATGTCGGCTGATGACTGCAAATGGTGCCCGACTAAACTTAGCGCAAATATATGGGAGTACAGAGATGCCACATAAAGCTTATTTTCGACCATAACCCATTCTAAAAACACGTTAAAATTGTGCAGTAGCAGGATTCCAGTCAAAACCATTGAGTTTGGCGGTTTTGAGACATCATCTTTCTGTTTCATTGAAAAAAAACTTTTTCATTTTGCCGACGCGCATGGCTACGGCGACGCGCGCGCATACCAGAAACCGGAGACTTTTTTTTTGGCCTTACACAAGTTTCTTGCTGACTGCAAAAGCGGGAAGGGTTTGGCTGGATGCCAAGACTGGGCTAGGCAGGCTATTTACAACAATATGACAACCACCAACACAACAAATGTTCACTGAAATGGGACTCTACATGTACCTATTGTTCACTGCTTCCTATCCACATGGAATTTTCTAGCCCTTAATTTTTCAATCTCTACCTGTACACCAAATTTAACGAAGAACATGCAAAGTTAATTTATTAGGTTTCTAGCGTTTCACCTCAGTACGGAAGTTTGAATTGCCTTCCGCGATACCGCGTGATAATTTATCACGGTAACGCGGTATCGAGGAATACGTATCTTTGAATTCTGGATTTCTGTGATAAATTATCACAGTAACGCGGTATCGAGGAATACGTATCTTTGAATTCTGGATTTCTGTGATAAATTATCACAGTAACGCGGTATCGAGGAAGGATTTATCTTTGAATTCCGGATTTCTGCGATAAGTTATCACAGTCACGCAGTATCGCGGAAGGATTTATCTTTGAATTCCGGATTTCTGTGATAAATTATCACGGTAACGCGGTATCGCGGAAGGCAATTCAAGCTTCCGTACCTCAGCAACTAAAATCACGTACACGTAAGGTCTGTCATGAGCCAATGTGGCCCATCAGGCCGGCGTTTATCTCCAGTTTCAGTAGCCTGAAACGACTGAAAATATTTCTACTCCCCCTGGATGGGATGCCAGTCCATCACAGGTTACTCCCCAGCTAATGCCGGTACCCATTTATACTCCTGGGTGGAGAGAGGCAAGTGGGGGTGAAGTGGCTTGCCCAAGGACTAAACATATGACCAGCAGCTGGATTTGAACCCCTGACCCTCCAATCATGAGTCACGAACCCTAACCACTGGGCCACGCTCCCCACGTGTATCAGTTTTCTTATTCTCTGACTGTTTTGTTTTCAAAACAAATTTCATGAACACTTGGACTGAATGAATACTACACGTTGTTTCAAGATTTCACGACTTGAATAAGCCTTTTCGGAGTTCCAACTGCGCATTCATAACCTGTGACAATGCGCATTGTTTGTCTCAAATGGCC